CAACATATTCAACAGCGGTGACACAGCCGATATGCGTGGGTCATCAGAGTATGACGTCACCTGCCGACCGGGGGATACTACGTTATATCTAGCTTTGCGTCGATTATCGATGTTCTGTGTCCGTGCGCTGTACATAAACACGCACGGAGAATAGACGGTGATTAGGGATATTTACGTATTGCTCTCGGGTGCGTAACCCCCGGACGTAGAGGCTTTTGTATTGCCCCAGATACTTATTATTGTGTATTATACTCATGCGCTACTTAATAATAGAAGTCTACAGAGAGTACAAGTTGGATGCGGATACGTACTCAAGTACAATCAAGTACACTATAGAATACCAGCTCTAGAGTGAATAGGGGACAGTGGGGAGTGTTTAAGTGTCTTTATGCTATTTTTGGCCAGGCTTTGATATAATTTTAACAAAGAAGACACATTTTCTTTCTCAAATGTTTATTTGTGAAAATACAAACTTTCGGGGGGGGGGGGGGTTGGGGATGCGATCGGCATTGTGATTGAAAAATGAAAATATGATTGTTCCCATCCCTGCTGATAAATTTCATGGTTTTATTGCAGGCGGTTAGTTGTAAAAGTTATGAAATGTGTTTTTATTTAAATTGTAAACCATGGACTAATCAATGACAAGAGCCTTAAACATTAATTCATTTTGGTAATCCCCAGGCTTTCTTTGATGGTAATATTTTATTTGATGGTTCTTTTGTCAATTTAAGTAACTCCAGTTCATGTGTATTTTTAGAAATAAAATAATTACAAAATTCTTTCCCTTATTCGCTTTTCTGTTTGATTTTGTTTATAGTGACCCGCAAAATATATATCTGATCATTTATTTTCTGTTTCTGTTTATATGGTAATGACCATCGGATATAAATTTCAATGTGTGGTGGGTTGAAAGGGTGCAAACGAAATTAATAATATTCTAATTTTCACCTTCAACATCATTATCACAATCATCAACGTCATCATCGCCATCACAATCATTATCATCATCACCACCATCATGATCCCCATTATTAGCATCACCATCATCATAATCACCATCACCATGATCATCGCAATCACCATCAGCATTATCACCATAGCCATCACGATCATCATCATCATAATCATCATCATAATCACTGTCAGCATTATCACTATAGCCATCACCATCATCACAGTCAGCATTATCACCATTAATTGTCATCATGATCATCGCCATCATCATAATCACCGTCAGCATTATCACCATAGCCATCATGACCATCGCCATCACCATCATCATAATCACCGTCACCACCATAGCCATCATCATGATCATCACCATCGTCATCGTAAACACCGTCATCATTATCACCATAGCCGGTTAAACAAAAAATATATTATTAACACTACTACTAATGATAAAAAATTATAAATGAAATAGGACTAGGAATAAAATTTCCATTTTATAATATTCATATTTTATTTATAAACTGACTTTGACATGTATGTTGAGAACTTGAGACTATTACTTGCTCGTCCTTGTTTTCACGAAGTGACGGTAATGAGGAAAATCGTAACGCAAAGTGAATGCAATTTTTTTTCACTACCGTCACTTCGTGAAAACAGCGACGAAATGTGTCGCTGAGAATAAAAGTATTATCAGAGTAAAACACCTTTAAATTGTATAAGGGTGACAGTTCAATCAGTTTTTTTTATTATTTATAATAAATGCTTTGTTCATGTAAAGCTCCGGAACCCCACCTTCGAAGTATCAGAGATACAAAATGTAATCACTTGAAATGAATTTTCCTTTTACTGAAAGAATAAGCTGAACAAAATCCTCCTCGTCCTTCTCCCAAACTCCCCTTTCAAGATTGTTTGTTCCTATGCGAAGTCCAGAAAATGCTGATCCAGGAATGCAATGGAGACTGATGTGTGAAGTCTGTGTCTTAGAAGATTTGTTGTCTATGTCCCGCAAGTTTCGATGGTTGAGTACATCTGTCAGAAAAACAACAACATCTACATCTACATCTAAGGTGGTACTGGACCTAACCAATTGGTATACGTCCAGACTTCTGTGGCATCGCAAAATGTCAACAAACATCACAACTGAGGGTGCAGAGTTCAAAAGTCAAAATAAAAAGGTGCTCATAAAAATACAGTGGGTTGCAGACATCATCTAATTTTTAGATGAAGTAGAGCCACATCAACGCTCTAGCCTGCCTGTGTACAGCTGCGCTGAGTGGTCAATCTGCATGTAGCTCCAAATTTTGGTATTGGAAGACTTGGCCGATGTTGACTCTTTGATGATTCCATTGCGAAATGGTACAAGGATAGAAGCTGTTCTTGGTATGCTCGGTCCTGGCAAATGACAAATGATAAGAAGGAATATAAAATGGCTTAGTTCAGGTATTTTAAAAGATCTGATCAAAGTAGCTAGCCATTTATGGTAGACAAAACCCGCTCACATTCAAATTAATTGTTTGTAATGAAAACAAATTACAGGTGTCAAATTCATGAATTTTTCCCTTCTTTTTTCCGCATGTGCACAAGTTAAAATTAAGTGTTTAACTTTTTGTTTTAATTCTGCTTTGTTCACATTACTCGCACAAGGGAAATGCTGCTTATTTCTATGGCTGGTTGTAAAGTTTGAGTTGACCAGAACCAAAACAAAAGGCACAACCAAAGTTTGAGAATCCCTAAATTAGTCTGACCAGACGCCAGAGTCACTGTTTAACTCTCACAGTTGACTGTTAAATTCGTGTCAAAATAAAATGGATTAAGCATAAATATTATCAAGAAAGCTTGCTAATTTAATGGGATAGTGCATGATGTAATTGTAAGTCGAGGGCCCCAGATCAGATATGGCTTTGTTTTATGCCGGATCGGTACAGAAAAGGCTATGTATGGGACCGGTACGCGGTCACGGTGATGACTACGAAAGTGCGGCCATGTGTACTCTTTTCGCGCCATATCGGCAAAAATGAGTGTTTTTAACGTAGCCGTCACACAACTTCCGGTTGAAAATCGAAAAATGTGTAACTTTCATGGCCATAAAAGCTAATAAAATACACCGTGCATCAATCGAACTCTGCGCTTTTTCACTTCTGCCAACATTGTTGATGTGAAAAATCGAAGAATTGGGGAAAAACATCTCTTATATCGGTCAGGAACACGCTAAATGCAAGATAATGTCAGAATACCTCCTACGAAAGAAGGAAAATATGGACACATTTCAATGAATATTTACAATCACTCAGATGCGGTAAAATTAGGAAAATTTCATATCAAAATACGTAGAAAAGTATGGAGATTCACTTACCCCTACATGCTACGCAGCACAGTGAAAAACAAAGCAGCTGTGATAAAGTTTGTTGACCTGTGCAAAAGTCTCGAGAAATCTCGCAAATCGCGGGACACGAAATACGACGGTTTATCGCACTTCCGGGTGCTGTATAAATTTGGTCATTCTGCCTAATTATCGCGGGCGTTGCGGACTGACTGTTCCGTGTTCGCTCCATCGCAGCGAATTTGCAAATGACGCACTTGCCGATGTGCAAGAGGTATTTATACGATACCCTTGCCATGCGGTATCGCTCAGCCAGTATTCGGTCAACGCATTGACATTCAGTGCTTTATCGCGCAATTGTGTGAAAATAGTGCGCAAATACGCTACGCTCCTTTGCAACGGAGATACCACGCACAAATCGCGTGACCGAATTCTAGTCGGCGCGACCGAATTCTGGGCAGAAAAATGCTCCGTCTTCTTTCGGAAGTCTTTTGCTTATCGTTATTCTATATTTTCAGTGACTATAAAATCCTGTTAGAGGAATAAATTTCTTTTCTTTTGATGGGTAGATTGCCCAATGAAAGAGGTAAGAATTCAAAATATTAGTGATTTCCCCTTAAGTGACCGAATACTGGGTACTCTACCCTATAGCGCATTTCAGGATCGCAGGCCCTCTCAATGCGCTTTACAGATATTACCCCGGTCATTGGATCCATGCATGGCCATGTTGATGGTAAGAATGAATGGATATTTTAGTGTGGTAAATTGATGACCGGCAGTGTGTGTGCATTGTAAATGCAGGTTGTCAATGAGAGTGTTGATATGTAGATGGTTATCACGGCGTTCAAGTTCGCCGGTATAACAACAAAAAATCTTTCTCTCTCTCCCCCCCCCCCCAACCAACATCCACCTTTCATCATCATCACCATCATCATGTTAACGTTAATTTGCAGGTATATTAATATCATTAGGCTTATTAGACTAAATATAATACACACCTGCCCATCAAGGCATCAGACGCAAGACGTTTATACTAACTAAGTTAGTAGTATACTAGTCTAGACCTAGATTTTTCTAGGCCTACTCCTCTGGCCGCGGGAGGGAAATATAGACTACTCCTGCACCTATCAAAGTCGTCAACAGGGTGTGAAGAAATACCGTAGAAGGGGCGATTTCTGCAGAACACCTTAATTGTCTGTAATATCCACCTCCAGGCTCCAGCAAAATAATCTATTCTATAAATTTCTAGCAGGGTTTCAACTCTGAGAAGACGTGGTTTCGCTAAGAGTAAGACACCGCCAAGACACCGGGCATCGCATCTGGCTAGACAGTCCTGTGGCTGGACTAGGAGCATAGCATCATTTCTAAAAACAGTGCATTGACTGGGATCGGCTTCTGTGATTAACAAAACACCCCTAGACTCTATTTAGATCTATACATTCTGTGACCTAATTTACATAACAACTTGAATTGATCTCCTCCAGTTTCCCCGCCTCTGCAGATTATTAACCTAGATCTATTTTGATTTGTCCAAAGTTTTACTCTTGGCACCAGCTTGGCACACATGTTTGTCAGAATGGTAACCTTTCTCAAGAACAGTACACAATGGGCTTCTCGCACTCTCAATATATGTAAAGTGAATACCATTCAGCAGTCACCGGAAGGCGCTTACTCGTACGTACGTACGTACGGTACGGGCGTACGTAAGTCTATGGGTCGGCCTCGTGTACGTGTGAACTCCCTTTTTGAATTTAGGCGTCACTTCGACAACACCTTGAAAGGTAAACGCTCTCTCGTCTTTTTGTTGTTCGTTTCATCCTTTGATATTTCTCCTTTTCTAATACATAACACATTCCTCAACTTTCTTGAGTTTCTTCAAAGTTATTTTTGGTTGTATGTTTTTGTGGAAAACCACTTTAAAATGAACGATGTGTCGTGACTGAGTTCGCCTTCGTGGCGCTCTGCATTGTGCATTGGGCCTCCCGCCAAAGTCCAGGCCAGCAGCATTCTACATGCGCATGCACTGTTTGCACAGGCCACATGGCGGTGCTTTCGTGAGAGGGAATTTAGAAAATGAAAAGATGTGGAATATATGGCGTCATAATTTGAGTTGGTGAATGGTGATTGTCATTTAAATGTTATCTGGGCTTGATCTGCAAATATGAAATTGCTCAAAGAATAATTTAAAAATTCAAATTGTGAATGTGAGTCCACTGTCGAACTTGCTGATCAGCTGCATCTGAATGATTGTGTGCACCTGTGTGTTATGAGTGTATGGACTATTTAATTTATGTATTAAAATGCTGCCTATTAACACATAGTGCAGTGCTAGAGGTTAATATGCATTATCATGGACTCTCCATGCTTTGCTGTAGTGGCTGTAAGAAATAGATCTAGAAGGTCTAGAGTCTATACCCATCAGTAGGGGCGCTGGTCCAAGAATGAGGATCGTCCTCATAAACAAGGATATCCTCTTAAACGAGGACAAAATGCGTCCTCAAAAATAAGGGTTGTCTGCATTTTTGAAGACGTTTTTTTTCATTGGCGCTCTGGGGGTTTCATGTTACAAAACAGCCTGCTGGCGATGCCAAAAATGGATTCCCCGGGGGAAAATAACCCTAGTTCACCGTCTACTTTTATGGGTTGTCCGTCTTCCCAAGGATTTATTGCTTATAATGTGAAAGTCTCTGTACAATGTCAATGTAAAATGCATCAAGAAAATCATTGCAGAATCCGTTTTTTGCATCGCCAATTCACCGATCAAAAATATGAAACGTCAGCAAAAATGCAGACGGTCCTTATTTTTGAGGACGCATCGGTTTGTGTTTACGAAGACGATCCTTATTCTCGGACCAGCGCCCCTACTGCCCATGGTCATGCGCTTTTTTTTCCGCTAGCCCCAAGGCAAGGGATCACAAGCAGATTCAGTTTGAAAATGCCCTTCACCCCCCCCCCCCCCCCCCATGTGAATCAGTGCATATGCCGAAGAAGAAGAAAAAAATTGCGGAAGATCTTTTTTTTGGACAGGATTTGTCAGCGTCTATGAGGACATCCTCGTTTATGCGGACGATCCTCATTCTCTAATCGCACACAAAAAATCGAAGAAGCATACAAAGTGGAATTTCCCCACGTGTCGATCGATACCGTATGCATGATGTAAGCGCTAAAAATAGCAGCGCTATAGCAATTTGAATAGAGCCATGTCCTTGTTGGTGCACTCCAAATCGATCATGAATTAAGAGCGCGGTGCCAAATCGATGCACCGTGGACGCGCGGATAATCACGTACTTAGGAATAATAAGGGTGCATCTTATACACAGATTTACGGTATGCGTTCCCCACTTGGAAGTCATAAGATGATGTAATCAAGTCGATGGCAAGTTTTTAGGTCAACAACTTCTGATTTTCAAAGCTTAAGATTTCTGAGTTTTCAGAGAGCTGATACTCATCCGACAGACACTAAAATATGGCATAGGGGTCTATAATGGCTTATAAGCTTTCTGTTTTTCAGTTCGGATATGGTCTTCTTTTTTGTGTGTACAAACTAGTTCATTCTAGGTGATTTTCAGGCTCTCTGATCAATTTTAACTGGCATCCCTGGGTCTTCAACGCTTTGAAAAGGTATCATTAAGACAGAGCTCACTTACATTAATTTATGACATAGCTCCCACTACAAAGTACAAGACAAGATATTACTTTTCAAGATCCCTGAAATTGTGACTCGAAATAGTATAGCAGTAGGCATGCCATTTTTTTAGCCTTGCAGTTGTCCAAACTGATCATTTAGCACAGAGCACCCTAGAACCAAACATAATAGTCAATTCTTCAGATGCCTATTGGTCTAATGACCTAGTGACCTTTTTAAGCTGGAAAGCACTCCTCGGTGACGATTCGATGACGAGGCTGATGTGGCTTCTGTATAACCATGGTGATGGTTGCTATGACATGTATTATGTCAAGCAGCCTTTCATCATGGTACTATGCAGAAACCCGATACAGTGATGCCAGTTTCGAGGCATTTGTCTGAGAGGAAAATTGTGTAGATTGCATGTAATTTTTAAGTTGTTAGATTCATCATTTGACTTCCCTCTCCTGCCTTATTGCCTCCTTTGTTTTTTCTTTTTCTTGAAAGATCGTTAATCTTTTTTAATTGTTTGATTTTTTTTGAGACACATCGATATCAATTAGATTTTTAAATTTTTTTCTACTTCGTAGGTTGAAAGTGGCAAGATAACTTCTCTTACTTGGACTATTGGAAAGAGAAACATGCTGAATGAAAAGTAAGTTATAATTTTTGGAAATAATATATTTGCCTCAAAGTGATGCTGAATCCTTGAAATTTTCATGCTAAAAATAAAATGATAGGGGTCTTGTTTTCTTTAAAACACAATTTCTTTACTATATTCAGAACCAGCAATGTAATTTGAAGAATGAGAACAACAGAAATAGATTTGTTTTGGGTGCAATTTTTTCTTGCTTGAGATTAATTTGTTTGTCTTCATACATAGTTCCTCGGTGATGATTTTGATGACGAGGCTGATGTGAGCACCATGTAGCCGTATCAATGGCAATGTGACATGTCTTATGTCACACTGCATTACATTGTGTGGCTGCATGTAGTAGCTTACAATCGGTGATGCCAGTTTTCGAGGCATTTGTTTTGAGAGGAAATTGTTGATTGCATGTAATGTTTCAATTGATAGATTCATCATTTGACCCCCCCCCCCCCTCTCCTGCCTTATCGTCTCCTTTTTCTTGAAAGACTGTCTATGTGAATTGTTTTGAGACGCATTGATATCATTTAAATCTACTTATAATCCAAGTTTGTATCTTTGTTATTTGTTTCTACTTTATAGATTGAAAGTGGCAAGATAACTTCTCCTTTTTGGACTATTGGAAAGAGAAGCATGCTAAATAAAAAGTAAGTATTAATTTTGGAAATAATATATTTGATTTTAGGTGACGCTGATCCCCTGGTTTGTCAATTTCATGCAAAATAAATCACTGGGGAGATATGGGATAGGCATCTTGTTTTTTCCTTTTAAATCATATTTGTTTTGGGTGCAATTTTTTTTCTTGCTCGTTGGCTCTAAAACGAATTTTCAAACATAGTTCCTCGGTGATGATTTTGATGACGAGGCTGATGTGAGCACCATGTAGTCGTATCAATGGCAATGTGACATGTCTTATGTCACACTGCATTACATTGTGTGGCTGCGTGCAGTAGCTCACAATCGGTGATGCCAGTTTCGAGGCATTTGTCTGAGAGGAAACATGAATATAAAAATGTGACCAATTTGATTCGAGCAGAGGAAAGGTTAGGGGATGCACATTATTATGTTCTCTTTGTTCTTCCGTATTTGGACTCCCTTCAATCAGTAACAAAAATGAACCACTTTTCATTAATAAAGCAGTTCTCTCCTTTTCTTTGTCATTCTTATTTTTCTTCTCACTTACGTACAAATGAAAAGGGTTTGATTGTCCTTCAATTAAGCAGTTCTCTTTTTTCTTCTCAGCATCTACAACCCGGCCTCCATTCGAGATGGGTGAGATGTTGCAGAATTCTTCAGGTGAATACACTTGGTAAGTAAAATGTATAGTTGGAGAGTCTTCGTACTTGGTTCCTCGATGATGATTCGATGACGAGGCTGATGTGAGCACCATGTAGCCGTATCAATAGCAATGTGACATGTCTTATGTCACACTGCATTACATTGTGTGGATGCATGTAGTAGCTCACAATCGGTGATGCCAGTTTTCGAGGCATTTGTTTTGAGAGGAAATTGCTGAATGTGTGTAATGTTTAAGTTGATAGATTCATCATTTGACTCCCCCCGCCCCGCCCCGCCCCCCCCCCCCCCCTCCCCTGCCTTATTGCCTCTTTTGTTTATCTTTGTGAATTGTTTGGGCAGTTTGAGACTCATTTATATCTACTTTTAAAGTTATAAACCAGTTTCTTTGTTTCTTTTCTTCTACTTCATAGGTCGGAAGATATCTTCTTTTTATGGACTAAGGAAAAGAGAAACATGCTGAATGAAAAGTAAGTATTAATTTTTTTTTTTTTAAATACATAATTTTGCCTCAAAGTAATGCTAAACCCTTTCATGCGGAATCATGCGAAAAGTGAATTAATGGGGAGATGGGATAGGGGTCTTGTTTCTTTTATATCATTTGTTTTTGGTGCAATTTTGTTTTTTAGGAATGAAAAGAATTTTCAAACATAGTTCCTCGGTGATGATTTTGATGACGAGGCTGATGTGAGCACCATGTAGCCGTATCAATGGCAATGTGACATGTCTTATGTCACACTGCATTACATTGTGTGGCTGCGTGTAGTAGCTCACGATCGGTGATGCCAGTTTCGAGGCATTTGTCTGAGAGGAAACGTGAACATGAAAATATAACAAATTTGCTTGGAGAAGGAGGGAAGGGAGAGAAAAATTGCTCCATCCAACATTATTTGATAGGATCTTGCGGGGGGGGGGGGGGGGGGGGGGGGGGCTGGCTGCTTGTTATATTTTTCCATTTGTTCTGCCATATTTGGACTTCCTTTAATCAGTAACAAATAAGGTTTGAATTGTCCTTAAATTAAGCAGTTCTCTTTTTTCCTCTCAGCATCTACAACCCGGCCTCCATTTGAGATTGGTGTAAAGTTAGAGATTCTTCAGGTGAATACGATTGGTAAGTGAAATTTGAAGTTTGGAGTTTTCTTTTTTTACGTGTAATCAGCTCGTTTCCCAGTGGTATTTTTTATGAAATTCTAGAAACGACCATTGATCTCGAATTTAAAGACGAGCGGAAAATGTGTTTCCAGAAGCTAATATCACAATCACTAATGGAAGCCTTGTGGCATGTCATGATCTGAGAGCATGTATACATTATACTACATCAGGCGTTGCCAGGTCACTGATTAAGATGATACCACACTGATCATAAATATGCACTTCAATATATTATTTTCATTTATCAGTCCCGAAATAATTATTAAAAGCAGTGGATTTACACAAATTTGTCCTTGAATCCTTGAGCTGCAAAAATCTTGAACACCTGCAATATCTACTTGGCTTCCATATGGCATTTCTGAAACTTGGAAAATGAAATAATTTGAACTTTACAACAACACCAAAAGAAAGATGACCATGTTTGTATTTTGCTTGTTAACTTCTGACTCTGGAGATTATACCCAAAAGCTGTAAATCATAAGCAGAAGGTTTAACTACCATTTGTCATGTGCCAATGATGATCACTCATATCTAGTTTCAAGACGGAGCTGACAAACATCTCGTTTGCTGGAGACATCCTTACTCACCTGAGGCACACTGACAATGATACCCTACATTTGTATTTACAACATATGAGATAAAACTGATAAATGTTATCAGCTGTTTAAGAAGTGTATGCGCGGCTGTTATGTTTCAACTTGTTTTCTCTATTGTTCGTTAAGGTTAAAGGAACTCAAGATGTTGTTTCTTATCCAGAGCCAGACTGTTAGACAGGCAAGGTGAGTGGTTCTTTTGTCAATTCTCGGATGGTATGTGCTAGTTTTGTAGAGAAAAAAATCAAAGTGATTTAGAATATAAATTCATAAGTTCTCTGGATGGAATTTGTTAATATTTTTTTTACGGTCTTGGGGGTGGGTTGTGATTGACCAGGAACATGCATTTAAGACTATTAAGCATACCATATTTATAGTGAAGATATATGTTGTCTTGTAAATGATGAGTTACTTCTCTGACACCTCTTATCTGAATACATTGATGTCCTACAGTAATATTCTGATACAAGACGTGTATGTGCATAGATTAGAACGATCAAATACTTTCCCTCCATAGATTGAAATTCAGCAAATATCGTAAAATGCAATTTTGTTTTTGTTTGGACAGAACAGACTTCATGTCGGGACCTACGCATTGGCTCAACCATGAGTGTTAAAGCTGTAATATCTGCTTCCTCTCCACAACCTGATCAAGTTGCCCACCATCGAAAACTGTGCAGGACATGGCAAGGAAGTTTACAAGCAGTCAGTGTTGATGTGAATGGTAGGTTAATAGGTTTTATTCTTTATAGCTGAATTCATTAGTAATGCAGGGTCACTGGTCCACTAACTTAATTAAATCATGTAAAATTGGAAAGTGGAAAGAATAAAAACTGATTCGTGCAACAACTAAAATTTCAGACAGTGAAAAATTGTGAAGAAAGTGTTCTTTCAGTGACTTTGAAGAGAGTTTGTTGGTATGATGTCTTAGGAATTGCCGTCTGAATAAATCTGATGGATAACTAATCCAACCCTGATCAACAAACATTCAGTCATCATGATTCCTGCAAAATAGCTTGGATGATGTACTTAATATATCTATCTTTTTTCTTGTTTTTTCTTCGCTATCTACTTTTCCTTCCGTCTTTCCATCCTTCTCCCGCAATGATTTTGCTGTTACAGTTCTTGGAGCTCAACCTTCATCTGCGGAATGTAGTTCAGTGGTTCATCAATCTTGAAGAACGCCATTTGCTTTAGAAGTTATTCCTAAGGTGAGAATAATATTAATGTTCTCTATCTGTTCTCAATCTTCTTACTCCATTCTTTATGCAGGGTGGTCCACTAACAAAATTGAATCATTTCAAATTTGAAAGTGGAAAGAATATAAACTGATTCATGCGTCCCTTGTGGCCAGGCTCTAAAGCTTGCTTTTGATTCTCTAAGGTTCAATGCACTGGTGTGGTGCAAGCTCAGCCATATTGCATTTTCAAACAATGTTATGACTCATATTTCATGAGTAATGAATATTAACCTGTAGATGATTTTGAAACCTGAACAATCAAAAATTATAACCTGTCGCTGTTATGTTTAAACAAAACCCTTCTGGGGATACCCTGGTAATAAATCGTTGTAATGGAGTAAAAATGTCTAGTGTCCTGAAATAACGTTGATAAGAACATAACCTGGCACATACTGATAGTGAGTGGTAGTGTCGAGTTATCGAGAAAATCTTATTTTTCTCTCCCAAATTTTTTAGGATACTCGGTCTGTTTTTTTGTGTCAAGAGGTTGGCATCTCTGGTTTTATGCTATCCTTCATTTTTCAGATTCCTGATCCGTTTACCTATACAATTTGAGGCTAAGTTGTTGGCATTGATTTATGCTTTCTAGCTGTACACACATTCTAGATTTATATACACACATTTATTTTTGTAGCTGATCAGATTGGTACACTTTAAACCACATCAATTTTTTTTTATTTATTAATATTGAAGAATAATAATAATTATAAGATTCATTCTGTGTCTTGGTTACTACATGATGATACAAGATTGCATGAATCTAAATATGTTTGATTCTCAATCTAGCTTACCAAGTCTGATGTACCAAGCACAGGAACAGAAGGTGTATGATTTTAATAGATTTCATACCATCGTGGCCATGATTTATACATTCTTTTCAGCTGTTTGTGTTTCCTTAATACGTTCATGCATTCGATGTAGATTTTATTGATGTTTTCTCATTTTGTATTTTTGTAGAAAAAGATTTACAAGGATCAGATGGAACAGATGTTGGTTTCTCACATCTTCCCAGAATTCCAGAGTCTGCATGGCTACATGAGAGCGAGGGTAAGATATTTACATGATTCTTGCTGTGAAAGGTTGGCAGGTTTTAAGATTTGATGCATGTATAATATAATGCGAAACAAAGAGGCTAATATACCTGCCAACCCTTACAAATAATCCAAAATATTCTGTTTTTCTGGATTTTTAGGGCCTGAAAATTCAGAATATTCCAGATTCTCAAAATTTTGGTACAGACTTATTGCCAATTACACTGCCGCTACAGGTGTGATTTCTTATTTTCGAAGGCATACCGTGCTAAAAATTCCTAATTCCTATTTTCAAATGTTGGCAGGTATGGTGTAGTTATGATTTTGGAAAGACCTGTCCATGCATTATTTGAGTTGGTGAAAAGTTAACAGTGCCAGTCATGGAATGCCCAGCTATTTTGTGAAATTGAGTTTTTGTGTACCCATGATATTGGATGTGTGTAATTAATTTATCGATAGCTCTGCAAGAAAAGTAAAAAAGTGCCATTTGATCATGATGAGTAAATTCAGCGGATCGAAATTCATTTTTGTGAGAAAACATTATGCTTACTTCTGAATCACATGGCACATATATGCATTTCATAATGACTATTTACCCGCATTCAAGTTGTATTTTAACATTTTCAGACATGTTGATTTTCATGTAAATTAATGGGGAGACTTTGTTCTGTTCTCAGGGATGTGTTTGTACCAAGCAACGATGCTCTGCTTGGGAGAAGTCGACATGTCTTCACTGGATGCCGTACTGTTGTGGACCTGGAGATATGGTACGTGTATTTTGTTGATGACTCCCATTGTTAACCAGATTTATAATACTCTTCTCGATCGTTTTCTTTGCTGGCCTCATTCAGATACGATGCGGCAAAACACAGAACTTACATCCCTGTGTGAGCCTTGTACTAAGTAGAGAGAGAGCCCTGTGAAGCCCAAATGTAAATACGGTACTCTGAAGGAAATGACCCGAGAACTTTTTTTTCCTAGACAGAAACATTTGAAGGAAATATTTATTCAGTGACTTTGAAGAGAGTTTGTTGATATGATGTCCTAGGAATTGCCGTCTGAATAAAACTGATGGTTAACTAATCCAACCCTGATCACCAAACTTTCTGCCATCATGATTCCTGCAAAATAGCTTGGATGATGTACTTAAGATATATTTGTATTGCTTGTTCTTTCTACGCTATCTAATTTTCCTTCCATCATATATCTTTCTATCCTTGTTCTCACTTTTGTTCCATAGTGTTTATGCCGTTTTAGTACTTGGAGTTCAAGCTTCATCTGAGGAAAGATGTTAGTGGTTCTTCAAACTTGAAGAACATCATTTGCTTTAAAAGATATTCCTAAGGTGAGAAGAATATTAATATTCTCTATCTGCTTTCAATCTCTTTCCTCCATTCCTAATGCAGGGTGGTCCACTTACCAAATTGAATCATGTTCAATTGGGAAGTGGAAAAAATCTGAACAGACTTTTGTGGCTAGGCTCTAAAGCTTGCTTGTGGTTCTCTAAAGTTCTTAAATGCACTACTGTAGTGCAATCAGAGTCATTTTGATTGAGAAAGAATATTAACCCTTTTCTGATTTTCACACCTGTACAATCAAAAGTTTGTACCTGTCGCTGTTATGTTAAAACCTCTTGTAGATCACCCTGGTAATATATCGTTGTAATGGAGTAAAAATGCCTAGTGTCCTGAATTATAACGTAACCTGGCACATACTGATAGTGTAGGTATGATCTGTCAATGCATTATTCATTTAGTTAGTGATAAAGGCCTGTCATGGAATGCCTAGCTATAATGTGAAATTAAGTGCTTTTCTGTACCAGTGATATTGGATGTGTGTATTTAATTTATCGATAGCTCTGCAAGAAAAGTGCCATTTGATCATGATGAGTAAATTCAGCGGATCGAAATTCATTTTTATGAGAAAACATTATGCTTACTTCTGAATCACATGGCACATATATGCATTCCATAATGATTATTTACTCGCACTGAAATTGTATTTAACATTTTCAGAAATGTTGTTTGTTTGTACATAGCAACGATGCTCTGCTTGGGAGAAGTTGACATGTCTTTCTTTTTTTCTTTCCCATCTCTCCATCCTTGTCCTCATTTGTATTCCATAGTGTTTATGCCGTTTCAGTACCTGGAGCTCAATTTTCATCCGAGGAAAGAAGTTAGCAGCTGATCAATCTTGAAGAGCTTCATTTGCTTCAGAAGATATTCACATGGTGAGAAGAATATTCATGTTCTCAATCTTCCAACTCCAATAATAAACAAGTTCATGCTGTGAATAGAGTAAATATGTTGAAGGAAACGCGTAATCATTCAATTTGATTTTACATGGTGAATTTAAAACAGAATGTTGGTTGAATTGATTGATTCTGAAAGACCATTGATGGAATGTCACATTGAAATAATTTAGGAGTTGTTGGTATGATGTTCTAGGAATTGCCGTCTGAATAAAAGTGATGGTTAACTAATCCAATCCTGATCAACAACAAACATTCAGTCAACATGATTCCTGCAAAATAGCTTGGATGATGTACTTTTATATTTTTTTTCTTTCTTTCCCATCTTTCCATCCTTTTGTTGTTCCATAGTGTTTATGCTGTTTCACTACTTGGAGCTCAACCTTCCTTGAGTAAAGAAGTAAGCGGAAAGTCAATTTTGAAGAGCTTCATTTGCTTCAGAAGATATTTACAAGGTGAGAAGAATAATTGTGTTCTCAATCTTCTTAATCCAAGAATAAACAAGTTCATGCTGTGAATAGAGTAAATAAATTGTAATATGTTGAAGGAAACGCTTAATCTTTCAATATGATTTTACATGCTGTATTTTGAAAGGGGTAGTGAATTTAAAACAGAATGGTGGATGACTTGATCGATTCTGAAAGACCATGGGTGGAATCTCTCATTGAAATTGGGAGTTGTTGTTGGTATGATGTCCTAGGAATTGCCGTCTGAATACAACGTGATGGTTAACTAATCCAACCCTGATCAACAACAGACATTCAGTCAACATGATTCCTGCAAAATTAGCTTGGATGATGTACTTAATATATTTTTCTTTCCCATCTTTTTTCTTGTTCTCTCTGTCATAGCTACTTTTCTCCATCCATCTTTTCATCCATGCTGTTTCAGTACTTGGAACTCAACCTTCATCCGCGGAATGTTGTTAGCGGTTTGTCAATCTTGAAGAACGTCATTTGCTTCAGAAAATATACCTAAGGTGAGAAGAATAATCATGGTTCATGCTGTGAAAAGAGTAAATAAATTGTAATATGTTGAAGGAAAAGCGTAATCATTCAATATGATTGTACATGTTGTATTTTGTAAGGGGTGGTGAATTCAAAACAGAATGGTGGTAAAAGAGACCATTGGTGGAATGTTACATTGAAATCATTTAGGAGTTGTTGTTGGTATGATGTCCTAGGAATTGCCGTCTGAATAAAAACTGATGGTTAACTAATCCAACCCTGATCAACAACAAACATTCAGCCGACATGATTCCTGCAAAATAGCTTGGATGATGTACTTAATATATTTTTTTTTTTTTTTTGTTCTCTCTGCCATATCTACTTATCTCCATGATGTTTCAGTACTTGGAGCTCAACCTTCATCCGAGGAAAGAAGTTAGCAGCTGATCAATCTTGAAGAACGTCCTTTGCTTCAGAAGATATTCCTAAGGTTAGAAGAATATTTGTGTTCTCAATCTTCTCACTCGATTAATAATGGCATATCAATTCCCGTTGAGAAATTCATCCATTGCCTGGAAAGTACACCGTGTAATTCTGGATTCAGGGTTACTGTAGGTTAACAATGTAAACTTGTGTAATAATGACTGCTTTGAGAGGCATAGTGGTTTCTATAGGGTCAAGGGAAACTCACAACCTGCTTGCGCCGCGGGGTCATAGCAGGTTGTGAGTTTCCCGAGACCCTATAGAAACAACTATGCCTCGAATATTAAAAGCAGTCAATATATATTTTATATACTGAAAAAAAGGAAAATGTTGACTCGCCCATTTAAAAAATTGGAAACAAAAAACCCCAGTATTTTGCGATCGAGACTAGTACACAAAATGGCGATCGGTCGTCTGCGCTGCGTGGATTGGTAGATTCGTCGCCTGAATGCAGCGACCAAAATCGAATTGCACTCAAACACCGTTAACAGTATTGCGCATCGGTCATCGCACAAAAGAAACTTATACGGTAACTCGTAAACCAAAATGGGGATCGCAGCAAAATGACGTCACGTTTCACAGCCATGGAAAAAGTGCTATGAAAAATGGATATAAACCGGTAGAGCCGGGAAAAATGACTATGAATTTCAATTAGCGGGCATGGTTAAGAACATGACTGCATTTTCAACCAATCAGAAGACAGGATTAGTAAAGAATCTTAAAATGAGGTATATAATGGTTGTGATAAATGTCTTGTAAATGATGAGTTACTTCTCTGACACCTCTTATCTGAATACATTGATGTCCTACAGTAATATTCTGATACAAGACGTCTATATTTATTTTCTTACTATTATTTTTACTAACAGCAATACATTTTGGTACTTTTGGTTAGTAGAAGGGGGCCAGATAATAGCGCATGTGCTATAAAAAATACCTAAAAACTGATTATAAAATTATAAAAAATTATATAAATACAAAATTTTGCATAGAGTTTTCATTCAGTGCATCTTTGTTCAACAAATCATAAATCAAGTCTAAAAATGTTTATTTGAATCCAAGCCTTTACCACTCTTTTACCATGTGAAATAATTAGTTGGATATGCATCATATCTGGTAGAAAATAATTCCTTGAATGCTGAGAGCATTGAAATAAGTACCCTAGCTAAAGGCAGGGTACTAAAGGGCATGCCTTGGGACTATATTATATTCAATTGTAAATTTATTTGAAACTGGTTATTGTTGTGCATCTGTTTCAGCATTCATTCAGTTACATTTCCTCTTTATATTTTTGTTTCTCCAAATCCAGGACCTCTCAACTACATTTGACACACTTAAAGCAGAAAGACGGCATTTGACACTTCGTACAGCAGCAGGACGGCATTTGTTCTCTGTGCATTCAGAAGTATGCAGTTGCCTGCCCAGTTAGTACTATCGTCAGGCGCAAATCAGGAAGAGATAAAAATTTGTAATTATCAACCTGCGTGTAATAGAGGGGAATCATGAGCAATTGAGCATTCAAATAATCAGAATATACACGTATAATGAAATATGATGATACGCATTGATTGGAAAAGGTTTAATGTTGAGTGGAAGATTGTAATTTGAAATGTAAGCAGGTTGAGACACATTGGAAATGCAGTCTCATTCACGTTCTGTGCTTTTTATGCCTCTGCAACGAAGTAGCCGGAGGCATTATTGTAAATGAGTTCACCTTGACCCAAAATTTTGCTATATGCCTACATTACAAGATAAGGTTGTCAGTCAAGATACATGTATATGTCCCTCTATATGAAAAGATCTCATCAGAAAGATAATAAACACTTTATTTCATTAATCATTTCTCTACAGTACTCTTCTCTTTTATTAAAAAAAGTATATGAGAGGTAACTGTTGGCCTGTTCTAATCACAAATACAAACGTAAGGTGTGAGAAATAAGTTTTTCTCTTACCTAAAACAAAGGAGCCAGTACAAGTCAAACCCATGTCTGCTCTCCCCAAAGGCAAGATGGAAATCACAACATTCTTATCAGGAATGCTACCAGTGGTAACTCCAAAAGAGGGAGGAGACAAGAAAGTGAGAGAGTTACCTTAGTTTTTTCGACCACTCGAAATTGTTTCATTGGCATTGTTGTGGCTGAGTAGCAGAGCTGCCAACCATTGTTTTTTCCGCAAAATTCCTTGATCATGAAGAAATCATTTATAAGCTATTTTGCATACAATAGATAATACTTCTATTTTCTGCATGGTGCCTCTGTGGTCTTCAACCCCACTGAATATGGAAAGTCAGATCCCATTTTCTTATTCTATTTTTCCAGTTACCGCTTTATAACATCCAGTGTTGGTGCCGATGAGCAGCAGGGTTGTGTGGTTTTTATTTTTAAAAATTCATAGTGGGCTAATGTGTAAAAAGTAACCAATCCGGACTTTGAAAAACATGACCCATGAGCTTAGGTGCTAAGAACCTCGACCCGTCTGGTCTGGCCTTGGTAAACGTAAGGCCGTATCCTTATCCAGTAATGCTCTACGCTTATGTATAACTTGTTTCACCGTTTTGTGGTTAAAATGTTCCGCGATTTTAATATTAACTTTCTTGGCATGCTCATATTGAATCATGGGCTGCCTGAGTAGGAGGACTTCTTCTTCTGTCCAAATGTCCCTCCGGTTTCTCATTGTTTGTTTTCTCGCACTTTCATCTTATCTGGCCCTTCTTCTAGTGCTCAGACATGCAGACGGGTGTCTATGTCGCTCGTGCTGAGACAGCCCTCTTTTCGTTCTACTAATAAAATAGAGTTAAAAAAAAAAAATTATAAATTAATTATAATAGAAATCATATCAATCAATCAATATTTTTAAAATAAACGGACATTATAAAAGAAAATCAAATATAATTGATAAAATAGCATGTATGTTGACAGCTTGTCATTGACTTCTTGTGACCAAACGCAGCTCCTGAAAGTAAATTGATTTAGAAAAATTGCGATCCTGGCCCAAACATCTTTGGGTACAGGCTCCATATAATCCAAGTGCAAACAAACTCGCGATACACAAAGTTCACCAAATGTAAAGTGGGTACTTCCGATGTAGAGTTGAGGTAGTCCTGAAAAGGACTGTTGGGGTAATTTGACGAAATTGCGGGATAATCAAAATAAACTAAAAATGAAAGTTCTAAACGCTAGACCGCAGCCGAGGAGCAGTCTGTTTAACATTGGGGTGTCCGCATCCCCTGTGCATTTGGGGATGTGGCACGCTAGTCCATGTGCTTTCTCAAAAGTGTGTTGGCATCGGTGCATTAAAAAATCACCCTTTTATTATGGGTTTCCTCGATGCCTACCAATCGCCTTGAGGGAAATAAAGTTCCGTACACAGCACAAGCGTTCATAGACATCCGCCTTCCTTTTAACCATAGCTATATTATTGCTATTTGAGGGTGTGCCCTCATCTTCTACGTTACCATCATCAATACTGGCGTCCTCCCACGCAAAGGAATCTTTCATATCTGTTTGTATTTCAATATTATCCATCGGGTAATTTGTACCAAGTAATTTGTGGGGTAATGTGTAAAAAGTAACCAATCTGGACTTTAAAAAAACCTCTCGCTTGACTCTGAGCTTCTCTTCCAAAAATTCATGTTCTATGGAGAAATCGAGACAACAAGTGTTATCGCAATGAAACATTTCTTACCAGTCATACTCCTAGTTCGATATTAAACTGGCCACAGAAATGAAATTTAAAATGGCTGGACATGAGATATGACCGCATTTGGGACAGATAATCAGTTAGGAAACCAAAGAGCAATATCTCTCTCTCAAATAGGTTAACCATATCTAGATTCATTCCTTAACAATGGCAAAATTATCTTCACAGAGAAGAAGATAATCACACAAAAATGACATTGTATGTAATAAAAACATCTTCCACATATTTGTATAATGATATCTCAATAATCATTTAAACTATAGTCCCATGTCAATATTCAGAGACGTAAATGAGACACTGTCCCTTCACTACGTGGAACATTCCGGGTTTTTTTCCTATCCAAACTTTCTACACTCTGACGAATGGGTATCCATTTAGAACTTAATATATCACAATCAAAATTACTTCAAAAATTTCTCTTCATATATACCATTCTGACCGCATTGATCCATAGAACCATAAAATAACAAGGTTACCCCTCTCACTCTTTCATTTTAGAACAATCCTAGGCAAATTTGCATATGTAAATGTAGCACCGACGTTTTACACGTGGTGTGAGGATCATTAAATATATCCAAACAGTTATCCATACGCAACAGAAGTCTAATCAATAATTGCATATAAAGGGAACTTTTCTTTCATTAGGACCCATGCAAATGGTTCACCCTTTCTCTGTCGGTTACCACAAAATTCACACAAACATTATACACACCAAGTACATCACGTAAACAAACAATTCAATCATACTACGAACACCGAGAACATATCACAGAACATACAGTTCCACAATCAAAAGCACTCAAGCTCATTCCATCTAAGACTATTACTCGTTGTATATATGGGTATCTAGGGATGTCTTTTCCCTTTATTACTTAAAACTTATTTAAACACACTTCTAGAAACTCAGAACATAAATCAAGCAATGTATTTTAAAAAGAGCACATGCTTCTTGTAAAACTAGTCACTCATTCAGAGCAAATCCATTCAAACATGGAACAAATCATTAACGATTATGAAAGACATTTTATATTTATAATGGTCCCAATAATCACAATTATTGAATATATCAAAGAGAAAGGTAATTTTCATATATTCATCACAATATAATAAATTTCAATTGATAGAGCTCTATAATTTGTAACACACATACAAAATATAAACATACATACATACATACATACATACATACGAAATATAACCATACATACATACATACAAAATATAAACATACATACATACATACAAAATATAAACATACATACACACATACAAAATATAAACATACATACATCCAAAATATAAACATACATGTATACATACAAAATATAAACATACATACATACAAAATATAAACGTGAAATTATAATACAAAATACAAGATTTACATGTACTGAGAACCTCTTTCTGTTTGGTGGACCACACCTGATAACTATTGTTTTGGTCCACCACTGACAAACCTGGTGATATGACCTCCAGAACCAAAATCTTTTTCAAGTTCATCAGTCATATCACCAGGATAGTTCGCCATCGCTACAGTAGGCACAGTTCCATCGTCAGGATAGATGATGGAAGTCTGTGTCATAATACAACACATTACATTGTAATTCTACCAAAAACGAATATTGAATACAAATTTTCTGATCCGACACAAAATGGACATCCTTGATAGTTAACGTCTAATCACTCATCTTTTCGAAGAAGAATAGAATATATAGAATATATCATTTATTGTCTTCTTCCAAAACAAAAGAAGCTTTACTTCCAGGTGAATCATATTACATAAAATAACACAACTTATACAAAATATAAATACAATCATATCAAAATATCAATTGCATAAAAGGAATGAATAAATAAATAATACATTTATATATTACATAAAACATTAGGATAAAGGGAAGAAGACAAAAAAGGAAGAAATGAGAAGATGTATGGGTCAGTGATATATTCTGTATGCAGTAAGTTAGGAGCTCTAACAGTTTACCCATGGTGTCACCAACGCCATCATCCTGGCAACATCTCTTAGCTCTGGATATATGCTTTAGTATATCATTTCCGTGAGCGATGAGTTCCCTGAATTTGTATTTTGGTTCTGCATGTGTTGTCGGTAAGATACCGTCAAAGAAGGAAAGCCTCGCTACATCTCTGTTAACTCTAGACGTTTGTTGTTTGAGGTCATTTCCATGACTGAGGAGTTCCCTGAACTCGATAGTCTCGAAACTTACCCCAATTGTTGTTGGAAAATAATTATCAGCGCTGACCTTTCTCTTTCTAATAAAGTTACGTACATGTATATATACTTTGGAATCAAACACTTTTCTCGTAATGAATACATTGGTATATTTCGGTTCTGCTTGTGTCGTCGGTACGATACCGTCAAAGATAAAAGAAAACCTTGCTTCATCTCTGTTAAGGAACCGGTCAACATTTTTTTCATGTATCTTAGTGATATTTACCACCTCTTCTAATGAACCGAGCGATTTGAGCGCACCCCTTTCAGTAAGGTATATCGATAAGAGAGTCCACTTTAATTCACCATCTACTCTATCGAATTGACGTAAGTGAACGAATACTTCATTTGCGTAGGAGATAACAAAAAGGCCAACCCCTGCTCTATAAGATTATCTGTCTCCTCAGTTTCCCAATCTGATATTTCACTACCTGTGACATATCCATCCAGTAGCTCAACATCAGAACTGTCCAAACTTTCACAATCTGACAGTAAAACTTTTTGTATTTTGCTTTCCCTCTTAGTAAGAAAGAGGAATGGATTTTCATCCTCGCTTGAACTAGTATCCGAATCTGACACCATTATAATTGTTCATAATACAACACATGGCGTTTTAATTCTTCCAAATACAATCATTTAATACAAATTTTCTGATCGGACACAAAATGGACATCCTTGATAGTTAACATCAAATCACTCTTCTTTTCGAAGAAGAATAGAATATATAGAATATATCATTTATTGTCTTCTTCCAAAACTAAAGAAGCTTTACTTCAAGGTGATTCATATTACATAAAATAACACAACTTATACAAAATATAAATACAATCGTATCAAAATATCAATTGCATTAAAGGAATGAATAAATAAAAATACATTCATATATTACATAAAACATTAGGATAAAGGGAAGAAGACAAAAAAAGGAAGAAATGAGAAGATGTATGAGTCAGTGATATATTCTGTATGCAGTAAGTTAGGAGCTCTTAACAGTTTATCCATGGTGTCTCCGATGCCATCATCTTGGCTACATCTCTTAGCTCTGGATATATGCTTTAGTATATCATGAGCGATGAGTTTCCTGAACTCGATTGTCTCGAAACTGACACCTATTGTTGTTGAAAAATAATTATCAGCGCTGACGTTTCTCTTTCTAATTAAGTTACGTATATGTACATATACTTTGGAATCAAACACTGTACTCGTAATGAATACCTTGGTGTATTTTGGTTCTGTGTGTGTTGTCGGTAAGATACCGTCAAAGATGGAAAGCCTCGCTACATCTCTGTAAAGGAACCGGTCAACATTTTTTTCATGTATCTTAGTGATATCTCCCACCTCTTCTAATGAACCGAGCAATTTGAGCGCACCCCTTTCAGTAAGGAATATCGATGAAGGAGTCAACTTTACTTTCCCATCTACTCTATCGAATTGACGCAAGTGAACGAATACTTCATTTGCGTAGGAGATAACAAAAAGGCCAACCCCTGCTCTATAAGATTATCTGTCTCCTCAGTTTCCCAATCTGATATTTCACTACCTGTGACATATCCACCCAGTAGCTCAACATCAGAACTTTTCAAACTCTCACAATCCGACAGTCAAACTTTTTGTTATTGCTTTTCATCTTGGTAAGAAAGATGAATGGATTTTCATCCTCGCTTGAACTAGTATCCGAATCTGACACCATTATAATTGTCTGTTTTTGTTTTCTGATGTTAACAAACTCATCCATCTTTAGAGTATGGAGTCCATGTTTTGGGGCTTCCTTTACCCCATTTCTGCGTAGGGCTAGAGTGACCATTTCTTTCTGATCGAAACGAGACAAACAAGCAAGGTTGGATATTAACATCCCACCCTTCCACCTACCACCTGGTTACTTCCTCTCTTTTAAACCGAGCAATTTGAGTGCACCCCTTTCAGTAAGGTATATCGATGAAGGAGTCGAGAAAGATGAATGGATTTTCATCCTCGCTTGAACTAGTATCCGAATCTGACGCCATTGTAATTGTCCGTTTTTGTTTTCTGATGTTTACAAACTCATGCCCACGTCTTCTACGGAACTGACCAAGAAAGTCTAGATCTCCAAATATCGATTCCGATACTAGATTAGTGAGTTTGCAGCTCTTCATTCGTGATCTTATTTCCTCACTTGGCCTTTCACCGAACTTTCCTCCGGGCAGAAAGTCATTTTTTCACTTTAAAAGCTGAAAATGTTAGGCTCTGCCCTAATCCCAACCTGCCTTCTCATGGGCCAGTACCATTTTGCCTACTTGGAGACGTTTTTTAGGGTCAATATAGTGCATCCTCTAACAGACTTAAAGTATGGAGGTAGATTGGCAAAGTGAACCCCTGCCATCCTCCTTGTAAAACTTACATGGGGCTCTAATGTGCTGGGAATGTTGCCTGAAGTTTGTCTGGACAGTAGGGAGGAATTCTCTTAGCAAATTATTCAGTTGGTCTACCCTAGAATTATAAATATCAATGTGGACGTCATGTTTGTGAGCTCTAGTCTTTTTACGGGGAAGTAACTCCGTGAACGTGATATGGGCTTGTGGGTTCAGGTACCTAACACTGTCTATTAGGTGATGGATGTCTCTCATAACCTTGTCAGGGGCGAGTGTGGGGCAGAGATGTCATTGCCTCCAATTTGGAAAATGACACACTGGTACTTAAAAATTGATAAAGAATGCAATCTGTTAATGAGGGAACCTACCGTTGCTCCAGGGAACCTGTGAATCTCGATATTGTCTTTTGCTAGATTAAGGTTGGGTGAGTACTGGCAAAGGTCTCGTATGAGGCTGTGTCCCGTGAATCTCAATATTGTCTTTTGCTAGATTAAGGTTGGGCAAGTACTGGCCGAGGTCCCGTATGACACCGTTTCCCGTGAATCTCGATATTGTCTTTTCCTAGATTAAGGTTGAATGAGTACTGGCTGAGGTCCCGTATGAGGCTGTGTCCCGTGAATCTCGATATTGTCTTTTGCTAGATTAAGGTTGAATGAGTACTGGCCGAGGTCCCGTATGAGGCTGTGTCCCATGATTAAGGTATTTATCTTGAGGACAAAATTATGAATCCAGTGATCTTATACACTAAAAGAATATTGTCACATAATTTTTCAAGTCTAAAACACAAGTATCCCTCAACAGGTGCCACATGCATCACACCCTCCACAAAGGCCATTTATACTGGATAGTCCCATCTCAGATACCAACCTCTAGAAAATGTTCAGCATTTCCAATACATTCCAATGTTGTGGAACAACACTTTCTCTTTTCATTTAAAAATGTTAATTTCTGTACAGTATATGATTATGTATTATATTGAAAATGCAGAAATTAAAAAAATATTTTTGTTTTCTCACTGCTTCTATGAATTGTTTTCTTTTTTCATCATGTGAAGTCTTGTGATTCTGCAGATTGGAAAAAAGTTGGTGGGCTTTTTCCTACCTCAACCACTCTAGTAATGGTTAAAGTGGAGAGCCATTTTGCATAATCCTTCCGTAATCCCTTTTTCCTCTCACGAGTGGCATGGGCTCCCATTCTGAGATTTAGGTGCTTGAAAGTTCTGTAGCGACCATTCTCTGCGCCACAGTTGAACGAAAGAGCAATGACAAGGTGTGATCATACATTGTAAGATTTAACGAATTAAAAATCCTGTTGCGACTTTGCTCTGCGCCACAGTTGAATGCAATCACAGCCATGTTGACTGCAGCTCGAACAACACGTGGACCTCTCTCCACATGTGTTTAGGACACCGTTTCCAGATGAGAGCATTGAAGCTCTCATTCTGGTTCTGGGTGATACCTGGGAGGCATCTCTCAAGGAGATCTGGAGCACTGAGTCGCGTGAATATAGGCAACAGATACTTGAGAAACACAGGGTCTAAGTGATTCTCGCTTTTCTCCAATGTGCCCTTATTTTTGTACTCACACCACCCGTTGTCGGGACAGTATTGATGAGACAGTAAAGTTATCTAAAGCCTTATACATCCTCTTCCCTACATGTCCTACACATTCTATTTTACGTACTTTATGCCCATTCCCTTAGAGCTTCAGCTTTCTTTCAGAGGCTGTCTGCTTTGGAGGACTAAGTTCTTCATCAATCCTGGCTTTTTTCCAGTCTTGCCATCTGGTTCCATGAAAACCCTTCCTCTTTTTGACGTATTTTGGACCTTTTCGACCCATTTTAGCAAATACAAAATTGTGTGTGGAAAGATAGCATGGGCTGACTTAGTGGAGTAAAAAAAATGTTGTACAACCCTCACCTACAGATGGCAGCAAACACCTTTACATTGAGTGATTCTTGTGGAGCAGGAAGAGATCTTTAGATTGATATCTTACTCTAAAAAATTGATTGAAAAATTAAGAAATTATGCCATTTTGAAGATTTACTTTTGATTGTACTTTTCAAGCGCCTAAAGGTCATTTATTTAGACAAATTAAATGTCTTTGAACAACTAATCAAGGTATTTTTAGTGCATTTTTTTGCCCCAAACTCAGGATTTAGCTTGAGTAAATATTACTGAATCAAATGGAATAAAAATTTAATAAATGATTTTTTGGACCATTTTTTTTGCATTATCTGTGTACCTCCTGCCTTAAGTTCCATGCAAATGTATTTTTTTATTTGTTATATAAATTTTTAATTTCTATGTAAATTGTTTGTTTTTCTACAAAATAAAGTTATTTACACTCAAACTTGAAGTTATATACATATCATGTTATTTGTTGTCAAAGATGATACATTTACAGGAATGGCAAAAAAGAGCCAATGAAGTAAAACCCAATTAATTGAGATCTACAGGAAAATGAGAGATGAGAGAGAAAGAGGAAAGAGAATAATTACAATGTAGCGAAAGTGAATATCTCTAAGGGGGGGGGGGGGGGGAGGGTGAGAGGAAGAGGAAGGAGAACAACAGAATATGAAAGATGACTATTGTGGAATTGTGGAATGGAACGGGATGCTCATAGGATAATAAATGGAACGAAAGGAGAAAGAAATATAAAAGTGATTGAAATCCTAGTATGGGGTCTAGGATGCTGATACAGTTAGAGAGAGGAGGGAGAAGGAAAGACGCCGTGGGAAATGAGAATACAGCACAAACTAAATTGGAGTCTTTTGTCAGGACACAGTGACAGATAAAGAGTGAAGCCCATCGTGAGGGATGAGGGCACATTGAAATAAAGGTAATATAAAGTTTTGGGAAATTTGAAAATTGGCTGGATCGTGATTCTTTACAATTTTGATATAATTGGATGCCCCTGTGAATGTTTAGTAAGCACTAGAAAATTTACCCCCGAAAACACGGCCATACAATGGTAGCTGCGACCATGACAATCTCAGAATATGTAGTTGTGATATATAATTTCCAAACGGGAATAGATAATCGGTCGATTTTAGTCAAGAAACATTGTTTTTATAGCTTAAATAATATCTTGACCTTGAGAGGGAGCTAAACTCTATTTCAACCTCGACAACGGTCACTGAATACTGAATATTGTAGGATCGCATAATATGTTCATTTGGACAAATGTCATGACCCCATTCATACCGAAACTTTGTATTACCTTTAACCTGGGCCGTTAACATTCACACAGAGGCGTCTCGGGAGGGGGTAGTAAATGGACTGTAACCACCCCCCCCGTTTAGTATTTGCGTTTGTCATCGATTTGAATCTGAAGATTTTTTTTTCTTTGCCTCCGCCCGCCGAATGCGGTGCCGGAGACGTAGTTTCTTTGCTTGTTTTCAGCTAACCATAGTTGGTATAATTTAGTCCGACCTCCCCCAACCACACACACACACACCATTCAAAATAACCTGGGAGGCACCTGAGAGAGGATAGTGAAAGAGAGGAAGGATCAAAGAAAGGTCGAGTGGATGGAGGAGATAAACGATAGAATATATAGAACACAGGAAAGAGAGAGAGAGAGAGAGTGAATGTTAGACCTCAAGTCCCGGGCCTCAGTCACACGAACAAACTGACGCAATACTGCCGACAAACAGACCAAGTCTTGGCTATTGGTGATAATGGAATTTTTCGCTCTGGCTGGTGTTGGTCTCGCGGTGTGACAGACTCTAGAGGACCCCAGCTCGATTCCCAGTTACGTGTTTTGGATGTTGACTTTGGAAGCCCTAAAACGTAAATAGACAGAATTATACATGTATCATTGATTGCCTGTAAAAGTCCAAATATATGCACTAACACACGCCCATATGGTTATGGAAGAGAAAGAGATATAGTCGATAGAAACAGTTGCGTGATGAGCAAAAAACTTTGATGGGGCTTATAATAACAAGAAAAGGAGGTAAAAGGGCGCTTATCAGAGGTGAAAAGGGCGCTTATCAGAGGTAAAAAGGGGCACTCATCAGTGATGCAAAGGGGCACTTATTATACAAAGGAAAAGATCGACACCTCAGATTTAAATAAGAGCAATTATCAGAGATGAAAGGGGCACTTTTTAGAGGTGGTAAAAAGGACACTTTTCGTACCTGAAAATGGGCACTCACCAGAGATGAAAAGGGGTATATATTACAAAGGAAAAGGGGGCACCTGTCGAACGAAAGGGGGCACCTGTCTTATTTTAATAGGGGCAATTATCAGAGGTGAAGGCGAACTTATCGAAGGCACTTGTAAGAATGCGGAACGAGAAAGAAAAAGAGGCACTTATCGGAATTAAAAGGGGGCACTTTTTCTATGTGTATAAGGACAATTTTAGAGTACATAACGCGTGCCTTCCCCCCCCCCCCCCCCTCCAGGGAGCACCACCTCTGTCAAGAGGGAACGGGCCGATATTCCAGACGACTAGTAGAAGGCCATATCTGATAATTCCCTGGTGGCAGGCGCGTACGCAGGGGGGGGGGGGTCAAACCCCCCCCCCCATCAATTCTTTTTTGTGTTTGTGTTATGGAGAAACCCTCCCCCCCCCCCCCTCTAATTTGTGTTTGTTTGTTTTTATTTATAAAAAAATTAAAATTATGCTAATGGTGACCTAAAAAAGGTGACCATTTAAAAGAGAGCCCCTTTCCCTTCTCATAATTGCCCCTTTTCTCCTATGCTAATAGTCCCTTTTCATTCTCATAAGTGCCCCTTTTCTTCTCTGGTAAATGCCCCCATTAAAATCTGATCGGTGCCCCTTTTCTTTCAACAAATGCACATTTTCCTTAATTATTAGTGCCCCTTTTTCATTCTCATAGGGTATTTTCATCCCTGGTGAGTGCCCCTTTTTAAGGTGTAAGAAGTGCCCCATTTTCAACTCTGCTAATTACCTGTTGTGTCATTCCTTTCGATAAGTGTCCCCTTTTCCACTCATCAATAAACCTGCCCCTAATTTCAAGCGACGAAAAGCAAACGAATTTTCAACCCATCACACCAAACTGCAATATATTATACAATGTATAAAGAGAAACAAACATTGAAATCATCCCTGATAATGAAATCACAATTATAGGGTTATATGCCAATGTTTAAAAATTGTATATTGTATATTTTCGCTTTGAGAATACCCTTTGGAGGTGCCCCTTTTTTTTCTTCCAGAAATCGCCCTTTTTTGTTGGTGCCCCCCCCCCACTTTGGAAGTCGCTCCGCCGCCTCTGGATAGAGGAGGGACAGAGAGAGAGAGAGAGAGAGAGAGCGAAAACAGTACCTGCTAAACAAGATTAAGTTATATCGTCTTTAATTATGTTACTATTTGTTTCCTCGCTCGCATTGCTCGCGCGCAAACGAATTTTCAAACCATCACACCAAACTGCAATATATTATACAATGTATAAAGAGAAACAAACATTGAAATCATCCCTGATAATGTAATCACAATTATAGGGTTATATGCCAATGTTTAAAAAAGTGTATATTGTATATTTTCGCTTTGAGAATACCCTTTGGAGGTGCCCCTTTTTTCCAGAAAGTGCCCCTTTTTGTTCGTGCCCCCCCCCCCACTTTGGAAGTCGCTCCGCCGCCTCTGGATAGAGGATAGAGGAGGGAGAGAGAGAGAGAGAGAGAGAGAGAGAGAGCCAAAAAAAAACACTATCTGCTAAACAAGATCAAGTTATATCGTCTTTAATTATTTCTTGTCAATAAATGCAAAATAATAATAATAAGTTCAAAAATATTGTTTCCTTCAATATAAATAGCACACTTGAGAATCTAACATTCTGAATATGACAAGAATTATGATGTATAATTAATTTAAAATTAGGTACATGTTTATATGGACTGGGCACAACGGTAGAAACTTGAAATAATGCTTTCATGATATTCTGTATTTGGACATTAAGAATGATACAACTTGACAACATATTAATCAGAATCGAATAGCACGGAATAGCATTGATAATCTTCAACATAAATGCAAGCCATTATACAATAACCACTTAAGTAATTAAAATAAATCTATATACCGCAGTTTACGTACATAAGGACAGTACTTTTCCGAGACAAGAAGAATAATTTTTCACTTTCAAATTAACCCGAAATATAGTCTGATTTCCAAGGTATACCTTTATCAAAATATAAATGCACGTGTTTTATTTAGTAAAATGTATGTATAGATTGATCAATACAAGAAAACTGATAATCTTCGACTTGTCCTATTTTCTGTCATTTATATCGTCTTATAATCAAAAGATCGTTTTTTTTTTCTTCTCAATACTTTGTGTTACGTAGAAAATAGAAACATAAAGGTTGCACTGAAGTGTATATAGCCAAATGTAATACTATGAATATTATACAGAATAAATATTAAAACAATAAATATTAAAACACCAGTTAGCCTACACTAAAACCAGACTCCGTAATTTAATCGTGCTAAAGACCGGTTGTAAACTTGACTACGGTATAGACATGGTGTAAACTATAGGTTTCCATTAAAAAAAAAAATCATATTTGTTGTTTTAATCTAGCTTATATCTTGTCATAAGTGATAACCAACCTGTCATAAGCTAGACTAGGTTCATTGACCTGGCTTTTCATTGAAAACACGATATTGCATTTTATTATCCACCAAATCGGCAGACTTACAGAAGAACATCCACGGTGACCTTTACCGTGATAAAATCAATAAATGAAATTAAAAAAAAAAATTGCGTTACCTTGAGATTTTGAAGTTTTAAAATAGTATAGAATGTTAGTCTGTATGAATTGGCTAATTTCGTACTTATTCTATAGTTCTATCGAATCATTAATGTAGTTTGTTTTCTAATATATCTTTGAGTATTTGTATCATGCTATCTTCTTTAGTGCTCTGTTCGGCATACGTAGTGGCGAAGAGCGCCTCCCCGAACAAAGTTGCGATCTCCTCCGAGTGTGGGGGAATGTCGGGATCGACCACGGGTTCGTTTCCATTGATCTGAAGGGAGAGAGAAGAGAGAGAGAGAGAGAGAGAGAGAGAGAGAGAGAGTGAGAGAGAGAAAGAGAGAAATAGTGAGGAAGAGAAGTGTGAAAGGAGAGTGAGAGAGAAAGAGTAAGATGGAGAGAGAAAGTGAAAATGAGGAAGAGAAAGAAAAGGAGAGAAAGAGGAAAGGGAGAGAGAGAGAGAGAGGTATACAAGAGAGAGAAAAACGGAAACGAGAGCGGAAGGGTCGAGGAAGAGAGAGAGAGAGAGAGAGGGGAGAGAGAGAGAGAGAGAGAGAGGAGAGAGAGAGAAGAGAGAGAGAGAGAGAAAGAGAGAGAGAAAGAAAGAGAAAGAGAGAGAGAGAGAGAGAGGGGGGGGGAGAGAGAGATCGTCATTCATTATCAGCTTGAACTCATAATAAAGATTTTTGTTCATACATGAAGAATGCAATGTTTCTTTTTCTTTTCCCGAATGTTATCAATTCGTAACCCTTTTGTACATGCAATTACATGTAGTATGTCATCACACCGTTATCATCACTACCAGCAAATTCAAAATATTCTATAGCTATACCGTTAAAAGAAAAATCCAAGCTTAGTAGATTATTATAGGACCTACTCCAAAAGAAAGCAGTTGAATCAGAAAAGCAAACTGGTCAAAGTTTGAATGAAATTGGATTAACCCCAAAAAGAATATAAGAAGATATGAATTCTAGAAAGTTGTAATCTCTATTCACATGGGCACTTCAAATTGCCCAAGTCACTGTAATGTAGCGTCTGACAATTTCTTTTTTTTTAAACACATAATAATGCATGAAATGTCAATTTTTCAAAATGTATTAAACAGGATGGTCTTTCTTTTCTGAGGGCCTATTTTGAGTAGTGCCCCAAGAATATTCGGCACTTATGTAAGAGAAATTAATGACATATTTTCTACCCCAAACGAAAATGTTGTCCGTGATTATATTACAGCCAATAAAATTAATATGAGCTTCGCATACAGTGATCTCATTCATAATTCTCTCATTATTTGCCCGATTTATTTCAAAATTGCACCATCCTATTTCTCTAGGTTTTTTGTTGTCATGCAAATAAACGTATTACAAAGGTGGGATTGCCCTTCAATGGACATCTTCTAAAAGAATGATAAGGAGAAGGGTCCTGACGAATTTAAGGGGCACGTCCGACACCAGCGCTCCTTTGTTTTGTTTTATTTCTTATGGCTTTGTTGTCCTATTTCTCTATGTTTTCTGTTTTCATGCAAATGAACGTATTACAAAAGGTTGGATTGCCTTTTAAATGACATCTTCAGTCTAAAAAAAAATGACAAGGATAAGGGTCTGACGGGATTAAGGGGCACGTCCGACCTGTGTGCTCCTCAAGATAGGCCTATTTGTTTTGTTTTTATTTCTTTTAGCTTTGCCATCTTATTTCTCTGTTTTCTGTTTTCATGCAAATGAACGTATTACAAAAGGTTGAATTGCCCTTTTATGAACATTTTCAAAAAGAATGATAAGGATAAGGGTACTGAGGGAATTAAGGGACACGTCCGACACATGCGTTCCTTGAAATTAAATAAGATATATTTTGTTTTGTTTTATCTAGTTTTGTTTTTATTTCTTATAGCTCTGCTGGCATTGTGCTCCCAGCCCCACCTCCGGTTTATACCGAATCCTATAGATGTGCCCAGCCTGTATAGAAGTGTGGCCATTCAGGTTTTACCAAGAAGCTAGGAGGAGTCTCTCCTTGTTTTTACATACCGCGTCGACGATGTGCTGTTTGATTTCGTATTCAGCCTCCTTCTCGACATGTTGAAATCTTTCCAAGATATCGACATTCGTTTCAATCTGGTCAGCCGTCTTCCACTCGGCAACTTTCATCGTTAGCAAGGTTCTTGCCTTCTGGCGGAAGTTAGCGAGCAGCATGCGACCCTTCTCCTTTATCTGATGAAAAATAGAAATCAAGAAGATTATTTTCTGGAATTAAACACATTAATGCAAATGGAGTGGCGAAGAAATGCCTGAACCCGCATAAGCTATCTCAATACGTGATTAAAAGGCTAAAGGCGATTTCTCGATAGCATTTGTGATCCGATTTAGTGGATAATATGGATTTCCATAATGTGGAAAGATAAAGAGAAAACGATACAAAAGCCCTCTTCAAGCTACGGATCCCCGGAAATCCGTCCATTCTCGTGCATTTTTAATGAAGAATTAGTTTTTTTTATCTGCTTTCAATATGGCATAGTCCTAATTCGGACATGATTTCTCCGCTGTTGTCCTTAAACTATTGCGTATTTCATTTTCTTTTAATACCTGGCATCAGACGCAATAAAACATAGTCATGAAAAAGAAATGGATACAGTGGGTGCAGAAATGTTGCTCTTTCTTCTTATGCACCTAGTATCATTTTTTTTTTTTTTTTTTGGGGGGGGGGCTGAATAAAAAGCTAATGAGTCAAAAATACAAAATGTGGATGATTGTCGCGAAAGGGCTATTGGGGTAGTAATGTTGAAGCTCGATGCAGCAGCGTCATGACGTGATGGACACGATTTGAGCGCCAGGCGCGGATCCAGGATTTCTTAGGGGGGGGGGGGGGGAGGCCCAAATTTGAAATTATGCGATCCAAATATTGGTACGTAATGGTGACCAGCAGTGACGTAATGCGGGGGGGGGTCGGTGCAGGGAGGGGCGAGTTTCCCCTCCCTCCTCCGCGAAACGCGGAAACTTTGATTAAATCATTATATTTCATTAAATCATTATATTAGAGAAACAAGACAATTCGTTGTACAGTTCTCGTCTCTTAATCCTCGTCTGAACTTAGTTCCTCCCCCCTCCCGCGGGAAGCGCGGAAGCTTTTACGTTTTATTAAATCATCAGAGAAACAAGACGATTCGCTGTACAGTTCTCGACTCTTAATCCTCGTCTGAATTCAGGTTCTCCCCTCCCGCGCGAAGCGCGGAAGCTTTTAAGTTCATTAAATCATTAGAGAAAGAAGACGTATTTAGTTTCCCCCCCCCCCCCCCCCGCGCAAAGGGCGGAAGCTTTTACAATTCATTAAATCATTAGAGAAAGAAGACGATTCGTTGTACCGTTCTCGAAAATAATCCTCGTCTGGATTTAGTTTCCCCTCCCGTGCGAATCGCGGAGGCTTTTACGTTTCATTAATCATTAGAGAAACAAGACGATTCGCTGTACAGTTCTCGACTCTTAATCTTCGTCTGAATTCAGGTTCTCCCCTCCCGCGCGAAGCGCGGAAGCTTTCGATCCTTTAAATCATTAGAGAAACAAGACGATTCGCTGACAGTTCTCGACTCTTAATCTTCGTCTGAATTCAGGTTTTCCCCTCCCGCGCGAAGCTTGGAAGCTTTCGATTCATTAAATCATTAGATAAAGAAGGCGATTCGTTGTACCGTTCTCGGAAATAATAATCGTCTGAATTTAGTTCCCCCCCCCCCCCTCCCGCGAGAAGCGCGGAAGATTTTACGTTTCATAAAATCATTAGAGAAACAAGACGATTCGTTGTACAGTTCTCGAAAATAATAATCGTCTGAATTTAGTTCCCCCCCCCCCTCCCGCAAGAAGCGCAAAAGATTTCACGTTTCATTTATTCATTAGAGAAACAAGACGATTCGTTGTACAGTTCTCGACTATTTAATCCTCGTTTGAATTCAGTGTTTCCCCTCCCGCGCGAAGCGCGGGAGCTTTTACGATTCATTAAATTATTAGAGAAAGAAGACGATGCTTCGTTCCGTTTTCTACTCTCAATCTTCTCCTTTTTCTTCCCACGTCCTCTTCTTTTTCTCTCCTCTCTTTTTTATTTTTTTTGGCCGGTGATTTTGGGAGGACCGCACCCACCCCCCTCCCCCCTGGCTACGCGCCTGCTGTCAGATAAACACACTTTGATACCTTGTCCGACCCCGGAAGCTCCGGGGTTTAAGGCAATAAATTACGGTCAGATAAGCATTCAGGGGCCAGAGGCAGTGGAGCCCCGGAAGCTCAGGGTTTTAGGCGTTTAATTACGGTCAGTTGAGCTTTTTCTTTTTGATACCTTATTATTTTGTGACACTGGCAGGACACTATTCGGCATGGGTCCAGGGGGCGAAGCCCCAAAAAATCAGGGGTTTGGGCAATAAATTACCGTCAGATGACCATCTAAGGGCCCGCCTTAGGGCCCTAGGTGGAATCCAGGGGGCAAAGCCCCCGGAAGCTTAGGGGTTTCAAGCATTTAATCACGGTCAGATGAGCATATTTTGATGCCTCATTATTTTTTGACACGGGCAGTTAACTATTCTTACTTTCTTGCTCTCTTCTTCTTTTATTTCTCTGTAATATACTTTTTCAAAAAAAGTGGGCGGGGGGGGGGGGGGGGGGAGCTCGAGGCTCCCGATCCCCGCCGTTCCTCGGGCCCTGACATGAAGGAATCTCAAGAATCATATTTCTTACCTGGCTGTAAATTTAGGAATTCGTCATTTTCCAACAAACACATAAAAAAGTATAATTTACTAAACAGTCAGGAAATTATGTCATTTCAGCATTATTTGTAATCCACCGTTATGGAATTAGAAATAAACCGCGTTTGAATTTGATTTCCTCAAGCCTCCTCCCCCCCCCCCCCTATCAGTACGCCAGTATCTCCTCTTTTCCTTTTTTCTTTCCCCTTCCTTCTCTCTTATTTTTTTGATCGCGGGTGGGGGGCAACAACCTGGGAGGCAAAGCCCTTTCGGCCCCCGAACTCCTTCTTCCCCCTTTTCTTTTCTTCTCCCTCTTCTTTCTTTCCCTTTCTCTCCTTCTTTTCCTTTCAGGAGATGCATAATTTACTTTACTTTACTTTAATACACGATGTTGTAGGTCTAAGCCTGTTCTTCGATCCAGGATTCTTCCATGGTTACTGCTATTTGTGGAGGGTGGAGGTTGTGTATAATAACACGACACAACAGACAACACCTAGACCGAGTGGATTTCCATTTCTTTCTATAGATGTAGAGCGAGGAGATAAAGAATTGGAAGAAAATGGAGCGTAGGATTGTTTTGAGGGAGGGGTTCCAGTCCCCGGTCGGCCCCTATTCCATAACACTTGGCAGTTGGCACATAGTCTGAATTTTTTAAATAATGCATACACACTCATACACATACACACTACAATGAAATGACTATAATTAATGTTATCACTGCTAAAGTTGTGATTTGGGGCGTTTTTAGGTTCTGTTTCCCGTTGACATTGAAAGAAGAAAGCTACTAAATCCGAAAGCGGACTATAAAGCCAATTAGCATGGGTAATCTCAAATGGCCTATCTATTGAGAGTCTAAGCCCATACTAATTTGTTGCCTTGCCTGATGGACTTCCAACCCATCAGGCTCGTGCCGGTAGCCTACCTGTTTCTCTGATATCTCCCTTTCCGTCGGCGACGACGCAACCGACACTGCGCAGACGATCACGAAAACAACAAAAAATGCCACTCGCGCCATTTTCAGTCTGTACCTCGATCCCAACTTCAAGCAATCCACCGTCTTCAAACCAATCTCGCGAAAGTTTCAACTTTGTTTGGGCCTAACCTCCTCTCTGATGCGAATGCGAATGCCTATGCAGTATTTTGTATACGCTTTATATAATTTAACCTCTGCAAATAAAAGCGAAGGCTTACCAGGGAGGTGTTTTAACTCACATACCCTGGGCTTACGATGGGCGTGTACGCTGCTAAGCCACGTGTACAAAGAATTTTGCTCTCTTTTATTTTCAATGACAAAAGATACCTCTTTTGTTATTTTGAGTTTTTGATGAGATGCATCCAAGCATGCATGATGATCGTAAAAGTGCATGTCTATTCACGAGTATGTGTGTTGTCTATTAATTCACCTTGTGCAGATTGCGTACAGTATATTACTATGGATTGGAGTGTCTTTTCTGAATGCTAAAAGTCACATCGGCTTGACAATAGTCAAGGATTAAGCCGAAACCATATACCGACAATGCCGGGCAGCAGTGCTTTATAAAATAACACAGGAAAGTGAAATATCTTACTATGGTGCCAGCTTAAATATATGCTTGTCTTTCATTCTCGATAGGGGAAGCCGGATAGAATATTTCTACGTCCAAAGATATTTTCCCCTAAACCAGGGAGATGTGACTTTCAAAGTCACATCGATCTATAGACATTTCTCCCGCTAACAGTTATAACAGTCTAGATGGCCATTAAATCGAACAGGTGAATAATTACAAGAGGAAGAGACTACAAATATAACGAAGGAAACGAGGATCTGTCGATATATTGTAAGTGTTTACCCCCCCCCCCTCCTAAATCAATAGAAAAACGGAATTCTCTGTTAAATATCTCAAACATAGACTGGGCTAAAATGTTCTTATTTAGTTCATTATAGCTAGGTCATGTTTATCTACACGGATCCGTTATTTTCAGTTTAAGATTATACATCGTATAGTTGGTGTGTTAATAAATATCTTAAATTATCAAATATTTTGACTTATGTTTAGTTTGTTTTAAGTCTGAGGAATCTATAGAACATTTATTTCGGGATTGCCCAATCATTAGAATGTTTATTGCGGATGGCCAACATTTCAATCTAAAGGATAAAGTTACGTTGAATACAATTCATTTCTTATTTGGATTTTATGGAAACGTTGGAGTTCAATTTAATTGTATTATTTTATATGCCAACAAATACTACATATTTTCCAACAAATGCAGGATTGAAATCGCACAGAATACATTTCTGGCAAGAAAGACTTATTTACAGCAAGACAAGTGAAATTTGAACTTAGAATGAGACTGATAAATTGTTATGCCTGGTCTTTTCTATTGTATGGAGCAGAAAATACGGACATAAACCAAGGCTACGGAAAAGAAAATCACATTATTTGAAATTTGGGGGTACAAGAGAACGATGAGAATATCGTGGAAAGATTTGAACACTGAAATAGAAATATTGCATACGGCGCGGCGGGGCTTAAACAAGATATCCTTGTAAAAAAAAAGTGAAAGAAAGAAAGGCGAAACATTTTGGTCATATTAAAAAAATCAGAGTCTCTTGAAGGATATGTTAGAAGGAAAAGTAGAAGGTACTAGACCAAATAGGGAAGAAACAACCAGGAGGAGAACATAAAGACATTGGGAGCAGGGGCGTCGCTAGACCTTTTTCAGTGGGGGGGGGGGGGGGGGGGGGGTGTAGAGGCCAACGATTACCGACAAAACTAGCCACCAATTACCGACAAAATTAAATGTCCAATATCTACAAATTCAACCCTATAAACCTGGGGCCGAAGGGTAAATTTTTTTTCCTATGGACTATCTATAGTACTTGCAAATGCGAAAAATTGTCATTTTCCTCGACGACATAAATATACGAATTATTTATTCAATTTAGTCAGCATCATAGCTATATATTTTAATGCAGACGCGGAGCTAGGATCTTATTTTAGGGAGGGGCGGTAGTGAGCAAGAGAATCATTTAAAAGCGCGCTCATTAAGGGGGTGTGGGTGATGGGCCTCCCGCGCGAAGCGCGGAAGCTTAGACGTATCCTTAAATTATTAGGAAGAGAAGACGATTAATTGTACCGTTTTCGACTGTTAATCCTTGGCTGAATGAAGTTTCCCCCTCCCGCGCGAAGCGCGAAAGCTTTGACGTTTCATTAAATTATTATAAAAAAGAAGACGATTTGCTGTACCGTTCTCGACTGTTTATCCTTTTCTGAATTCAGTTCCCCCCCTCCCGCGCAAAGCGCGGAAGCTTTGACGTTTCATAAAATTATGAGAAAAAGCAGACGATTCGGTTTACTGTTCTCCACTCTTAATCCTTGTCTGAATTCAGTTTCTCCCCCTCCCGCGCGAAGCGCGAAAGCTTTGACGTTTCATAAAATTATGAGAAAAAGCAGACGATTCGGTGTACTGTTCTCCACTCTTAATCCTTGTCTGAATTCAGTTTCTCCCCCTCCCGCGCAAAGCGCGAATGCTTTGACGTTTCATAAAATTATGAGAAAAAGCAAACGATTCGGTGTACTGTTCTCCACTCTTAATCCTTGTCTGAATTCAGTTTCTACCCCTCCCGCGTGAAGCGCAGAAGCTTTGACGTTTCATTAAATTATTAGAGAAATAAGACGATTTGCTGTACCGTTCTCGACTCGTCTTAATGAAGTTTTCCCCCTTCCGCGCAAAGCACGGAATTTTTGGCGTTTCATCACAATATAGATAAAGGAAGACGATTCCTCGTACCGTTTTCGAATCTTATTAAGCCCTATTCATCTGCATTCAGTTTTCCCCCACTCGCGCGAAGTGCGAAAGCTTTGACGTTTCCTCAAATTATTAGAGAAAGAAACCTATTCGTTGTACCGTTTTCGACTCTAAATAAGCCCTATTAATTTTGTCTGAATTCAGTTTCCCCCTCTCGCGCGAAGCGCAGAAGCTTTGACGTTTCCTTAAATTATTAGAGAAATAAGACGATTCGTCGTACCGTTCTCGACTCGTCTTAATGAAGTTTTCCCCCTTCCGCGCAAAGCGCGGAATTTTTGGCGTTTCATCACAATATAGATAAAGGAAGACGATTCCTCGTACCGTTTTCGAATCTTTTTAAGCCCTATTCATCTGAATTCAGTTTTCCCCTCACTCGCGCGAAGTGCGAAAGCTTTGACGTTTCCTCAAATTATTAGAGAGAGAATACGATTCGTTGTACTTTTTTCGACTCTGAATAAGCCCTATTAATTTTGTCTGAATTTAGTTTTCCCTTCTCGCGCGAAGCGCTGAAGCTCTGACGTTTCCTTAAATTATTAGAGAAAGAAGACGATTTGTCGTACCGTTCCCGACTCGTCTTAATGAAGTTTTCCCCTTCCGCGCGAAGCGCGGATTTTTTGGCGTTTCATCACAATAATGAAGAAAGGAAGACGATATAGAGAAAGGAAGACGATTCCTCGTACCGTTTTCGAATCTTATTAAGCCCTATTCATCTGAATTCAGTTTCCTCCTCTCTCGGCCGACCGACAACATCTCACCGACTTCAAACTTCTGCATTGGTATAGTACACGAGGATCGATCAAGAATACCGACACAGCTGACCCGACACAATATTTACCCGTGTCTTTCTTGCTCCCTCGACGAGACGACTCCACCCAACAACCCCCTTCTCTCTTTTACTCCCACTCCTCCTCTCTCAGACTCTTACCTCCCCTCTCTCTCCTCTCTTTCATCCCCCGTTTCTTTTGTTTCCCTTTCACTTTTTTTTTCTTCTTTTTTCCTTTTCTTCCTTTTTTTCTTTTCCTTTCTTTTCTCTCCTCCCTCGTTTTTTTTCTCTTTCTTTCTTCTCTTTTATTTCCTTTCTTTTCCTTCCTTTCCTTTCTTTTTCTTTTTTTCTTCTTTTCTTTTCCTTTTCTTTTTTTCTTTTCTTCCCTTTCCCTCTCTTTTTTCCCCTCTCTTTTTTTCCCTCTCTTTTTTTTCCCTCTCTTTTTTTCCCTCTCTTTTTTTCCCTCCCCCTTTTCTCTTTTTCCCACGGCAGCGCAATTTTACCGACAATATCCTGACAGGTGGGGGTGTCGCACCCCCCCCCCCACACCCCCCTTTGGCGACGCCCCTGATTGGGAGTGTTTCTCAAAGACTAAGATCGACTTTAAGTTGGACTTAACTCTAGCAGGCCGTTCATGCCACTGTTTGCTCTCACTATTTACTGGCAGTAGTCTCTAAAGGGACGTACAAATCATGGTCACAAATCTACAGAATTTACCTTTTTTGATAGTTCATTATTGAAGGAAAAAATATTATCTAAAGATCATAATTGAGAGAGTAGAGACCAATGGTGAGAGCAACCAGTCGCATGAATGGCCTAGTCTTCCAAAAGTAGGGAGGGGGCACCAACAAAAAAGGGCACTTACTGGGAAAAGGGCCATTAAGTACAAAAGGGAAACATCAACAAAACCTACACAATTTTTAGACATTGGCATATACCCCTACATCGTCACGATTGTGATTACACTGCCAGGGATGATATCAATATTTGTTTCTTTCTTTACGTGATACAAGATACTGCTTAATTAAGCAACATATTTTGCATTTAGGCGTGATAGTCTGAATATTCATTTTCGAGCGAGCTAGCAACAATTTAAAGATTTGTGAGGTCCCAGTCCCAAAAATTACATCTCATAAAGAAGACCCCCCCCCCCCCAAAAAAAAAAAAAAAAACCCCGATGAGTATCAAGCACAATCTAATGAAGAAAGACTGAAAAGTTTTTTTTATTATTAACAAAATTATACCATCTATAAATGCGAGCGAGCGAGCTCTAGGGAAAATTAAAGAAGAAAGGGGCTCTAAGTCGCCTTGAATTAGGGGTGCATGTTATAGAGAAAGGAAAATTAGGCTCTTATCAAAAGGGAAAAGGAAAGTTATTCAAAAAGAAAAGGTGCTCGTGTCAAAGTAAAAAGGGCAATTATCAGAGCCTTCAGAGGTAAAAATGGCACTGCTTGCACCTGAAAAGGTACACTCAACTGAAATGAAGAGGCACTTGTGAGAATGTAAATGAGGAATGTGTTAGGAGGAGAAGGGCACCTATCAGATTTTGATAGGGGCATTTATCAGGTGTTAAAAGGGGCTTTTTGAAAAGGGGGAGGGGCTGACATAAAAAATGAAAAGGGGCACTTATCCAAGGGAATAAACTTATTAGAAAGGAAAAGGGGTACGTATCAAAATTAAAGGGGCTCTATCAGAGGTGGAAAGTGGCATTTAAGAGGAAGTGAAGGGGGTTCTTATTAGGCGGGGAAAATATATTTATTAAAAGGGAAAAGGGCACGAGTCAAAGTAGAAAAGGGCAAACATATCAGAGGTGAAAAGGGGAATTTTTTCGCACCTGAAAAGACGTACTCACCAGAGATGAAAAGGACAGTTATTAGAAAAGAAAAGGGGCACTTGTCCTATGTAAAAAGAGGCTTTTTGTGGGTACCTGAAAAAGAGGGTGGCAACAGTGTTCCCCCCCCCCCACCGGGAGTGCCGCCTCTGGCATACTGGGCAAAAATTTGAGAAAAAACCCGGAAAATCATGACATTTCAACAACATTTGGAAATCACTGTTATCGAATTAGAAACGAACCACGTTTGAATTTTATTGGGGGGGTCAACTGACCCCAAGCTCCCCTTCAGTACGCCAGTGATCGTCATCTTCATCAACTTTCAACATCACTACTATTACTACCTGGATTATATATCTTCAAAACTATTCTGTTTTAGTTGTCTTTCTATTCATCTCTCTGTCTATCTCTTTCTATCTTTTTTTTTCTCTCACATTAAACTTTGGGAACCATTGTCTCCAACTCTACAGAAAAGAAAAAATAAATAAAATCTAAAGATAAGTATACAGCAGATGTATATTACAATATAATCATTTATTCAATTGAGATGAAAGATCAATATATATATTATGGAAACATTACAAAATGAACAAATACAATTGTAAACATACGTTTTTACACAGATCAATAATACAAAAGATTATACATTGCACTTTTTATTAATGTGATGTTCATGATCATCATCACTTTACAACAGAAGATTATACCTTTAGTAATTACACAAATAATACATATTCATTTCAGGATCATTCAAGTACATTCCTAATATAGGAAAAACTTTTTGGTAATATCAACATCTTATACAAGAAATATGCAGACACATTACAATGAGGTACTTGATAATACTTCACGATATGATGAGGTCTTATTTACCCAGAGTAGCCTCATCAGTTAATACTGCTCTTTCTGTAGGCCCTGTAATGACAGTAACTCCCTGCATTGCCAGGTACCCTTGTGATACACCTGGGGGATGTTTCACAAAGATCATAAGTTAAACGCATCTCTAGGTTTGACTTATAAATTATGGAAAGCCGTTAGCCCCTTTGAAAATATTTTGTACAATTTATTTCAAAAGGCATAAATGTTGATTCAAATCATTCATATTTTCAATTATCATGGGAGATTTCATGTTCTTGATGTGGAATTTATGAAAAGTCTAAAATACTTGTATATTTGCTTTTGAATGTATTTTATTTTAAGGCTACACATGGCTATCCATAATTTATAAGTCCAACTTAGAGTTAAGTTCGACTTAGAGTCTTAGTGAAACACCCCCTGGATCTAGAGGGAACAATTAGGCATAAAACACCCTGGTCGATCCTTAAGCCACCAAGCAAGGATTCAACCCAGAAAACTCTAATATGAGAATCAAGAGCCTTCACCGATATACTTTACTTTACTTTACTTTAATACACGATGTTGTAGATCTAAGCCTAGTCATCGATCCAGGATACACCACAATGCTCCCATAATGCAATGTTGGTAGAATTGGAAGGGGTAAATGAGTAGATTCCCTTCATTTCCCTTCAACTTTAAATCATATAAATGTTAACTGTTTGAGAGAAGACCTTTTTTTTTTTTTTTTACATCTATACATGTACGTCAATTAATGTTTTCCTTCAGTTCATTCACAGCATTTGTATGACACCATCATTTTATTTTTGATAAAGGTAAAGACCAGTTTTGGAAACGCCCCCTCTCGAAAGATGAAATGGAAGCTCTTATTACCAATCATGCGGGAAACCGCCAACTAATTGATATATTTGGTAAATTATCATATCGATCCGGCCTGGATAAAGATCACGAATGCACTTCAACATTTAACATTTGGGCATATATTTCTGCTTTTTTGCGAATTTAGGTTGAACTATATTGCCATCTAAACCTCTGAAGGAAATATTTAAACAATATTGAATGGATACTTTGCACCCAAAACCCTTGAACCGCAATTTTACCACTACCTGTCTATATCTTTAAAACATTGCATCATGTGAGCTACTCCGTTGAAACAAGAATTTACAAAACTGTTGACTCAATAAATATCTTTGGTCCTCCACAACTCAAAGATTAAGCACCATCAATTTCAATCAGTAAAAATTAGTAATAAATAATTACATTCTGTTATAGTCGACAAATATTTTCATCTAAATCCATTATAATGGGAAGTGTACCTGCTAGTCTGCCCACTCCTGCCAGAGCCATGCACCCAATATGACCTGGAAGCCGTTAATTGCCGTGCTAAAGCCTGTGTGGACCACTGGACGGGACTTGTGTAGTGACTCGATAAGAAGAAGAAGACCACTTTAAACAGCTTCATTAAAATAAATTACAAAAATATTTTTCATACCCCTTAACAGCATCTGTGAACATGGCTTATTCATAAATTGCTTTTGAAATACTTTACCAAATGATGGAATGAATAATATGTTGTCTGTTGACAGCAAGAAGGGCATTAACTCTATGTTAACATATTATGGGTGTTCCCAACTCAAGCTATGCTTTCCGGGTTTTCGCCTCCTTCCGTATCTGAATGATTTACTGTATACTCTATGTTGAAATAATTGTTACATATATCATTTATATATACATTGTGTTTCATATTGTACTGTTGAGAAGGAAATAAATGTTAATAAATACAAATACTGAAATAGTAAATGCCCCAAAAGAATTCTCGCCATCGCCAATACCCCCAAATACCAGGATGTGCGCCTCTTGGATGTAATTTTGAGCCACTTCCGGTACTCCTATACCGGTACATCCGGTATACGGTGCATGCGGCGCGCGCAAGATACACATATCACGCATGCACAATATACTGATCTGAAAGCCAATTCTAGATTTCTCTCTGGTCAGCTGCTACTGACTCCCTCTGATTTTGATTGTATCCATGATTTTTTGAGAAGAAATACTTAGGGAATCCCACTGCATGTCCATCATTTTGTAATTGTTCTTTGTAAAAATGCTGCGAACCGAGTCACGATTGCAGTGATTTTAAACTGGTCTTGCCTTTGGAGCAACCTTTTCCAGGTCGCGCGCATGCGCGCTGTATAGGACTTGTTGGGAAGTTTACCCAAGTAAGACACATCTCTCATTCAGGGATATCTCTGAAGGTTCTTTCATTTATTTTTTTCGACCAGCACACAGCAGATTCACAGTTTGTAAAACATAGAGAATTGCTTATGACATAGTACTTTATATACCTCACTTAAGAAATCCAGCCATTTGATTGGTCGAAATTGGAGTCTTGAACTCTTGATTTTAGCCATTCCCGTAAAGAAGCGAAAAATGCCATTACTGGTTAATAGTCCAAGAGTGAGATCCCTCAAAATTCTGATTACCATGAAAATAGTAAAATTGTGCTGCGATACCCATTGGTTTACGTGTTAAAAAGTTCTTTGAGCGAGCGGACACCATACAGTGCTTTTTCAAAGCAGTCAATATCTCTATAATATAGACAGCTAGCACTGCTGGCTGCTACGCTGCTCTGCATTGGGTGAGACTGGACGGCACAGTATAGCTGCACAAAAGACTGGAAGCTACTGAGTCACCTAGCTATCACAGAGTGCATTTGAAATGGAGGCGTGAAAATAACATCCAGGCATTTGGGGGTATTGGCGATAGCTAAAATTAAATTTAGCATATTCTCTATGAACATCATGATTTTCAACACAGAGATACTTTATATCACTATAAACATCATCATCATTAACACCATTATTCATGTCAATTGGGTGTAACCACTACAATAAAATAAATATCATTTAAAATCACAGAACTCTGCTATTATAGTCATCACCAAAATCAATGTAATTAACCAAGTAATCGTAGTAATTTAAGCAATTATATAAAGCATCGAATGTCTATAAATAGCCCAAACCATTCACACAATTACAATTTGATTCCTATTGCCATCACCATTGCCATCATAATCACCATTCACGTCATCAACATTATGTTTCTAGTATCATCGTTGTTACATCCATGTATAGTTATGCCCTTTCATTATTGCATATGGCAGTCAATTTACGAATGCAAATTCCTATACTATCATTGGTTAAAGTTGGTCTTAAACTTTTAAGATAGAAAAGTGATTTTTTTTTTTTATATAATGAGTTTGACTGTAAATGAGTTAGCAATTACAAGAACATACTTCCACACAAAAATTTGAAAGAAAAACAAACAGTGATAAGGCAGACTGGTCTTGTATTTATGTCTCTTTAGTGGTGTAGAATAAAATAGACAATCATGACCAGGTTGCCTTTAAGCAGAGGTGGCTTTTAAATTAACCCTCTCGGGACACACATTTCACATTTTTTGGTTTGGCCCAGTATCTTTTGATCAAGAGCATTAAAAACATACTAAAATGGATGGAAAGAAAGGGCAAAAAGTTCTGCACATATTGAGTTTATTTTTATTGCATGGACTAATTGCGTTTGATGCAAGGAATTTATAAAGGAAAACAGCTTCAAGATCCTTAAATTGGCAAGACACTGAGAGATTCAAAATCATTTTTTTTCTCAATAACATTTGCAACTTGTCTCAATATTCAAACCAAACTTCTACCCATGGAAATCGTTTTCATTTACATTGCATTTTAATAGAACAATGTTGCATTCAAAGAAACATATTATTTTTGCCAATTTGAAGAACAATTTGTGATCAATTTAGCCATTAAAAAAATGTCCTGAACAGCTAGGGGCAGACCGGACTGTATGCATCATGTAACAGACATGTGACTAAGTGTACCTTCCATCTGCCTTGGTACCCAAGTACCCCAACCAGGTCTGAAACTTGGTCTCCAACAAGTCAAAATGATCAAAGATGTTCCCGCTGACGGTCGAGTTCTCAACGCTGGGACTAAGGAAGGAGTCGGCCTGGACTAGCTTGACCCTCTTATTCTGGTCCAGGGCTTGCTCTAGACTCACACGCTGGATTGTAAGATAGGCTTGGGGCTGGTTGGTAGGACTGCCCGAGGACCCAAGGTACGTCGGCATTGTGTTGAAAGCAACAATGAGTTCCAGGGAATCATCATCGTCAAAATCACCTATAATACCTGTAGAATGAAAATATACATGATAACATTGTTACAAGGTCCAATGTGGATGGAGAACACCCTACCCCATTGATATATTTAAAGGTATAGACCAGTTTTGGAAACGCTCCCCTCACAAAAAATGAAATGGAAGCTCTTATTACCAATCATGTGAAAGAATATGTGTTGACTAATATGTGATGATACAAATTTTTCCGGGAAACCGCCTACTAATTGATATATTTGGTAAAATATTATATCTATCCAGACCGAATAGATATCGCGCACGTGTCGCGAAGTCCATATACATCTTTCTCTGTACAGTGCTAGTAACTTTACCAAGACTGGGCCAAATTTCTTTTTTATTATTTTGATGATTCCAGAACCTTGCAGTAACACACCAATACTTATATACTAGATGATCAATCTTTTCTGATCGATTCTACAATGTTTCTTTCACAATGCAATCGCATGACCAGAACTGGTCTATACCTTTAACCAAGTATACAGACTGTACCCTCTCATTGGCTTTGTACAGATGAAACAGTGAAAATCTTAATCTGCCAGCCTGTACTCATGTAGAAAAATAAATGATATCAAATAGAAAAAATACTATTGGATGTTTCAGCATCTCGTCATGGCAGTACCACTTAAGATGGGGGATAGCATCTAGAAAGGGGGCTTCATGAATCTAATTGTTGTAATACTACAGGGACATGAATACCATGATATTGCGGTGCTACTCAGCTAGTACTCTCCTTGACCAAGACTTGAGTTAACAATACAACATAGGAAAGTTCTGTGTTTTTATAAATGAATCAATACCCATAGACCGGCAACAAAAAAGAAAGCAGTATGACCGCACTTCTACTTTGACATGGTAATGTACCTGAAAATCAACAAAATATGTACAGTCAAACCTGTCTACAGCGACCGCCCAAGGGAAACACAAAAAGTGGTCTTTGTAGACAGGTTCCTTTAGTACATGTTTCAATGAGAAACCACTTTCAAGGGAAACAAAAAATGTGGTCTTTGCAGACAGGTGGTCACTAAAGCAGGTTTGACTGTAATTGCAAAAGTGTCTTACCTGTGCTTTCGAGGATCGGTTCCATCATCATACAATCTTCGGAGCTTGATCTCCTCAACCTTTGAGGTGACGATGTCGATGACGAGGACAATGACGATGAAGATGCATTTAGTGGAATAGAGCTGGAGGCAGTCAAATCACTTAGCAATGGTGTAACATCTACCACCGTGGGACTCGAAGCCTCGGCAACAGATGGAGATGTCATGTGACTAGAAGCTCCAATGCTGATTGGCTGACTTGTAGTGATGTCACTGGAGGGCTGACTGCTCGGTGTAGCTGTTCAAATGGAATGGAGATACATCAACAAAATATCATACATACAACAAAATCAGGTAAAATCTTGTTACATGTATAATTTCAGTTATTGGTAAAAAAAAAAAAATCATCTATAAAATAAAGGTGAAATATAACCAGTAATATACCCTGATAATAGCCTTATAAAATCTTACAGTTATAGATACCTCATCTTTTTAGAATGGTATGGAGAATATCAGCTAATCAATTGCTTGTTTAATTCCAAATGCCTGATGTACCGGGGTAAAGATGTTTTTTGAAGCAGTTGAATATAAAAATTCACATAATTAATTTTTGGTTACAATTACCCTTTTTTCCAGGAATGAAGCTATTTACAAAATAGTGCATGAAGGAATCCCAGCATTATGACTTACTGCGTATGGGTTTGTATGGTCTTATTGAGAGGAGACTAGGTGGATCCATGGCCATATCTCTGTCCATCATCACAAGGTTGAGAGTAGGGTATTTAGAGATGAGATCTGAGCACCCGTCTATGTTACTCTGTATTAGTGGAAAGCACAACACATATTTAGCCAAATACAGTCAAATCTGTCTACAAAGGTCACCCAAGATGAACGGAAAATGAGCCCACTGTAGACAGGTGGCCACTAAGACATGCTTGACTGCAGCTGACTTAAAAGCACATATAGCAGATACTAAAGGTATGTTTGGACTTAAGTACAACAACCTCTTCCATTATGGAATAATAATAATAGTCACATTTGATTAGCGCTTATCAGAGCTGCCAACTAGTACGGACTTCCCGTCATTGGTACGGAAATTAACGATCTGCACGGAATGTTTTCTAAAATTACGGATTAACAACAAAAAACGATTTTTAAATCTGTGCAGTATAGCGGCCATCCAATATTCGCAGAGAAAGACGGAAAAGTATCAAGTATTCTCTTAATAGAACTTATAAGCCAATTTTTCATGGCAAACTGATGTGTTATGATGACCTGAAATCAATATTTAGCCATTTTTTTGTGTGGGTAAAATCACAAAAAAATTTCAGATTATCATGCGCGCATGCGTCCGCGCAGTGTTGGCGTAGGAAATTACTGATTTATTCCCAAAATTACTGATTTTGAGCCTTGTGATTACTGATTTTTCTGTTCTGGAGGTTAGCAGCTCTGGCTTATGCAATACTACGTTTTTAGTGGCTTTACATTGCAATTATCATTACCCTGGTCATTGCATTAAATTGCCTACCTGCACATGAAATTGCACATGCTCTGCTCCCTGGGGAGTATTCCAGCCACTCCTTTTTGTTCTGTTACTAAAATTTCATCAAATTCCATTTTCCCAAGGAAAATATTTCACTATACTTGTGCCCTGGATATATGACTGGACTTACGATTTCAAAAGGAATGACACGAGAGTTACCAAGTTGCATCTGTTAACAATAATAATAATAATAATAAATAATAATATAGTTATATATAAAGCGCCGGTATCCGTACGGCTGTGACGCTCATGGCGCTTTACACATATTACCCTGGTCGTAGCCGAGCTGCCAAAGTAACTAGCGCTCAAGCATATCAGGTACCCATTTACACCTGGGTGGAGAGTGGCAAATACAGATAAACGTCTTGCCAAAGGACATTAGTGCAGCGGCAGAACTTAAACCTCGTACCTTGTGATCTGAAGTCGGATGGCTTATCCACTAGACCACAACACCTCTTTTTTATAAAACAATAACTTTCTTGTTATCAGATTTTCCTCAATCTTTCACAGACCTCTTTCGCTCGTTTTTCTGCTTTCAATAAAAAATAACTCATTTACAAGGTGGACTTCATCTGTAAACAAAACAAACTAGTGAATTACATGACAGACGAGATACCTGTGTAGTTGTTCCCACTTCCTTTATAGGGTGATGTTCTATCCAAAATGTGAACGCATCTTTCTCCCCCCGAGCTCGTAGACTAAGAGGTGATGGTCTAGAGTCTGTAGGCTGGTTCTCAAAGCTTGATTCTGTCAATGTGTGCCACAGTTCTCCTCCAGTCACTCCATCCAGTATGACAATCTACAATATACATTGAATAAAGATCAGGGGGGTGTTTCACAAAGACTAAGATCGACTTTAAGTTGGACCTAACTATGGCAGGCCATTCATGCCACTGGTTGCTCTCACCATTATGATCTTTAGATAATAATTTTTCCTTCAATAATGAATTATCAAAAAAAGTAAATTCTGTAGATTTGTGAACATGATTTGTACGTCCAATGCCAATGAGACCAATGCCAGTAAATGGTGAGACCAAACAGTGGCATGAACAGCCTGCCATAGTTAAGTCCAACTTAAAGTCGATCTTAGTGTTTGTGAAACACTCCCCTGATAAACTAAGCCTGTCGTATATTTGAAAAATATTTGATGGGGGGAGAGGGGGAATATTGAAAGTCTAATATCGTAGAGACACAAAGTGGAGTGGATAGAGAAGTGAAATGAGACTAGGGAGTGTATAGTCCAAAACAAAGTAAGTTCTCTTTTCCTTCCCAGCCCCCACTCCCCCCCCCCCCCCTGATACAAAGAAAATATTTCAGATCGCAGATTGCAGATTACATCTGAATATGAGTATTTCTCATCTTTTCTAATTTGGAGAGAGAGAGATAGAGAGAGAAAGAAAGAGAGAGAGAGAGAGAGAGAGAGAGAGAGAGAGAAAGAGAGATAGAGAGATAAAGAGAGAGAGAGATAGAGAGAGAAAGAGAGAGAGAGATAGAGAGAGAAAGAGAGAGAGAGAGAGAGAGAGAGGGGGATAAAAGCAGAGGTAATGAGAGAGTGAGAGATATATAGCAAGAGAAAAGGGGATACTGTAGGGCTGTTAAGGTAATATTGATGCGCCTAAGATATGAGCACTATCATACAAGAAGCCATCCACATTATCATATCGTTATTTCTTATCACCTTGGAAGTAACATAAGGTCTGCCGTCATCAGCTCGAGATTGCCAAATAGCTTGCTATTTCTGATTTGGGAAATAAGCCTGAAGTTACAAATCTCATCTTAATCAGCTCGAGACTCGACCTTGAAACTCAAATATTGAGATATTTTGCTCAGCGTTCACGCATAGTGCGAGTCTCCGGGCTGGTGTCTCCGGGCTGGTGTCTCCGGGCTGGTGTCTCCGGGCTGGTGTCTCCGGGCTGGTGAAGACGCACCCGACAAATGGTGGGATATTTTGCAAACTAGCCCAAGATATCTTGGGATGATTATCTTGACCACATATCCTGCTAATTGTAACTGCGGGCTGACGAAGACACAAATTAGCTGGATAATTTGCGATCGGGGTAGTTAAAATAGCGGGTTATTTGGCAATCTCGAGCTGATGAAGACAGGCCTATAAAGACACTGACCTTGTTTGCATGGCTAGTGTTGGATGCCGATTGATGTGGACCCAGCTGTACCATCAGGTCTGGTATCTCATCGTCGTTGAAGTGTCCAGGTGCTGACACACTGAAACATCATTACAACATACATGTTAAGGAAAAAGAGGAGTTGTGATTTCAAATAAAGACAATTTGGCCTTAATCACTTCTAAGTCCGAGTATATATCAAATCTCAATTATGATCTAGTTGTCCTTGCATCAAGCTGGAAACTTTATACACGAAACAACGCTATACATTTGTGTGAATGAAACTTTGTGACCTTTTTCAAAAAGTGCTAAAAAAGCAGATATCTAAATCATATTTAGTAGCCTTTTCCCCTGAAAATTCATCTTAAGAGTTAAGGTTGGACAAAAAGTCAATCGTATGCAGCACAATGGGGTCCCAAGCAATTCATGTACTTTAATGTTGTGTATTCTCGTAAAAAAAGATAATATAAAAATGCATGTGTCTAGGTGAGAAAGATGCAATAGATAATAAATGAGTCACAGACAGTATTTCAGATAGAACAAGTCACAATGAGCAAATATAAGATTTAAGCTAATGAATTAGTAATAAATGTTTTTAAATGACTCTACACACCTGTATGGTCTGTACTCAGAGTCGACATCAAGCTGTATACTCCACAGAGGCTTGAAGCTAGATCCATTGATTGCGGTGACTAAGGCATCATGGGATATGATGATGAGGTCATTGACCCCATCCATCGTCATGTCAACTACGATTGCGGGGAGGATGAAACCATCTCCATTTCCTCTGTTATAAAATAAACATACATGGTGATGATGACAATGATGGAGGAATAAAATGATAAAAATGTTATCATTCTTATTATTATTATTATCATCATAATTATCATTATTATTATTATTAGTAGTAGTAGTAGTAGTAGTAGTATTAGTATAACTGTTATAATTATTATTGTTATCATCATCATTATTATCACTGTCATTATCATTCTTGTTATTATTATCATCATTATTATTATTATTATCATCATTATTATTATCATAATTATCATTATTGTTATCATCACTATTGTTATTATCATTATTATTGTCATTATTATTATCATTATCATCGTCTTCATCATTATCATCATTATCACCGTCATCATCATCATCACCATCATCATCATCATTATTCTATTGCAGGTACTATCCACCTGTTGTCTACAGATCTAGTACAAGAAAAACCCAGTTCCTACAGTATATACAACAGATTTACACTTTTTAACACTCCCTAAACAATTGCTTCTAGGTTACAAAATTTGTTTAAAAAAAATCAATTTCCTGAGGTGATTTGTCGTAGATTGTTCAAATTTACTTGACCCTAAAACAATGGTTATTTCCATGATTTCCTGGGTTCGGATGAAATTGATCACTATTAATTGGTGATTGACAATCAGAAAAACTCAATTTTTTTGTTTTCTTGATAGCCCTCCTACATTTCAGACAGATATGTTAATATTGATTTTGTATTTGAATTTGAATTACAATAGTATTTGTTGGAAATACCTACATGTACAGGTGTAGCAAAACCAACAAACGGAGGAGACTGTTTCCACTGAAACAGCCTGAGATAAGATAAAATACCTCTTATTTAAAATGACTAAGCATTTTTTATTGTTGTTTGCTTAAAGTTGTAATCAGCATACTATTGGTTGGTAATAACATGTTATAGTAGTAGAAGAAGCAGTAGTAATGGCTGCTAGAAAATGCCTAATTTCGAGTCTTCTACATGTATCTAAATATTTCTGTTTTGTAAATAGTTGCATGAGTAGATAACAAACTTTCCCTTATATTTAGTCTCACTGATGGTCTGAAATATCAACCTTGCCTTTAGGAAGGTCAATAACATTTCATACACCTGGGGGCGTTTCACAAAACTTATCAGTGACAAATGACAGTTTTTGTTATAAGCTACTGACATCCTTGCTTCTGATTGCTTATCACCAGATTTTTCACTGATTTTAGTCATTTGTCATTGAAAAAAAGCTTTGTGAAACGGGTCGATGATGAACACTCAATGATTATAGATATATATATTACAGGTAACCAAGTTCTTTGTTTCCCTAATTCTCCCTTTATCTCCATACACAACATCTTCTTATCTTTTACTCAAGGCCTACAATTAGTGCTTTATCCTGTAGCAGACTTTGGACTGTGTAGCGCTTGAATCAGTATGAATCTATTTTAATGTCACAATTTTAACTGATCTTTCTTTCCGGGTCTGCAATTAGGGCGTGAATGTGTTCAGACTTTGAACTATCTGGATTTTTTTATTGGCAGAAAGCTATTTCAGTGTCACTTCATGTCCTCTTTTAAATCAGCACATACTGTATATCACTATTCAAATACATCGGTTATATAGTTCGGTGTAAAAATGTCAGAGGTAAAAAAAAATAACCTGATATTTTTACCCCTGGCATTTTTACCTCTAGCATTTTTACCTTAGACATTTTACGTCTGATATTTCTACCTTTGGCATTTTTACCCCTGACATTTTAACTCCTTACATGTTTACTTCTGACAATTAACCTCTGAACAAATTACCTCTGGCATTTTCTACCTCTGACAATCTTACCTCTGACATTTTTACACTGTTTATTTATAGGGCAGGTACTCTTTGCATACTTTAAATATTTGTGTTATACATTCAGGATCAGGATCATGCTTTTACACTTTAAAGGTAAAGACCAGTTCTGGTCATGCGATTGCATTGTGAAAGAAACGTTGTGGAATCGATTAGAAAAAGGTTGATCATCTGGCATATAAGTATTGGTATGTACTGCAAGGTTCTGGAATCATCAAAATAATAAGAAATTTGGCCCAGTCTCGGTAAAGTTACAAGCACTGTACACAGAAAGATGTATATGGGACTACGCGTTATCTATTCATCCCGGATAGATATAATAATTCAGGCCTTAAATTTCAATATTTTTAGGGCAAGGCCACTTTTCTGTAGGGCACATTCCTAAGCACAAATAGGATGAATTGAAAAGGGCACCACAAATCTCCAAGGCCAATGAGAGGGGCATTGAGGCCAATCAAAGGGGCATCCAAGGCCCTGATAATTTACCAAATATATCAATTAGTAGGCGGTTTCCTGGCAAAATTTGTATAGTCAAAACATATTCTTTCACATGATTGGTAATAAGAGCTTCCATTTCATTTTTTGAGAGGGGGGCATTTCCAGAACAAGTCTATACCTTTAAGTTTAAATATGAACCCCCTCGTTATCATGTTCCCAATCACACAACTTGTGCTTCTCCCCACCTTCCTCTCCTACCACCTACCCATTCCTTCATTAATACACACATTGTTGGTCTTACCTTACAAGTTCTATGACATGGTCATCTATACTAGACACACCGGTCCTGATAGTCTCTTGTTGCTCACCAGAGGGAGTGCTGTGGGTAATGCAGTCACTTCCTGTCACATGACATAGTAGCCTCTCTAGGCTCACCATCCACATAGACCCTGAAACAATAATGACAAATTATTGTTTTAAAAAAAAAGAAGAAAAATCAGCATAAGGCAGCTTACAAGTGCTTTAAAAGGGACGGCTATCTTTGCCCCAGATTCTAATCAGAAAGGGCAGAAAATGAACTTTCTAGAAATGTGATTTTCTCTTTGAAATTCAGATACCGCCCTAAAAATGACTATTGGTACCCTCTCTTCAAATTGTTTTTAATTACTAATGCGTGAAATATGCATCATATGAATTGTATCAACTGAAAGAGGAGTATCTAAGCTTTATAAATATGTGTCATTTATTAATTATAATTGTGATTAAGTTATGATAAAACATCAATAATTCTCGGTTTCTTTTTTTCTGGGACGCACTGTATATGGTCTTTGGTCTTGACAGTATAATAAACACCATACATCCTGAACTCTACTCTTATTTTTCAAACCAATTAAATGTGTACAGGATACAGGATACATAAAGGTCAATGTGAGCACTGGAAGGTCAAAGGTCACATTTACAGCTTGAAACAATGGCCAGCAGAATGCCAATAAAAGAAACTGAAGCAGAATCTGCTACCATTGTTAATATGCATACAATAGAGACTCTATAGACCAAATCAAAGCCTAACAAATGATTCTTGGATACCATGAAAGCTACAAAAATATATTGTGCTCTACATGACATTTTGACGATATACTGCACAAAAGGAAAACAAATCCGTCCAGGAGAGAAAAACCATATATTGCACAAGATTAAAGATGTGCAGCTAATTAAAGATCAGAATGTTTATTTTCTATATTCCACAGACTTCTTATTCTGTATAGATAAGACTTGATCCAAGCTAACTTAATTTTTGTTTCTCCCCCATATTCAAGGTGTAGTTTTTAAGCAATCACAATCAAAAAAAGATGTCCAGAAGGAGAAAACATAAAAAGTCCCTTTGAGTTTATAGTAAAACAATTACAAGCCATTGAACTGCAGTCCTAAAATGGGAAAGTAACACCCTTCCGAATATTACAAATATACAGTCAAACCTGTCTTTTGTGGCCATCCAACAGAAAAAGGCAGAGTGGCCACAGTGTCCAGGTGGCCTTTCTAGACAGGTTCTACCACACACGTGACTCGCTAGAGGGAGACAATATAGGCGACCACTATAGACAGGTGGCCTTTATAAAGAGGTGGCCACTAAGGCAGGTGTAACTGCACATTACACCCAAGTATCAATATAGATTACATACCCACTGGAAATAAGCTCTCGAACTTTTGTGGGTTATCCTGTTCAAGCTGACTTAATTTTGACCTATTATTATTGTATATCGTTGTATGTTGGAAGCTTGGCGAATAAAAATCAATCAATCAATCAATCAATCAATCAATCTACCTGGGCTAACAGTTCCAGATGCTGTCCCAGATCCGAACACAATATAGGGTGTGTCATCTTGATCATCAGAGGCCTGAAAGACGATTGGTGGGCTCACTGAGGCATGTCCGTCGAGCATCTCCAGGTAAGTACCCAATGATTGACCAGTCTTCCCTGATAGCAGCAGAAGCCTTCCAACTTCATCACCACCCTGCAAAAGGTCATAAAATTATTTATGTTCTTTTTTATTTCTGTAATGTTATTTTTGTAACCTTTCCAGGCCATCCCGATCACTCGAACATTTAAAATAATTCACTGACTTTGTTTTAAAATAACGTAGGAAAATTTTCTGTAAAGGAATATTCTGAAGAATTTCTATGTCAAAGAATATGATGTATTATGTACGGTATGTAAACTTATTGATTCTTTTGTACGTTTATAAAATGTGAGCAAAACAAATTTCCAATATTGGACAATAAATTAAAATTGAAATTGAAGATGATTGAATTTGTTCAGCATAACTACATGTACTGTATTATGTATATTTACATGTGTCACCCTTAATAATTATCCTGTCTGCTGCAAAGCCAAAGAATTATAGTGTTGAGCCATGTGCTTTAACTAAGAATCAATGTTTTTTATTGTTTGTTTTTTTAAGAAAAAAAGAGGAAACACATTTACCTTTGTTGTCGAGTTTAATTGGATCATATATTTTCTATCCTCAATTTTATTACCGAACAAAGCACTTAAAGAAAAAAAATAGACTGCTCAAAGTTCACTTATGGCAATGGCTTTAACTTTCATGGCACTGAAGACATTTAGGGCCATAATAACAGTTATTTTATTAATAATCCAGATCATAGTTTATTATAGTTTTCTTCTAACACTGAAGTATATCGATATGCTTTTTTTAGAAATGTGAAAAATAGGCTTGAAATAACACCCTTGTCTGTACAAACATACACAAAACTGCACTGATGCATCTGATGTGGATGTTTACAAGATAAAATAAGATAACATGGCCCTTGCCTTTCATAAATTGCTCTCTTTGGAAATGTCCTATATTTCTTAATTTCAAAATTCATAACCTGTCAGTTATAAATAAAAAAGAAACGACACAACGAAACAGTTGAGTTGGAACATACATTTTTCAGCATACTTCTGCCTCAATATAACAGAACACATAATCAAGATCATTTCACATGAATAAAACGTATAAATATTACTTGACAATTACATGACATACCTGTGCGCCCTCCGATATATTGTCATAATTGACACCATGTGACACTACAAGATCCAATACGCCATCATCGTCTAGATCTTCAGGTAAGGTCTGAGGCTGAGAATAGGTCCATGCTGGTACGGTCACGGAGGGATCAGCTTCCCATAGAATGGCACCTGACCAGTACGGAAAAGAGATCAGGTGACATGACATCATAAAAGCAGCACACATGACATCACAATAGCAGCATTCATGAAATCATAATAGCAGCATACATGATTATAGTGACGAAAAACAGAAAAAAAAGACTAAATGACGTATTACGTACCTATTTGGTCACAGTATAAGGAAAAACACAACTTATTGTTACGGCTTACAATATGGCTTTAAGAAAGTATACCCTCGGTTTTTTGAAAAGTACATGTAGTTAGCCCCCACCCCCCCCCCCCCCAAAAAAAAAGAGAGTAATTCCTAGCTTGCCTCCCATGGGGAAAGATTGGATCGGAGTCGGTATTGAATCGGTTTGGAAGTATGACTGAGATATGACACGGCCACTAACACATACAGATAGATGGACATAATCTTGATCCGGCCATCTACAAACCTGTTTTTGTATTGATGGCCATCAGAAGACCATCTCGTCCTGCGGCCAGACAGTCCAACTGACCGTCCTTGTTGACGTCCAGCTGATTGCAGACCAAGCTATTGATGTTGGTGTGATTCATGTCCAGTCTCCATAATACCTCACCCCTCCAGCCACTCATGGCTATCACCCCTCCACTGCAGGACGACGATAAATCTGTTCGAGAAATTTATAATAGTAACAATAATAGGCTTTTTTATAGCGCCGTCTATCTAGAAAGTCTATTCTGAGGCGCACTAATTATTACCCCGGCTTTAAGCCTATCTGCCATTACAGTGCTCCAGCATTTCAAGGAAGTAATTCCTGCCAGGTACCCATTTACCTCACCTGGGTCGAGTGTGGCAAATGAAGATTAATGCCTTGCCAAAGGACATTAGTTCCATGTCGGGGATCCATTATACCATTGAAAAAGAAAAAAGGGGCCTCCAATATAGTATGTATACATTGTTCAGACATAGTGTAGGGTCTACCCAACTTTGGTAGCTTTTAACCAAATTTTTAAACCTATGTGACCTTGAATTATATAATATTTTGTGGTAAAGGGCAACCTAATTATACCCTATCCACATGAACACAGCATTTTAGAATTCGGGCAGGAAGGTTTTGGTGATGCATTGGAGAAGCTTCCAGGTTATTAAAGAAGTACAAGCATACAATCATAATATCTCAACAGCTCAGCTTATTTTGCAATACTACACACTTACTGAGATTTTCACACAGTTGTGCTTTAACTTCAGGTGGGTCGGTAGATTTTCCAATGGAGAAGCCGAATATGACATCGTCCATGCCATCTCTATTGACATCAAGTAGTCTTACAGGAGATGATGAAACTGGGACATATCAAGAAAAACAGAAAAAAGGGAACCAATACATTTATAGAGGGTAGGCATCGTTCAATCAGCTGCAGAGGCATGTTTCTATACATAGCCATAAAGTTAAACTTACCCTACTGTATGCACATGGTATGCAAACTTAGCTACCTTAAAGCATGGACCAAGTAAGTCCATGCTTCAAGTGACTCAGTAACATTGTTGAAGGTTATTGAAAAAATTGCGTAATTTTTGTACGAAATGTTACTTATATTCCTTCTATCGTACATACCCGGCCTCTAACATGCACAAAAATCATGAACAAATTCTCAAACCACAAAGATATATATGGTTTTCTTTGAAGGCGTAACTGTGCGACACCTTCTAACAGTAAATTCTCCCAACCATTTTTGAATTTTCCCAACTGTTTTCCATGAAAATAAGACATAAGACAGGCTTTAAAAATCTTCCACACTTAAATGCCTGGAATAATATATAGAGTTAATTCATTGCTTTGTGAGAATTTACATTCACCTCAAATGTAATTAAATTGTAATAATATACATGTAGTTGGGAGCATTAAGGAATCAATCAGATAAGTTTTTCCCAATTTGTATCATTCATAATCGTCCGTTTTCACTCAAACCTTCAGATTATCTCTAATTGTACATCTACATGTAGCATTGAAGTCACTACCTATTTAAGCACCATTTTCTCTCATCTGAAAAATGTTACCAAGTTCCTTTAACTACGGTACATTACGTTTTATTTTTAGACACATGCACCAAAGACTAAACAAAATAATGCCTGCCAATAGACAGGATTAGAGGCTTGCAAATACATTAATATTTTTAGTTTAAAAAAACGAAAAATGACAAACAAATATCAGAAATACTACGGAAAGACAAATGGAATATAACAATTTTGCCCCCCCCCCCCTAAAAAAAGAAAAAAATTGTTTTTAAATAAAATTAAATATGAATATCAATTTAGTATCAAATCAAACATATTATATTTTGGTCTGAGTTCAACTTTAGTAGCAGCAATTTGACAGAAATATCTTTGACAGGAACATATAATACACATCAAACTTGAAATACAGCCATTTATTACCATTCTAATTTTTAAAACAAACCTAAAATCTAAAAAAAGTTGACTTTTTTTTTTTTTACCTATTCCCTCCATCTGCACGCTCCAATTTTCAGGCTCCATTGGACAAGGCACCAGGAAATAGAGAAGCAGGACGATTGCCACTGACATCATCGCAAGCAGGACGGACAAGACATGATGCACTCCAATACCCTTATCAACCTCCTCCTCCTCCTCACCCCCTTCCTCATCATCATCAAAGCCACGGGTAGACATGCCATCGTAGTTGGAGATGGTGCACATACTTTCCACCCCGCTGAGTGAGATCATTTCAGCCATGTTCATCTCCTCAAGGTGGCGGTTCTTGCGTTTCCTGGCCGTGTTCGGAGTCCCCGGTCTACTGCCGGGTATGGAGAGGGCGGTATTGAGATGCTTGTTGTCCAGGACGAATTTCATCTCGATATCACCATTAGCGGCATCGTGGTGGTCCTTGACGTGATTTGATTCCTCAACGTGTTCTTTGTCTTTTCGGTCCTTTTCTTGTTTGAGTTCTGATTCAGAATGATCTAATACAATAGTCACATTGTCATTCTTATCAGGACCCTCCATGTTTGTTACCTCCTCCTTATTTTTGGATTCACCAATGCTCAACTTGATCTCTTCATCTGGTCTGGAGTCCTTGTTTAAATCACCTTCCATGTTTCCTTAAATTAATAAATTCAAAGAAGCCAAAATAGGATGTCAAAACAAGAGTATTATTATGAAGAAAGTGCCACTCATTTAAACCCTGTGCAATCATGGACTAGTAGGACCATGCATGGTATGGTGCTTCATTTTGTCAAGCACCTTCCACCTCAATATAGACACTAAAGAGAGTGCAGATCACATGTGTATATGACCATGCAAATTAAATGACTACCGGTAACGTTAAAAAAGAGTAAGAGTCTACTTTTCCATTTCATGATGCAGTCTCTACATGTATGATGGGCCGTGGAGGGGGGGGGGGGGGTTGTGTATGGAGGCTTTAATAACAAAAATACAGTCACCACTTTTCTGATAGTATTTAAAAACAAAGTATGCATCAATTAGCACTAACCACTATAATTAATTTTCTTTTATAAAATTGTTTAGGGGGGGGGGGGGTTGTGTCTGGAGGCTTTAATAACAAAAATACAGTCACCACTTTTCTGATAGTATTTAAAAACAAAGTATGCATCAATTAGCACTAACCACTATAATTAATTTTCTTTTATAAAATTGTTTAGCAGAAGTCTTACTCTTAAAAGATTTTATGAAACATTGCTTGTAAACTACTTCAACTCACTGATTTAAATCGCCTGTCTAGATATATGACACATAATTAAATTAGTGACTCGTCTGGCAGTCACTCTGGCTAATGGCTATACAACTAAGGGAATTAAAGTCATTTTGAGGTTGACATTTTTGATAAGTGTGTTTCAGATGTACATTGTCCATTGAATCTGATGTTTTCAAATAAACTGATTCCTATAAATGAAGATGTTGAATTGAGAAAAATTGAAAATAGGGTTGATGCTCCCGAAAAAGTGAAATACACTTCATTTAAGTGTTCTAAAGAGAAGGCATCTGAATTTAAGTTGAAACTTGATCAAAGTATTCCAGTACTGATGAATGCATTGGAAATGGTTGAGAAGTCATCGACACTTAAGGTAATATGGATAATTTTAGTACTGTATTGGCAAATTCATTTTTGAAGACGGCAAAGGAAGTCGGTATATGTGAGGATAAAGTCTGTAAGAAAATTCATTCTAGGAAACTTATCGTGGAGAAGAAACCATGGTTTGACACAGAGTGTCAGCATGCCAGATCAAGATATTTTAATCTAAAAAATAGAATTAAACGACAGTGCAAAGGTCTAACTTTGAGTGATAAAGAACAAAAAATGGCTGAAATTAATGCTGTTGCAAAAGATTATAGGAAATTGCTACGTAGAAAGGAAAAAGCGTACACTAGGCTCTTACACAACAATCTTCATATACTTAAGAAGGATAGTCCTCAAGAGTATTGGAAAATTTTGGATGGACCGAAGCGTAGCTCTTGTCCAGCCAAGGTCTCTTTAGATGATTTTGTGCATCATTTTAGTAGTTTGAATAATGTGCAATGTGCAGCATCTGAAACACATTATGTGGATTTTGACCAGTCAATGGGCAATGATGAGCTGAATGCCCCTATCTCGGTTGATGAAGTTATAAAGATTATCCAGAAACTAAAGAATAATAAGGCATGTGGTGTAGATTTGGTTAGAAATGAGTTTTTGAAAAATTGTTCAGCAGCTGTAATTGGTTGTATTACTGCTTTTTTTAATGTAATACTGGAGAGTGGTCTAGTACCAAAAGACTGGTGTCTAGGTAGTATAGTCCCTATTTTCAAAAATAGAGGAAAGGATACAGATCCAGATAACTATCGTGGGATAACACTTTTAAGCTGTTTGGGAAAATTGTTTACTTCCATCTTGAATTATAGGATAACAATTTATTTCGAAAATGAATGCAAGCTTGGAGAAGAACAGGCTGGCTTTCGTGCTGGCTATTCTACAACAGACCATATTTTTGTTTTGAAATCCCTGCTTGACATTTACTTGTCTAAACGGAAGAGAATTTACTGCGCTTTTATAGACTATAGAAAAGCTTTTGATATGGTTGATAGGGTTTCACTTTGGCACAAATTATTGAGGTCAGGGGTGGATGGTAAGGTGTTCACAGTTATTAAGAATATGTATTCTCAAGCAAAATCGTGCGTGATAGTAGATGGTCAAATGTCTGAGGCTTTTCAATGCGATGTTGGTGTTAGGCAGGGTGAAAACTTATCACCACTGCTCTTTGCAATATATCTTAATGATTTCGAGGATTTTCTCAGTAAACACTTTAAAGGTCTCAAATTTTTAGTTGAAAATGTATGTGCTGACATTTTAGATAAAGAAGTAAACAAAGATCTTTTCTTACAATTATACACATTGTTGTACGCAGATGACACCCTAATATTGGCTGACACAGCAGAGGAATTGCAAGTGGCTTTGAATGCCTTGTCTCAATATTGTAAAATTTGGAAGTTAAGTGTTAATGCTATGAAAACTAAAGTACTTATATTTTCAAGAGGCAAAGTACGTAAATTTCCAGTTTTCAGATTTGGAGAAGATGAAATTGATGTTGTGGATGATTTTGTATATCTTGGGGTTCAGGTTAATTATAATGGAAGTTTTAAAAAGGCTATTTCAAAACAGGTATCACAGGCCAGGAAAGCCCTCTTCTCTATGTCATTAAAGGTTCAAAGACTCAAACTGCCACTGGATATTCAATGTGAATTGTTTGACCAACTTGTATTACCAATACTCATTTATGGATGCGAAGTGTGGGGATATGAAGATCTGAGTCAAATTGAAATATTCCATAGAAAATTTCTCAGGTCAGCGTTATGTGTAAATAAATTTACACCAGATTGTATGGAGAAACTGGGAGGGCATGGCTAGCTAACAGTATCAAACATCGAATGGTTAGTTTCTGGTTAAGAATAGTAAAAGGTTCTCCCTCTAAATATTCAGTCAAATTTTATTTTTTGCAAAGGTTAATTAGTCAGAATGTTGATATGTCTACTTCTTTCAAGTGGTTATCTTGTATTGAAAAAATATTGAACCATGCTGGTCTTGGTATTGTTTGGCTAAAGCAAGGGGAAGGATTTAGCAATAGTTGGATACTGAGCACTCTGAAGTTGAGATTAAATGATATTTCAAAACAAGATGTGATGGCAACAATTTGGACAAACAGTGTGTGCCTAAATTATAGGATCTTTAAAGAGGATTGTCTCTTTGAAAGGTATTTAGTTTTGCTGAGTAAAAAAGATAGAATAACACTGAGCCATTTTAGATGTAGGTCACACCGTTTACCAATTAATAATAACAGATTCAAAGAAGCTGTTAATGAAATTAGTATTGAATGCCCATGTTGTGATATGCATGAGTCTGGTGATGAATTCCATTATGTTTTTGTATGCCCTTTTTTCAGAAAGGAAAGAGAGTTATATTTAGGTCGCAAAGTAATAGTTAAACGCCCTTGCACATCACACATGTTGAATTTATTTTCATGTTCCGGTATAGGACAGCTGAAGAAATTAGTACTCTTCTTAAGGATAATAATGTCATATTTTGCTCGTCTATATACATGTAAATCTGAACAATCCAATCATATGTCGCCCATTTAGAAATGTTACAACCCGAAGTGGTAGGTTAATTAAGCAACCAACAATTCTTGATCTGTACCCTGTAGTACAGTCTTTCTTTAGGTCAAGTATAGTTTTGATGGTTTGTTTGTTCTTTTGTTCATTTTGTTTTTGTTTTTTTGTTAGTATACTTTTTGTTTTGTTTGTCTTATTACATTATATTCCATTATGTTTTTGTTTGTCCAATGGACGATTATGGCGTATTTTGTTAGTCTGCATATATCTTAACAATCCAATCACAACTCACTTACATGTACAAAAATGAAACTTATAATTTCTTTTTTAGTTAAGACAATAATGTATTTAAACAAACAAAAAATTGTAAAATTATTTTTTGTTTTTATCTTTCTTTTTCTTTGTGTTTGTATTTAGATTGTTCATGTGGTATTTTCCACTTTTCATGTATGCTTGCCATATTGTATAATACTAGCAGGACCCGTGGAAAATCCACGGGATTCTAGGGGAGGGGAAGGGGGGGGGGCGGTAAATAGAAAGAGGCCTATGTGCTATCGAAAATAAAATTTGATTATATTTCTATAGGGTCTAGACGATTTTTTATAATATACGCTGTTTGACCATGAATGGCGCACCATAATACCCGTTTTAATGCATTGATTTGATGAAGAAACTGTATCATAGTAAAAGTATTTTATCCAGCATGTCTATATTTTTAAACGACCATCTGAATTTTCTTGTGAAAACTTTACTTTGAAAATGATTATCGAAATTCAGCATAAAACTATATACATGGGCAGAATAATCACAATCTAAGCTCAGGTTTCATACCTCTATAGTCACGAAACTATATTGAGATAGGGGCAATAACAGCAATTTCAAAGTGTTGTCGAGTCTCAGCTCACTCACAGTCACAGTTCCGACAGTGCTCGGCAGCAGTGGCGCACTGCACTGTCCGTGCGTGGACTCGAGCCCCACGGCAGCTAGCTTGCAACTGGACTGTCAATTACGATGAATTTCTTGTGAAAACTTTACTTTGAAGAATGATTCTCAAAATTCAGTAAACATGGACAGGATAATACTAAAGTAACCCTGCTTGCATACCTCTATTCACGTAAACTATATACAAATCACGGCAATCATAGAATCAGAGTCGAAGCGACTGACCTGTGCGTGTGACGGTCTAGGTGGAGGGAGGGTGGGGGGGGGGGGGGGTAAATAGAAAGAGGCCTATGTGTATCGAAAATAAAAATTGTTTATTTTTATATAGGGTCTAGACGATTTTTATAATATACGCCTTTTGACCATGGCGCACCGTAATACCCGTTTTAATGCATTGATTTGATGCAAGAACTGTATCATAGTAAAAGTATTCTATCCAACTAATTGAGCTAGGCTATGTTTTTAAACGACCGTCTGATTTTCTTGTGAAAACTTTACTTTGAAAAAGGATTATCGAAATTCAGCATACAGCTATACCTGGCCAGAACAATCACAATCTAAGCTCAGATTTCATACCTCTATAGTCACGAAACTAAATTGAAATCGGGGCAATAAGAGCAATTTAAAAGTGTTGTCGAGTCTACTCAGTTCAGCTCACACACCTGCACAGTCACAGTTCCGACAGTGCTCGACAGCAGTACAGTGGAATGCACTGGCACTGTCCGTGTGTGGACTCAAGCCTCACTACAGCTACCTTGCAACTGCAACTGAACCGTCAGTTACGATGAATTTTTTGTGAAAACTTTACTTTGAAGAATGATTGTCAAAATGCAGTAAACATGGACAGGATAATCACAAAGTAAGCCCTGCTTTCATACCTCTAATTCACGTAAACTCATATATAAAAATCACGGCAATCATAGAATGAAAGCCGAATGAAAGTCGCAAACCGACTGTGCGTGTGAAAATCATCGCATACATTATACACGTACGTTCGTACACACAGCAGGTCCGTCTGGCCTACACAGCATATCCTATAGAAAGACGCATAACACGGGTAAGCTCAACCCGTTGAGCGTACATATTGGCTACATCCCATCACCCGGGTGAGTCGTCTGTTGATGTGTATTTCTCTTACACGCTACAAAGCGAATCCTATAGCAAGAGGTCTTACTCGGGATACGCCGCAGCCTTTTACAATGAGACTTGCTACACCCGTTGACGCGAGTGGATTCTCGTCCATCGTGTGTCTCTTCGTCTCTCTTTGATAATTAGACAGAGGGCGGGCGCACGCCTTGCCGACTCGCTCTCGCGGGTTCGTCGCCTCCTCGCAATCCGCGACGCCCGCCGTGCTCTCGTCCGCCCGTCCTCCCCGGCCGCCCCGAAACCGCGTTTAACGGCGTGGACGTCGATCGCGGGGTCGAGGTGGCACGCGGGTTGCGGGAGACAGGCCTCGTGGAATTGTGCCGCCCTCCCCGCGCCACGGCGGAGGCGGGCGGGGTCGGGGAAAGACGTTTTTGAGGAACCGTTTTGTACCCGTTTGGACCCCCCGCGGCGATTAGTGGTATTAGTAATATAGATTGTATTTATGTTTAGCATAGGCTAGGTTTAGATCATTCCTATTTATCGTTATACTTTTATATTGTTGTTTTGTTGTATTCTGTATTCTTTGTATTATTAAGCTATGTTTGTATTCTTTATTATGTATCATTATCATGACATGTACATGTGTTGTACTCTCATACCCCAGAAGGGGGTCGAATGAGTCAATAAATTATATTCTATTCTATTCTATATTCTATTCTATTCTATTCTATTCTATTCTAAGTAGATATTGATTTTAAAAACTAACTTTATTTTCATTATTGCAAAGTTGAAACTTTGATTCGACAAGATTATCAAAATTCAATGCTTGGAAACATTCGAAGTAATGATTATTACGAATTACAAAACGCTTAAATACAGCCCGGCATAGCACCTGACGAGCTCTCTCCGAACGCTGCTGAGATGTGTGACATCACAGTATGGACATGACTTGCACAAGCAGACGATGTCCCATGACATCCCACACATTTTCAGTGCTTGTGTATTCATCTTCTCTTGAGTTCTTTCTCTTACTTCACTACAGTCAGGCTAAATGTATATTGCCTCACTCTAAACCCCACGCATGGTTTTACTTTGATGACAAATGCAGCGATACAAAAATAAAGGAATCTGTCGCTTGTAAACAAAATAAGATGCCATTGTATATTCAGCTGCACACACCAGGGTATGTTCGGCGTTTCAAGAGGGAACAAATGCCGTCCTTAATATCATTCCAGGGTTTTTTGAATTTGAAAGTCTGGTTTCTTTGATTGTTAACTAACCTCTATCCTGTGTATTTACAAGTAAAAGATTTTAGTTATCAGAATCGGGTCATATTCCCTTTTGAATGGTTTGACATGCCATTACATTGATATACACTAAACTCATTATAATTTGAGAAATAATAGCTTTGCAATTATGTTCATTCTCTATGGGATGTCGTCTGCTTGGGCAGTGTTGGTCCATATATTGACGTCATTAAAACATTGTTATTTTTCCAGCGAATCTCTCGTACATCCTAGCTGCCATGGAGATGGTTGTATTTGTATTTTTATAAATCACCTGATATGTAGTTGACCTAAAACTTGTCTGATGGCCATCTGTTAGCTTACCAATACCAGTTTCTAGTGATACATTAGTTCAATTTAGTTGACATAGTCTATTTGTGATCTTCTTTAAATTTCACCTAAAAATAATATTATCAACAATGTCCTCAGATTTTAACACAATAGATCTAGTCTCAACAAACATAGTCCATAATTACAAGTTAATCTCCAACGTTTCCCCTTAGGCCATGTAAAATTGATTACATGTTGATCGTCCAGATTTTTCGAAAAAGAGGAGGAGGGTGTACCATGTTATTTGATATTTGATATTTTTCCCAAGATGGCTCCCTAGATAATCTATGCAGTCTATGTGCATTGCGTGACCATGCAAAATCGGTCAACGTTTTTAAAAATAAATTTAGATTCAAACCTTTATCTGTTGTGATCCTGAAGGTGATACTCAATAAATGAAGTGTCATATCATATGAAAGGGCAGATTAATCTTCATAGACTATTTCCAAAGGGGTGTAATTTCGGATTTCTAAAAATATTGTGTCAAAACAGAGATTTAAATGTTTTATTCATCTGTTCATGGTAACTCTGAGATTTCCCATTTTTGAGAATTGTCCCTCCGAGGATAATAAGTTCAATTCGTAAGGAATATGTTGATGTGCTTATTTTTTTGCTAGCCCCAAGGGATCACTTACGATTTAAGTTTGAAAATACTTGACCCCTACTTTTTGCATATCGCCTAATAAGGCCATGTAAAATTGATTACATGTTGATCGTCCAGATTTTTCGAAAAAGAGGAGGAGGGTGTACCATGTTATTTGATATTTGATATTTTTCCCAAGATGGCTGCCGCGTGTAAAATCCAGCGCTAGAGCGCGGCCACGCTATCGTGAGGTATCTGCGATGCGATGATCAGTCGACTCGATCAACTCGAGCTAGCTAGCTCCTCGACTTGATCAACTCGAGCTAGCTAGCTCCTCGACTCAAGCATATACATGCGATATATGCATGCGCAGCGCATGCATCATCGCATCATTTTTTAGCGCAGCTTCACTTCAGCATATCGCTGATCATATCAACCACTATACATTTCAATACAATTTTTTCTAGAGTCTTGGTATGTTTGTACAAGAATATTTGAACAGCGTATTTGAAGAAAAGGTGGAAAAGATGCATATGGTATTAAAGTATTTTGTGTTGTTTTCTGAATAAAAAGAAAATATATATTAAATATCAAATATAAGGAGGCGGGCGGAAAAAAGGAAGCGGGCGGGGACGATCAACATGAAATCAATTTTACATGGCCTTACTTGTAAACAAACAGAAAAGGCTGTGACTGAGTGTGAATTAGACCAAATTTTCCGTCTCTTTCGTTCGTTAGCCTCTTATTGGGGTAGGGTCGGCTCTCTCTTTAGCTAGAGACGGAAGCCGACTATACGCATTTCCTTGCTAACACCATGGCCATTTATGGCCATATTTTTATGCCCCGAAAATCCCCCCAAATGTCATTTTACCTCGTGCATGTTATATTGTAAATGTCGAAATCCATGTTAAAAATCTTGCAAGACGTATTTTAACATGGATTTTGATTTTGACCCATAATTTCCTAAAAAGGCACCATTAAACTGATTATTTCAGTCAAGTTGGTAAGTGGAACCGATTTATTATAGCCTAGGCCTAATTTACAATGTAACATGCACGAGGTAAAATGACATTTGGGGGGATTTTCGGGGCATAAAAATATGGCCATAAATGGCCATGGTGTTAACAAGGGAATGCGTATAGTCGGCTTCCGTCTCTAAAGAGAGAGCCGACCCTACCCCAATAAGAGGCTAACGAACGAAAGAGACGGAAAATACGGTCTAAGTGTGAATGTGATGCCATTCAGAATCCATTGAAAACTCACTGACACTCCTACAATGCAATGTGAAAACTCACAAATTTGATCTAGGACTAGGGAAGACTTTATCTATTAATAACCTCAAAATAAGAAGTGCAAAGAAATGACAAGAAAACAAGTTAGTTATTTCATAATTTAGTTGCCAAAATAATTGTCTCCACAAAGCCGAGCTCTCATTCATCAGCCTTCGGTCCGCCACAATTCGTGGCTGGATGCAGTTAGTTGCATGCACTGTTTGCAGGCGGATCAGGCGCACAGTGCAGTCATAGCAGTCAGTCACATTCAAAAGCACAAAACAGAAACCATCGAATTTCGAAATACTGTTAATATAGTTAGTATAATTACCTCCTTTTGACTCCATGTTAATAGGCCTAATATCTGCAAGGTGACACCTTCCAAAGATCACTTCAAACAAACAAAAAATCTATGTCTTACAATTTACAAGTGGCAGTCCTCCATGTTCGCCGTGTAGTCTACATGTATTACCGTACTATGTAGGAGCAATTGCGCAACTTTTGGCTGGCCTCGAAAATCAGCTGATATTTCTATAGACTCCTTTTGTATGCGTGATGAGCTAGTAACTAAGTGTGTCGGGGGCCCGGTACTGGGTGTCGGGAGCTAAGGTGCATGGAGTCGGTGATCGGCGAATATTTTTTGGGTGTCCATATTTGTATCCCCCAATCCATGAAAGCAGGATTATCACTATCAGGTCAAAACAGTAAGAGAGGGGTCTACAGCACAGACAAATCGTATCAATTAGAGGGGGGGGGGGGGGGGGGGGGGGTGCAAATGTGGCACGTTGTGCCCCTTCCCGCATCCAACCTGGGATAGAAGTTAAGAGCTCAATTTAGTTTAGACCCCAACTCAGCTCCAACTTACCTCCAAAAACAAAAAACAATTGTGTAACGACCATTGTCAGAGTCTACATATCTCCTCTAATTTCAATTTAAGTATAAATAACTGCTCATCCTTATTGCACAACTGAACTGTAAAAACTTAAAATCTGATTTAAAAAAAAATTTTGTTCTATGCCTCAAATCTCTCTCTCTATCTCTCTCTTCTTCTTTTACTTTCTTTCTTCTTCTCCATCCTCATGCTGATTTTGGGAACCAAGCAATCTTATTATTTGGTAATCAGAAAGCATATAAAGAAAAAAAGTACTGGGAAACAAAATCACCATGGCAATACAAAGATAGAATGTGAAAATACTTTTAATAGTTGGTAACTATAAATATTTTTTAATGTCAGCTGGCTTCCTCTGCATAATTTCAATTTGTAAAGACTTTTGTGGCTTGCACTCGGTATAATAAGGATCGCGTGCTCGATCTTGTACTTCAACAAAAGGCAGTAAAATAAGAACCTAGCTGCCATCTTGCTTGGCAGCGACACTTCCGCCCGCAAGGGCCTGTTCCTCAAAACCGTCATAAGTCTAACTTCTTGACTATCCCATTGAAACATGTGTTATAGAATTAACATGCATTCTAATGGGATAGTCAAGAAGTTAGACTTATGACGGTTTTGAGGAACGGCCCCAGGCCATCACTGGTTATTGACACAGTCATGATGAACTGGAAACAAACACATCAGCTCTCCCAACTCATTCTGACTTATTAATATTCATCAGTCTGTCAATAGGAGAGCAGCTTTAAATGTTAGGCTTCCTGGGAGAAATTGCAATTTGTAAAGACATTTTTGGCTTAATTGCGCCCAATTTCAAGATCGAGCACATGATCTCTCTTTACTGGATGCAAACCCCCAAAAGAAATTTCTACAAAATAACTACCGGTAGTGTAAATATGTCAATACATCTGGAAATGCCAAGAACATGAATATCAAATCAACAGATGTATGCTTAACTTTAACTCGGAGGACATTATACAACGTTGAAAATGGCAATGCATCATCAAGAGAAAGAGAGATAGAGAGGGAGAGAGATAAAGGGAGAGGGAGTAGAGATACAAGAGACAGAGAGAGAGAGAGAAAGAAAAAAAGGGAGAGAGGGGGAAAGGATGAAAGTGAATATCTTTGCATCTACTTAATGAACAAGGCGTTTTTTAATAAATAAAAGCCATGAGTACAGAAAAGAACACAGAAACAAGGAGGTAAGAAAGAGATTGAGAGATTGAAGATAGAAATGTAAGTATGAGAGGACATTGTGACTCCCTTGGCAAAGGAAGAACAACAAAGAAGTTTAATAATTATGGGGTTTTATTCATTAAAGAGCAAGACAGTAAGAAAGGAAGATAAGGAGAGATGATGAAGCTAGCGATGTAGGGTGGGGAAAAGGAGAGAGAGCGACAAAAAGAAAAGATAGAGAAAGTGAGGAATAAATATCAGCACTTTTGTTAAATGAACCAATCTTATTGCATATTACTTTGATACCAATAATATAGAACTGGTTCTCCATATATACCCAATACTAGTGTTACGACAACAATATAACAAAATCAGTTGGAACTGATTCAACTAACCAAAATCATTCAAATTCCTAAGGTAATTCAGAAAAATCAATAACTTCAGTACAATCAGTTCCTGTATGGGTGCAGTTTTGGATGACTACACAAATAACAATGTACATTATGGATGACAGCAATAACAATGAGGAATACAGATAAAGACAGGTTTCTGTAACAATGAGAAGCCATTCATTTTACTATCCCAGGGATGATAAAAAATAATAAACCATAGAAGTAATTCTTTCACACACATTCACCTACAGTGTACTCTGCACATCCCAATGAACAAACAAAACTTTACTTTCTGTTAGTATCGGGAGTGCAAACTCACTGTTAATGCCACACAACATTGTTAAAGTAATTGCAATATGTACTGTAAGGTAAACATTAATCAATAGTACTGGGAGTGCAAACACAACATAGTTAAAGTAATTGCAATTTATACTAAATGTACTAAAAGGTAAACATCAATCAATATATAACTGTATAAGGTTAAAGCGGGCAGGTCTAGTTTCAACAATGATAATGTCAAAATTGTTCTACCCTGTTGTGTAAATGTGGTAACATTCAATCACTGAATTAAAAAAAAAAATAGGAAAATTCTTTCACAAATTCATAGCAAGATAGTACTCGCAAAAAATCATACTTTTTTATGGATTAATGTAATATTTGTGAAACTTGCAAATGGGGAAACATTAAAGATGTAAAAATCAAAAGTACACAAATTCATAACACATACTAACAAGTAATGATGAAACACATGCCAAGATCAACTGCTACAATTCCGGAATACTAACAAAATTATAATCATATACCGGTATGTGAAAAATACCTCTTAATACAAATAATTTTCTCCCTGACAATGGTAGCTGTAAATTGCTAAACAAATATGGCAATATGGAAGGAAAAAAATACAATGAAAAAAGATAGGATAAATACCACTTTTCAAAATTGAAATCAAGAGTAAACATAATTCATGACAAATACATACAATGAAGAAAAGAATGTTCCTGATAAGAAAAGTTAATTACAGCCATTTAATTCAGTACTTAAAGAGAAGGGCACTATAAGACCAACATGTATTGGCTAGTACAATTAGAACAAGGGTATAATAGTTCAAATTAAGAAAGTAAAACATGAACTCCCTGCCAAAGCCTACATGTTATAGTACCAGAGAGCTGATAACAGGATAAACACATTGCTATAACAATTGTTCACAATGAATAGCACCACATTTGTTCATATAGTGTAAAAATACCTTTCGTTTTATGCAATAAATGGACTTGCCTATGGAACTGTAACATCAATGACATGGATTCAGCAAAAAAGCCATGTTCTTATGCTTTCAATTTCAGCAAAGCCTTGTTCAGACCTGATGTCTTAACCTTTCATTTGTCGCAAGTGTGGATTGACACAGTTGCTTGTTTACCACGCGTGCCGATTTGCACACACAAGAAAAAGGCATCAATTGACTTCAGGTTTGCTTTGTGCGACACAAAAGTATTGCAAAATTACCCATTTCTGGTCTTGATTACAACATGACGGCCCTTCTGACACCTGTACAGATTACGTTTACACTGGAAACATGAATAATCATGAATCCATAGGTTGAACTAGCCCATTAGAAATGCATTGTGGTACAGGAGAATCAATACCAAAAACAAATCAACAAAGAAAGACAACCCCAGACAAACTTACTGCAGCAAAATAGACAAGATATAAAAGTAGTGTGCTGTATATTTCTGCATCTTATAACACGCAGAGATGTAAACGGGTTTAAGGCACGTTCACAGGCAGGCGCGTACTCAGGAGGGGGGGGGGGGGGGGGGGGTCGAATCCCCCCCCCCCTCAATTTTTTTTTTACTGTGCCAATGGGTGACCAAAAAAAAGATGACCTTACCCCCCAAATCCCCGCTTACCGGTATTCAGCAGCTGGCTAAGTCGTTGCAAAATTTTAACCCCCCCCTTCGAAAAAATCCTGCGTACGCGCCTGTTCACACGTGATGTGTAAATAAAACTAATTTATGTGTGAATTAATGTCAAGAAGGGATGAAAAACAAGTATCTGCATATATGCTTATATGCCATTTGCTTCCGTTACAGCAGTTTTTTTTAAGGAAGTTTACAGTGTTATATTGGAATGAGGTGTTACAGTTTTTATTTTGTGCTCCTACTTCTATCAAACTCCTGCTTGCCATTCATTTATATATAAAATGGATTTTATTTTGTTGGATCACTTTTCTTAAAACGGCTAGTTAAAGGTTATTGCATTGTGAAAGAAACGTTGTGGAATCGATCAGAAAAGGTTGATCATCTAGCATATAAGTATTGGTGTGTACTGCAAGGTTCTGGAATCATCAAAATGATAAGAAATTTGGCCCAGTCTTGGTAAAGTTACAAGCACTGTACACAGAAAGATGTATATGGGACTACGCCATATCCATCCATTCCGGATAGATATAATAATTTACCAATTATATCAATTAGTAGTCGGTTTCCCAGCAAAATTTGTATCATCATATATTAGTCATAACATATTCTTTCAAATGATTGGTAATAAGAGCTTCTATTTCATTTTTGAGAGGGGGGCGTTTCCAAAAGTGGTCTATACCTTTAACTGCTTCATGTCTGACCAGAGCTTCTGGTGGGAACACAATCTCATTGCAAAATCCATTCAGAGTTAGAAGGGCCTTCACTCTAGGGCGTTAACTCTGTTAACGTATATGAGCTATTGTCCTTCCGACTCTGAATAGACGATATATGAGCAGCTAATGGTTGTAAGATGATTGCCTTCTGTTGAAAAATAAGGTATCCTGTAGTCAACATGAATGTGACAGCATTCTAATCACAATTATACGCTACATATTAAATACACATAATGGATTGCATTTACTGTTTGGTGGTAGAATAATGTAAATCATGTAGATAGGACCATCAATGCATGTTGACGTAAATCTGCATCATCAAATTGGCATCTTCAAAGACAAGTCCTTTTTTTATGAACAGGAAGGCAAGATTAACTGAGTGACTGTTTGATAGTTGAACAATTTTTAGCATATCACAAATCCAGTGATCCATGCAAATTTTTACTTAAAGGGATAGTTGAGTTCTGTTTTCAGACTGCAAATGCCTTCAAAATGCATGGTTATTGCTCTTATTCTTATCTATGACATTTTTAGTGCCCTTTTAGAACCTAAAATTGCTATGAAGGTAATTTTAGACCCCAAAGTGTGTGAAATTTAGCCAATAAGATCATACCAATTCAGCTCCACTTTAAAAAAAAACATGGTGACCGTTAATTAATTACTTAATTAAAAATAACAATAGATGAGCCGGCTAATTGATGGTAATATACGCAACACTAATATTTGTGGTGGTACACAAGTATTAGAAATTATTATATTTCAGCCGTCTCTGAACCGATTTTGATCAAACAAAGATGTCCTTTGTCAAAGATGTGTGTGAAATTTAGCCAATAAGATCATACCAATTCAGCTCCACTTTAAAAAAAAACATGGTGACCGTTAATTAATTACTTAATTAAAAATAACAATAGATGAGCCGGCTAATTGATGGTAATATACGCAACACGAAATGCCAACAAAAAAGCCAACATCCGCATTGGCTGAAATACGACGTAAAAGACGTTATTTCATTTTTTTCAACAGTTTTTTCAAATTTTTCAAAATATCTAATATTTGTGGTGGTACACAAGTATTAGAAATTATTATATTTCAGCCGTCTCTGAACCGATTTTGATCAAACAAAGATGATTTTGAAATTTAAATATTATGTTCTTTCAAATTTGACAATCAGTTTTTCATTATCTCACAAAAAAATTATTTTGTGTAGCGGCCTCTGCAACAGAACTCAACTATCCCTTTAATCATTTACATAATGCACAACACGAATTACATTTATCTTTGGGCAGTTCAATACAATATTGTCATCAATCGGCATCTTCAAATTGGCCATCCTCAAAGTGAAAGTCAAGGTCGGGGACGGGAAGGCACGGAGGGTGCCCATCGGAAGGTACAAAAGAGAATTTGAGGACGTCGGTTCCGATCGGACTTCTCATTGATGTGTTGTGTCGGTATGTGTGTACGTCATCACAACCTGTATGAGAGAGATAACTGGTCTGTTTAGGCAAGGGCAAAATTGAAAGAGTGTAGTAAAAAGACACCTCTAGGTGAGGGATAGACAGTCAGAGTAGAGAAGAGAAGAGAAGAGAAGACAGAGCGAGAGAGCTAGAAGGAAGAAAGGGATGAGGGCCAGGGAGAGTGGACAAAGAGAGAGAGAGAGAGAGAGAGAGAAAAGGGGAGTTGGAGGGAAAGAGAGGGAAAGAGAGAAAAGTAATAAATAAGGGAGACAGAGAGATCAGAAAGAAATAGAGACAGACAGACACATATAGGAACAGACATATATAGCACAACAAAGTGTAACTGTATAATTTGTTCTTGTTATTTAACATGAAAGAAACTAAAACCCAAATATACACAATATTGGAAAGTAGAAATTTGATATTTGGAATTCTTTATTTTCACTCAGATATGCAGAGTTGCTATATCTCCCATCCCCCCCTGCCCCCTCTCCTTCCTTACCTCCCACATTAAACCGTACCTAAACCTGTTGCCTCCTGAGTTTTCTTATTCCCATAGACTCAACTCAACATTTGTGGCCATGTTCTACTATAACATTTCTATTAGTCTTTAATGTTTTAAACCAATTTTTGGGACGGAAAGCAGTTTAAATATTTAAATGCAAATATTTTGAAAAGTAGTTTTCGAGTCGCTCGCGCCCTAACACCCTTCTGCCAGCCGGGCGATGAAATGCCAAGTCATCCCCCAAGCAGGCCAGAGACTTACTGAAAGGATTGTTGTCTTCCACCTCCATGTCCCAATCTTCGGCTTCGTCGACGATGTCCTCTAGACCGTGGGTCGACTCTCCGTCGGTGGTGTGACAAAGGTCAAGGTCACTGCAGCTTTCACTCGTCCCTCGGTCACTTTCTGTAAAAAAAATATCAGCAGTGGAGTATAGATAGATAGATAGATAAAAATGGTTTATTAAAAAGATCATCGCAGCCAACGGCTGAATTGCGATCGATTCCACAAAGATACAATACAATTGCAATTCAAATTCAAATATATGTAACACAAAATATGATCATAAATCAAAAATTAAACATATAGACATTTCATACAAATTTATTGATCAAATTTAAATTTTTGTTAAAAAAGAAAGAGAAAGAGAGAGGTGTGGGAAAGGGAGAGTTAGAGTGATGAGAGAAAGAGAGAGAAAGAAAGAAAGAGAGAGAGGGAGAGAGAAGGGGGACAAAAGAGGGAGACAGAGAGACAGAGAGGGAGATGAAGGGGGGGGGGGGGGGGAAGAGACAGACAAAGGGGTCCTTATCATTACAGATGAGGGGAGATGGCAAGAAACATTAAGAAATTCAGAAAATAGAGATATAAACTATGAAAAGTCATTCACATAGTGCAATCATGAACTGTGAAATTCTAAAAATACAATTTATATTAGTATAACATTTTATTAAGAAGAAGTCTACAAGGAACGACTCAAGGTGGATCAAATCTCAGTAGAGGGTTTACCCATTATAAAACCGATCGCTTTGGACTGTAGTAGGAATAGGTAACCTCATGACACTGAAAGTGCAGATTAGGGACATTTAACCAACATGTTAGGCTTCCTAGGAGTAATTTCAATTTTGTAAAGAAATGTTTTGCTTGCTCCTAGCAAATAAAGACCATGTACTTAATCTCACGATTGAAAATCAGAAGAAATCTTTGAACCAGCGGGATTGAACCTGCCTTCGACTGCTCGCCGGGCAGGGACTCTACTACCATGGCACAGTCACGATGAACTGAAAATAAGTACAGCTCTCCTGACTTGTTCCGACTTATTAATATTCATCTGTCAGCCATTAGCACAATAGCTTTGAATGTTCCTGCAATCCAAGAGAGTATACACACCATAAGACTTGGTCTTGACTTCAATTAATCTTGTAATATTTGTAAGTGCATGTTGTATTTCAACTGAATAGATGCTATGTTTTATCCTCAATTATAATCAACATAGCATGTCACATTCTAAATGTAAGTAAAGATTTTAGATTTTTTTTTTAAAGCATTACAAACTGAGAAATATCAGCCCAAAGAGGGAGAAAAAAAAAAGATTTCAGACCGACCGAATCCTGTTTTGGCACCTAAAGGGCAATACAACATATTTTCTTTTTTTTAGGCCTAGTTTACCTTCATCTTCCAAGTTAGTGGCAGTAACCATATCTTGATCATTTGAGAGATGTGGCTTCCAAATAGAGTCTCCTTTCTTGACAGCATTGGCCAGTGCACTTGTCTTTAGGAAAATACACAGAAAGCAAGTTGGAAAAAGACATTTATTACCACATATTGCTGCTTATGTGAATAATTTATTAAATCTTTCCTTTTTATCTACTAACCAACCACATTAATGTATCTTACCCAATAATAATGATAACAACAATAACAATGATGATGATGATGATGATAATAATAATATTTATAATAAAAATAATGATAACAACAACAGTTATAATAATAGCAACAACAGCAACAACAACTGTATAATAATAATTATTGTTTATAAGATTTATAAGGTGCTAAATCCACTCACAATCAAATGCTGAGATCGGACTTGTGCATAATATACCATCACATAAAACCAGGGTATGAATTTGTTAGCAAATAAAATAATACTAAGCTGGAAGAATTGTTGAATATACTTTAATTTTTTGCCTTTGTTATGTTTAACTCAATCATTGAGTAATTAATGTAAATATGTATTGAAATATGGAAATAAAAACTTCGCTCGATGATAAAAGAAAAAAATACATCACCTAAAACCACACACTTACCATCTTGTCTGACTTGGTTTCTGGATGAGGTTCAGTCGTCTTGACAAACTTGTGGATACCATCTGAAGGATACTTGGCCCTGGCGTCCAGGTTGTTCACTTCAGGAATATCAAGCTCAAAGTCATTCTAGGTCATGGAAAGTGAACACATTTAAAGTAACTTGAAGGTAAAGACCAGTTTTGGAAACGCCCCCCTCTCAAAAAATGAAATGGAAGCTCTTATTACCGATCATGTGAAAGAATGTGTTTTGACTAATACGTGATGATACAAATTCTGCCGAGAAACCGCCTACTAATTGATATATTTGGTAAATTATCATATCTATTGGGGCCTGATAGATATAACGCATGAGTCTCATGACCATAACTTGTCTTTATCTTTAATAATGAGTGCAATACCATGACAATTAAAAAACATTCATTTATATGCACAGAAACCTATCTTACACAAGTGGTTCTGATTGCACAACCATGCTCTAGTTACAATCGGTCCATTATCACTTCTAATACTCATTGCATTCATAATCCTAACCAGGACCGAGCACTACAACAAAACCACCTATACTCAATCTTATAACAACAGAATCTAAGCCCTTATAATCCTCTAATTTGATGAAATCTAGCCCATAGCAAACGTCCCATGGATAGGACATTAAGTGGAGGCCCTGTGTAGAGGAGAGTCACCACCTTTGCACGTTAAGAACCAACCAAAAAATTACTTTTTTTTTACGAGGGCTCTTTTCAGATTTTCCCTTAAAAAAATAGCCCCCCTTAATTATTTTGCGGTGGCTATTTTGGAGCTCAGGGGGGCCTTTTTTTTTTAAAGGTTGTATTTTTTTTAAACGCGGTTTTACCTAATTAAATTCCAAGCAAAGGCAAATATAGATACAATTGTAGCGTATATATGTCATGTAGAGTATTGCAGACATTCAGATACCCATGATTTATTCACTTTGTGTTAAACGTGTGGCTTTATGATTTACATATACATGTAACTAAAACTTGTCAAAAGGAGTGTTTTGTTTAACTGTTCGTTTTTCATATCCTACAGGGAATAATTTTCCTGGTATCGCATCGCAATTTGCTATGCATTTTTGCATGACTGCTATACAAAATATCTTTTGTGTAGCAGTTTTCTTCCATAGAAATGTACAGAATTTCATTTTAAATATTCATCCATCGGCTGAAATTGCTTATCAAAAAATTCGAGGAAAATTATTCCCTGTCCTAAGAAAATATTATCACTGACACGCGGGCTAGGAATTAATTTTTTTATGGGGGCTACTTTTCCCCATTGCCTAAAAAAAACCAAGGGGCTACTTCCTTAAAGCCATATTGTAAGCTGTAACGATAAGTTGTGTTTTTCCTTAGCCATCATACTACTAGCAACCAAATTGGTAGGTAATATGTTATTTAGTCTTTTTTTCTGTCCCAAATTTAATTGTTATCATGGACAATGCAATCCCATTAAAAAAAAATGTAGACCAACTCCCTTTAAAATTGTGTTATTTAGACCATTTATAACCATTAAATGTGAGTAAATATTTTTACTGTTGTCCCACATACCGATGTAGGGTCTATTTGTTATGCCGAAACATGCAAAATCATGGCCTTATTTTTTTTTTATAGACTCTAATTCTAAAGGCCAAGCCAAAGCTAGTTTCATTTCGTAGACAGAAATTGATGTCATCATCACTCATGACAATTGGCCTGGCATCGATCGTATAAAAACGGTATATAAATAATTTAATTTAATTAAACAGTTGTAAGAAAGATTCTGAGGAGTAGGAACATCCTTTATATATTTATTTACGGTTTTTTTATAACAAAATTCAATTTCTGTGTACGAAACTTGCTTTATACCGATTTTACAGGAAAAAATCCGGCATTGATTTTGCACGTTTCGTTATTACAAATATATCAGTATGTGGGACAACAGTAAAAATATACTCGCATTTAATGGTTTTAACTTATAAATAACACAATTTTAGACGGAATAACATTTTTTTTAATGGGATTGCATTGTCCATGATAAAAATTAGGGCCAGAAAAAAGACTAAATAAACATATTACGTACCAATTTGGTCGCTAGCAGTTGAGCTCTCGTCACTCGCAAATACTTATTTGCTTCATACAAGGAGCGTGCGGGCGCGCGCTGGAGCTGAGCTAGTACGTTTCTGTGTATTGTGAATGTGTGCGAACTGCGTATGCATTCATGCTGTGCACGAAACTACATCGGGGCCGGTGGTCTGTCCGGCCGCCGGGAGCTTAGGCGCAGGCAGGCGGATACCGCTGTAGATCTAGCTACAGTAGGTACGACCGCCGATCCGCTGCAACTCACAAAACTTTTAAAATGTTGATGGAAGTTTCTAGTTTTGGAGTTGGTAGTTGGAACGGAGATTTCACTCAGACACATCAATAAATTGGTTTATTAATTCATAGGGAATATCAATTTATGGCGGGGGCGATTTTTCAAGATAAATTGATTTTTTTTCGCCCTCGTCTTAATTTTTACCGTGGCGATTTCAGAGGTTTAGGGGGCGAATCGCCCGTCGCCACCGTGTATTTTTTTCGTTGTTAAGAACCCACTGCACTATTCGTATAAGAGTAGGGGGAAACCCCGGTGTAGTGGTCCACCTGCACACCCCCAATCGGTTATACCGGGAGGAGAGACCTGAGGGTTACAGTGATTCAGTTCGCTTTTCGCCTCCCAGGTACAGGTGACGCCAAATTAATAATAATATTAATAATAACGCCATCAGATCATATGTCAGAACACTACGATTCCTTTGATTTCGCATTACCCAAATTTAATAATTTGACAATTTTGCTAGTCATCTAATCAGACCGGTACTTGAAATAATGAATGAAGATATGTTTGGGGCATTTGCACCGTATTATCAGAGTGTAATATTAATCAATGATCATCTCGTTCTCCACTTGATGCATCCAATTGTCTTCAGGAATGGATTAGAATTTCTTGGAGGTAAAATTCATTCCGTTGGACAATAATAAAAAAAGATGCATTATTGCATTGCATACTCCTACATCCGGGGGGGGGGGGGGGGGGGGGGGGGGGGGGTGGTTCACAAAGATCCTAAGTTGAACTTATCTCTAGGTTGAACTTAACATTTATGGAAAGCCATTAGCATCTATGAAATATTTTGTATAAGTTATTTTAAAAGGCATAGAATGTTGATTCAAATCATTCATATTTTATATTATCAAGGAGATTTCATGTTCTTGATGTGGAATTTATAAAAAGTCTAAAATACTTGAATTTTCGTTTTTGAATATATTTTATTTTAAGGCTGCAAATGGCTCTCCATGAGTTTTAAGTCCAACTTAGAGTTAAGTTCAACTTAGGATCTTTGTGAAACACCCCCCAGGTGTGTTCAGTTCTTTAGACTTACATCATCTAGAGCAACCCTGACGAGATTGGTGAGCTGGTTGAGGCATGCTGGGAACTCCCGGAGACGATTCTCAACCAGATCAAGGGTCTGTAGATTCACCAACTGGTTGAAGGATGCTGGAAGCTCTCTCAACTATCAGAAACAAAAATTATACTTTTATACCAACATGTACTTGTGTGCATAAAGAGCTTACAACCTTGGCTGCACTATATCAATAGAACAGTTCCACAATAAAAACAATTTTAAACGTAACATTAAAAAATATAATGGTTTATTAAGAAGCATTTTGGCTGTTTGAAAAGAATGTGTGGAAACACTCTAGATACAATTGTCCCTTGGTATTTCTCTGTCTATAAAAATTCCAATGCTTTTTTTGAGAAGGAAGTGTGTTAGTGTGTTATGTACTAGCAAGAACCCTGCAAACATAGAATTTTTACCTTTTTGTCCTGAAGTTCCAAAAAAAACATTTGACGGAAACAAGACTAACGTATCAGAACTTTAAATCAAAAATTGTTCATCCCGCTCTACCTGGTTTCTGTTGATTCTCAGTCTCTCTAGAGACCTCAGATTCCCAAAGTCCTCCGGCAGACGCTCTATGTTGTTCTTGGACAGGAGACACGTCTTCAGTGAACCCAGGCGGCTGAAAGATGCGGGTAGCTTCCTGAGGACGTTCTGCCCGACATCAAAATACTCCAATGCATACAGATCACCAAAGCTCTCCGGTAGACAATTCAAGGAATTCTCATCAAGCCTCAAGTGTCTGTGGATCATAAACATGATATTAAATACAATTAGCATATGAATTTATCTTAAAACTATGCTGGATGAATTTGAAAGCAATATGGTCTCCTAATTCTCTGTATACTATAAACTACTGCAAATGAAAGACATTGTAATGATGTACTTTGTTTATTGCACAAGAACAAGCAGGCAAGCACCATTTTACAATCGGGATTCAGAGTTCAGACCCAACAAAAAATTCATGAATACAAATTGTACATGTACGGTATCTGTAAAAGAGACACAGCAAGGGCTGCATGGAGATTAGACACACAATGTATGGAACAGCTGATTCTGCAAATAAGAGAAGATGTAAAGAAATAATGAATTTTTTTAATCCCGTCCCAAATACACACCATGTCCTCATTTTTCTTCGCTTCAGGGAAAAAAATACACAGGGGCTTGGGGCAAATTAGCCCCCGAAATGCCCAAAAGAGCCCCCGAAAGTCATAAAAGAGCCCTCTAAAATTTGCATAGAGTTCAACGCAAAACAAATTAAAGATCGTTATTTTCATGCAAGCAAGCTTGAAAAGTAGCCCCTGAAATGATTTAAATATTTTTTTTCCCTGCTTCGCTTGTTACTAAGTTATCATACATTTCTTCTTCAATATTTGGTAGGTTTCTTTCATTTGTAATTTTCACATTATAAGGCATAATTTTCAATCGATTTAGTCAAAATGTAAATGTATAAAAACTCATTCACCTAAGGTTCAACATTAGTCCAAAAGATTCTGGCAGATGTGTGATGCGATTTCCATTCTGGAAAGCCCTCCTCTCGATTTCCATAATGTGGCTCCCAAAATGCAGTGTCTCAACATTTCTGAGCAGCCCAAAACTTGAGGGAAGGTGATCAAGGAAGTTTGCACCGACATCCATGTGTCTTAAAGTGTTCCCACTTATGGTGCCAAAGTGATCTGGAAGCTCATGTTCTATGTAATTGTTTCCCAGGTAGATTTCCTGAATGTAGGTGAGTTCTCCGATCCAGGGAGGAAATCTCTTGAGGAGGTTATCAGCAGCGGAAAACTTCACCAGGCACCTGGACGCTGATGCCAGCCTTGGTGTAAGTTCCGGGAGGTAGTTGTTGGATAGGTCTACGTACTGTAAGGAGGGCAAATCTCCAAAGCTGTCAGGTAATTCCAGAAGCTTGTTCCGGCTAACATTCAGCACTGCTAGATTCCTGAGGTTGCCAAAGTTCTTGGGCAAGGCTTCGAGGTTGTTTTCGCTTGCCTCAAGGGTGTGTAAGCTCTCCAGATCACCAAACGTGCTAGGAAAGTTACATAGCTGGTTGTCTTCCAAGGTCAGGTTCCTGAGAGTTTTAAGGTGGCAGATATCCAGGGACAACTGTTTTAATCGGTTCCCAAGCAGGTGAAGGTCCTCCAACTTGGGTAGGTGAAAGAGTGACGCGGGAAGCACTGAAATCTCATTTTCATTGGCGGACAGACTTCTGAGTTCTTCAAGGCTCCCTAACACAGCAGGCAATTCCTTCAAATCATTTCCACTCAAACACAGAATTTGTATTCTTGGAAGAGCACTGGCAATATCATTGGGCAGAGTGGACAGGCTGTTGTAGTTCAAATTGAGTTCTGTGATGTTTCTGATGCAAGTTCCAGCGACCCTGAGAGCACCAATGTCAAAATGTGACAATCCCTGTGATTCAAGGTCAACTGCTTCACCAATCTCCTTTTTTCCCTTGCTCTGCCCAGTCCTGTACATTGTGCCAATAACACCAGGCATGCCTCCAGAATATGAAAGAATATTTCCTGTGAAGAAAAAATATATTCAAAATAAATTTAAGATTATAGAGGTTGTTGACCAAACGGAGGATGAGAGAGGAGGAAGAGAGAGCAGATTCAGCGCTCGCTACGACCAAGTAATGCACACACAGATATAAAACAGCTATTTGACAGGATTGACAATAGATTCCAATTTAAATTTTCAAAGTAATTTTGTCCAACATCAGTGGGGTAAATTAATTGTATTTTACTTTACTGCTATTTTGGGGTCATCAATTGACACTAATATAAGTGCAGATTTTAAGTAAATTCTGTTGAGATTTGTACAGTGTTGCTAGAGGGTGTTACATTTATTTTGAAATACACAACAAGTATAGAGTGATGTCAAGTGTGAAATCATCAAGAAACTATTGTTAGAGTTTCCAAATTTGAACTTCATTTTCTGAAACAGCATCAAATAGATTTCAATAGAAAATCAGTTATTTTGCTCTGGCTCGTAATGTTATGAACCAAGGCAAAATAACAGTGATTTCCCATTGAAATATATTTATTCAGATGGTCATATCTCAATTGCCACTGACTTTCTACATTTGGACATTATTTTTTATGCTCTTTTGGAAAATGAAGTTCAAGTTTAAAAATTCTAAAAATAGATTTTCACAGCTTCGGTACTCTATGCTAAATGCTCCTATGAGTATGAGTGCTAAAATTGTTAGGTACACTCAATCAGTGAATGCTCACTCTAGCAAAGCATAGAGTCAAAGCTAATGCGTATTGACCTCTAGCGCTGTATACTTGCCAAGAGGTAGCAATTGCACACAATACACAAATTGCACACAATTGCACACTATGAATACGAAGTGGCTGATCGGCACTTTTGACAGAGACTCACGATTTGAATTTTCAAAATAATCTTTTTAACATTGGTTAGTTGAAAAGATTGTATTTTACTGCTATTTAGGTGTCATCAATTGTCACTAAAGTACCGATTTTGAGTGAACTCAGTCGATTTTTTAACAGCGGTGTTTGAAATGTGGAGAATCAACAGAATTCTAAACAGTTTTTAATACACAAAAAGTATACTAATGCTGCTATGTGTGTGAATGCTAACCAGTACTAGGGGCGCTGGTCCGAGAATGAGGATCGTCCATATAAACAAGGATATCCATGTAAACTAAGGCTGTGCACAACAGTGTAATGAGGTACCCGAGTACACTCCCAGGCTTACAAGCGAATACACAAATTTTCGGACGCCATGTATTTTTATAATTTTTTTGAATTTTTTTGAATATTTTTTATTTTTGTTGATTTTTTTTTTTTTTTTTTTGGCCACCACCATACCTTTGGAGCAGTATCCCAGTTCTGTCGCCGAAAACGCATGCAATTTTACTTCGAGTTGCAGTTGAAGGCGCCGATTTAATAATAATAATAACATTAAACAATGCTGTTTTAAAAACCAAAGATGGCAGAATAATCCATTTTCCTACAAGTCCAAACAGAAATCCAGACATTTGGTCCCAGTTTCTGAGTGGTGAGTTTGACAGTGCTCAAGTTGGGAAACATTTTTACCGACGGCACCATGCCAGCGGCCGCCGCTCACCCAGGCACGGTAAGCTTCGCCTGGACAGATTTTTTTTTTTTTTTTTGCGGCCGAATATTCGAGTACGAGAAATCGTACCCGAGTAGTTGTCAACCGTGCGGGTACTCGAACATTCGACTACACGTCGCTGCCCTAATGTAAACGCGAACAAATTGAGTCCTAAAAAATAAGGATCGTCTGCATTTTTGTGGACGTTTTTTTTATCGACGCTCTGCGGCTTTTGGGTTACCGAACCGCTGGCTGGTGATGCGATAAACGGATCCGCGCAAGAAAATAACCCCAGTTAAGCCAGTTTACCGTTAGACCGAAAGCTTCAGTCTCTATACCGTCGGTTGTTCCACTGAGACTACGTCTGGCTCCACTAGACCTCCGGTTATAGAGACAGAACGATCGCCTATGCCAGCCTATGTTGAAGATATCACGGCTAGATTTTAGCCGTTAGGCCCCTCCCACAAACATGAACAAACTTGCCACGGCCGTATTGTTATGCCCCCAAAATCCCCCCAAATGTCATTTTACCTCGTGCATATCCAATTTTACATTAGGCCTAGGCTATAATACATCGGTTCCACTTACTTACTTGATTGAAATAATCCGTTTAATGGTCCCTTTTAAGGAAATTATGGGTCAAAATCGACATCCATGTTGAAAATCTTGCAAGCCGTGTTAAACTCTCGCTGCCGTCAATCTCATCCCTTCTAGTCTACGCCGAAGGCAAAATGATTATGAAGGAAAAACTGTGCGCCATCTACACGTTCGTAATGGCGTTATCACAGTTTTTCCTTCATAATCATTTTTGCCTTCGGCGTAGACTAGAAGGGATGAGATTGACGGCAGCGAGAGTTTAACACGGCTTGCAAGATTTTCAACATGGATGTCGATTTTGACCCATAATTTCCTTAAAAGGGACCATTAAAACAATTATTTCAATCAAGTTAGTAAGTGGAACCGATGTATTATAGCCTAGGCCTAATGTAAAATTGGATATGCACGAGGTAAAATGACATTTTGGGGGATTTTGGGGGCATAACAATACGGCCGTGGCAAGTTTGTTCATGTTTGTGGGAGGGGCCTAACGGCTAAAATCTAGCCGTGATATCTTCAACATAGGCTGGCATAGGCGATCGTTCAGTCTCTATAACCGGAGGTCTAGTGGAGCCAGACGTAGTCTCTGTGGAACAACCGACGGTATAGAGACTGAAGCTTTCGGTCTAGTTTACCGTCTACTTTTATGGGTTGTCCGTCTTCCCAAGGATTTATTGCTCATAAGGTGAAAGTCTCTATAAAAAATCATAAAAATGCAGCAAAAAAAATCATCACAAAATCTGTTTTTCGCATCGCCAATGCAATGCAGAAATATGAAACGTCTGCGAAAATGCGGACGCTCCTTATTTTTGTAACAGTAAACGACATGCAACAGCAACACACAGGTGCCAGCTAGTCAACAACGTAAAAATGAACATGTGGGACTGAAATTGAGTGAATTAGCTCACACATTGTCCATCAGACCGATTCCTTATTCACTGTGAGGAATAATCATCCAGAGTTGCTCTTACCTCAGCTACAATTGTAGCAGCGCTGGTGATGTGGATGTTAGAAGAGCAGAATTCACAGTTTGTATGCTTCCAAAAGAACGAAGAACCTCATTCAGCAGAAGCTACAATGTGACCGATCATCACGCAATCGCATGATGGCAAAAGGCGCAACTGGTGATTAGTTGGAGGTGGGGGTGGGGGGGGGGGGGGGGGGATCCATCACATTATTGCCCCAACGACCTCCAAATAAATTGGAATGCCGGACAACAAAATAAAATGAGAGTCTGGGAAAACTAGATGAAAATGATAGATGGTTAGATAATATAGAGAAATATCTAGACTCGGGTGGATGATGGATATACCCATATCCCTAGAGAGATATATTTAGTAGCCTACTAAATATAGGGTGAATGAATCTCTCATTTTTGTATTTTTGAAAAATATATTTATTTCGTGTTATATTTATCTATCTTTTAAGATAGTATAGAAAAATAATATCGTAAGCAAAACATTCATGGGCTTTGTTAGTGTTTCTTAACAGTACGTGCAGATTATTTGTTATATCACATACCGTGCCAGAAGCGGATCTAGAGGGGGGGTTGGGGGGGGGGGGGTTGCAACCCCCCCCCCAAAAAAAAAAAAAATCCGGGGACCATTTTTTAAAATCTTATCTTTTTTTTAAAACTTGTAATTTTATTTTATTCTATTTCTATGTATTTATTTCATTTATTATTATTATTATTATTATTATTATTATTATTATTATTATTATTATTATTATTATTATTTCTTTTTGGGGGGAGGGGGGGGGGGGGGGGGGGTTGGGCGAACAAATGTCACAGAGTCCCTTGCCCCCCCCCCCCCCCATCAGCTTTTTTGAGGACACGGGCCACCGCCGAAGTGACAAGCTAGGCCAGCGTTGCCGATTCTCATCCCCAAAATCCCCACATTAAAAAAAAAAAAAAAAATTGGGGGATTGTTGAAGTCTTTGGGGATGAAAAATAAATATTTGGGAATGAAATAATATTGAGTTTTATGAAAAACGAATTTGGGGATTTTCTGTCAAAATTTGGCAACTTTGGGGATATTTTAAGTGTCGTTTGGGTGGGGATTTTGTGAAGATTTAACCTGGCAACGCACGCTGAACTGGGCTGCTCATTTCCTGGATTACTTGTTCAAGTTGCTCACTTTTTTATCAGTCTGGTCTGAGTGTAGTGACAAGCAATATGGAAGCAAACAGACCCCCCCTTGGGCGGCCCAAAAAACAACAAAAAAAAAAGGGGGAAAAAAAAGAAGAAAAAAAAAAAAAAAAAAAAAAAGAAAGAAAAAAGAACGCACGCTGGAGAGAAACCCTTTCAAGTGCAAATATTGTGAAAAGATATTCAACTCATCTGGTAACTTAACCAAACACATGATAACTCTGGATATAACTGTGTATTTAACTGTTACTTGATTTAAAAAGACGTTATCATGCACTGCTGTTTATGGTCTCCATTGTGTTAATAGATGCCAGGAAAACATCACTTACGGGGTTCAAATAAATGACCCCTAAAAAAATCGGCTCGCCGCTTCGCGGCTCGTGGAGGATGCTCCGCAGCGTCATTATAGGTCAACCCCCCCCTTAGCAAAAAGTTAGATCCGCCCCTGCGTGCACCATACATAAATATGTATATAAGATATTACCTATACATAAGCCTCTATATTCAATAATCTTATCATACCATTTATCATTGTTGTTACTTTTTCTTATTTTATTTTCTTATCACATTATGTTATTATATTTTGCATGTACTGAGTGTAATTTAGCATATTTATAATATTGTATTACTGTTCTTATTTTATTTCCTTATTACATTGTGTTATTATATTTTAATGTACTGAGTGTAATATATCATATTATAATATTGTATTATGTTTTACTGTTCTTATTTTATTTTCTTATTACATTATGTTATTATATTTTTAATGTACTAGTGTAATTTAGCATATTTATAGTATTGTATTATGTTCAAGGGAGGTATTACTTCCTGATAGGGAACCGTTTCGTTCTGTGAACGAACCGTACTACAGCTTTTTGTATACTGGATTCACTCTTTTTTAAGTATTCCATAATTTTTTTCCGGATGGGATTCGTTTATTAAAACATAGCCCTTTCTATAATATAGTTAGGGCAATGTATTAAAAAATGTTTTACAGTCTCTATTTCACTGGGGCATCTATTATAGAAACCAGTAGCATGAATTCTCAATCTAAGGAGATCTTGGTTAAGTCCAAGGACTCCAAAACGGAGTCGATGAATAATGTTGAATGTTGTCTCTCTAATGAACATATATATTGTTTATTAAAGATAATAATAATAACAGCATTGAACTGATGACAGAAATGATAATAACTACAAGAAGAAAAGGAAGGAGAAGAAGAAAAAGAGGTGGAGGAAGAAGAGGAAAATAATGATGAATTTGTAGAATGACTATAACGTACACCACCTCCAGAACCATGCAGAGGATCGATCATGCTGGCGTATGATTTTATATCCGTTTATTTCAATTTCTTCATCATTTATGGAATTGTTTAACCATGTTTCCGTGAAAGCAATAATAGACAGCCTTTTTCTTTTAAAAAGAATTCTAAGTTCCGATATGTTTAGGATAGACCTCACATTAAGGTGTAAAAAATGAAGACCTTTAACTTTAAACTTTTCTTCAAATTCTTGATAAAGAGAAGTGTTTTCATATCTGAGGTTTGACTGAATTATTCTTGCTATCGCTTGCTTTTCAGGTGTAACGCGCGTTACCTTAAAATAGTTTTCTTTTAGTTTATCCTCACTTTGGCTTTCTTTCTCTTGACAATCGTCAGTAAATAATGAGTCACAAAAAGATGGCAGACAACATGTTAAACAATTCCCCTTCTCATCAGGGCATTCATAATCACCTGCGGTACTCTGAAAAACTGATAGCTTGACAATTAGTGTGAAACTATTTTTTACAATTAGAACACAGAAGGCCGTGTTGATTACATTTGACTGGCTTATCACAGTTCCCACAAGGGAACTTATATTTCCGACCGTCAACTATAATTTTCGGATCATCATTTGATTTTGTCAAAATGGATCAATTAAGCAGTTCACCTGTGCACCTGTGCTTCCACCTCCCACCTCCAAATAAATTGGAACATGCCAGACAACAAAATATAATGAGAGTACGGTGAAGATCATCTAGATAAAATGATAGATATATAGATAGATAGAGAGAGAGAGAGAGAGAGAGAGAGAGAGAGAGGGGGGGGGGGAGAGAGAGAGAGGGGGGGAGGGAGAGGGAGAGAGAGAGAGAGAGAGAGAAAGAGAGAGAGAGAGATCGAGAGAAAGAGAGAGAGAGGGAGAAAGAGAGAGAGAGGGAGAGAGAGAGAGAGAGAGTGTGTGTGATATATAGAGACATAGATAGATAGGTGGATGAATGGATACAGATAGGTGACATGGATCACTTAAACACTTTCATCTGTACGTGCCCCGACCTGTGCCCCCCCCCCCCCTCACGCCAAAGGCCGACATGTTGTTTTCATAGGTTTTCATTCTCTTCTTTCATGAAAGAAAATTTCACATAATTTATAACACATTACATAAAATTACATTTAATCTCCACATAGGCCTAAATAAATTTGCAAGTGAACTTTAATATTTCCATACACGGTTACAAATATGTTCATATAAATTTATTTGCAAATGAACATATTTACAGAAGAAAAATATTCACATATTACACACAATTACCGGTATAGTTTCACATTTTAAACAAATCGCACATAAAGTTTTTACGATTTCCTTGTTCAGCCTGCATATAAAGTTCCAATTATTTCTTTTCTTTTCCACAATAATTTTCATAAAGTTCAAAGAGAAAAAAGGGTTATAATAAAAATGCAAAAGCTTGGAGAAACCTAAATGACCATATACTTGCTATTATAACATTTCAAAAAGCTTTCCCATTCAAACCAACATTTAAGAGCCATGGTGGCCTATGACCCAAACTCGGCGACGCAAAGGTGCAACTTAGCATTTTGGCCGCATTAGTGCATCGCACTCATTTTAAATAAAAAAATCTTTGTCAAAATACCCTCAATACATTACAATATGCCAAAGTGGTTTCATTTTCATCGACTTATACTTCTTCTTCTTCTTCTTCTTCGAAATTGCTAGTCTATCATAAACCTATCACTGGGCCCACGGTTAATTTGTGAATCAGCCTCCGACACCGCGGCCGCTGAGCTGGCCTAATATGCACGCAATGCCGATTTCGATTATATTGTTGATAACCTAGCAACCAACTCGATCACGACGCGTACGTTTATCGGCAAATGTTCGAACGAAGTCGACTAAAAATCGCCGAACAAGAAATAAGTTCGAAATTGGATCCTGAATTAACTTGCAACGTTATCAGAGTTATATTTGACATTATCAGGAAGTAGAATGATACGTAATTAGGTATGTTCTTGATAATTGTTCACGTTCTGTGGCCTGATGCCACAATTTAACCGCAATCAATCAGCGATAAATGCACTGTGTAGTCCCATGTGCTGTACTTCATGACTTGGTGTGAGTGTTCAATGTGAGGTGTATTGTGACTGTGAGTGCAGATTGGTTTGGCGTGTTCACTGATTCTTGGTTCTTGGTTGGTTGGTTGGTCCTCCAAAATACTCGTCTGAGTTTGAACTGGAGGTGCGGGTAGGGTGTATTAATTTGTAGATGGGGGGGGGGGGACGGACGGTAGGGCAATTTTGAATTTGACAGGGTCAGTGACAGTGTGGGCGATAGTCTCCGGTTTAAGCTGGTTCCAATCACGCACCGTTCTCATGAAGAAAGAGTTCGTGAATGTGTCCGTTCTTGAGTGGGTCTGTTGGAATTGCCTGTTATGCCCTCTTCTATCTCTGGTCGTTTTAGGTTGGGTGTAGTCTTGATAGTCAACGTCCATGTGCCCGTACATCATTTTGTGGAGACGGGAGAGACAGTGTTTTTTGCGCCTTTCTTGCAAAGATGGCCAGTCTAGCAAGGAGAGGATGTTGGTGATGCTACTTGCTAGTGTCTCTGCCGTAGGTGTTTGTCACAAATCTTGCAGCGTGTTTCTGGACTCTTTCAATGGACTGTATGTTTTTACTTGTGTGGGGATCCCAGGCTGCTGTTGCGTAGATCTACATGTAGTCTTGGCGTCACACAACATAACTCTATTTTTATTTTAGCTACGAGGAAGCAAGGTTGCAAAGATAAAAACAAAAAAAACATGATAAAGTGTATTCCCTTTTCGTTATTTTATTGAGGTATATCTAGGTCTAGTAGACCCTAGATGTAGTCTAGATTCTACGTCTAGAGGGTCTAGACTAATTAAATACACTTGCAAATGCAAGTGTAGTCACTAAGTCCGCAAATAATATGAATCCGAAATGATGATGAATGAGAAACGAATAGGCCTAGATCTAGATCTATTTATTATTGCACTGAGAATCAAGTGCCATGTCGGTCCTGATTTATACATTTCACTGGAGACGGCAGAGAAAAAGTTGACATGCCATGCAAGAGGTGCATGAAGCACGGAAGATTCTCGAGTGCGGAGAGAAGATCACAGAGATGTGTTTACTCAACTGAAAATGGATGCAGGAGTGAAAAAATAACCTTGGGGTGTTGAAATACGTGGGGTGGAAACAATACGCCGAACCATGGTGCGCGAATCAATGAATATGAATGAGTCGCGTAATGGAAAATTACCGAGAACATCAAAGTGTACACTAAAAGTGTGAATGTATGAAATGCTGCAGGTACATGTATATAAACCACGTTTTGCATGACAATTTTATTCCTTGCCATTTTCACTCCTTGCCATTTTCACTCCTTGCAATTGACTTTTAGTTATAGCATTAAAGTTTATGGACCAAATTCACAAAAGAGGTTTAGATTTAACCCATGGTTTATACCCTCATTTACATAAACTTGTGTTGCGCTTATTTTGCCCTTATTTTAAACCATGGGTTATGTAAATGAGGGTTTAAACCATGGGTTAAATCTGAACCTCCTTTGCGAATTTGGGCCTATAAGTTTCAAATATTTTTTATGTCTAGAGGCTTGATAATATTAAGATCTAACAGTGGATTTAAATGAATCATGTAAAATAATCTCTAGACTAGACATAGAATGTGTTCAGCCCTGTATGAACTTTAATTTTTAATTTCTGAATTAATTTTTATGACACTATTGACAGACAGTGAGACTCTCACAATATAGAGTATTAGAAATGTATTGTAGCATTTCTTTTCAAACATCCACATGTCTACACCAAAGGAATTTATATTGGGTTGAAATTCCAAAAAGAATTAAAATTTTATGGTATAGTATCAGGATGATGGTGATTTAATTTTTTTCTTCTTCTATTTTTCTAAAACTTTTTTCATTATATAGTTTCAACCATGAGTTCAAGAGATTCCCTGAGAAGCAGGGATGGCGGGAGGCCTTTCTCTGCAAACAGAACACAGTTACCCCCAATCCAGACAGACAATAAGCCAAAGTACCCGGAGATAAAGCAGAGGGGTTACTACTCAGATGTCATCAGTGGTGATGGACCCAAGAGAGTTGGGGTAAGAAAATGTTATTTTCTCACAAAGGTTAAAATTCTCATTTATTTGGATATTTCTATTGTTTATTTCTGAAGGATACAAAGTGCAATAAAAACTCTAGAGCCAATAAATTCTAGAGGCAGCAGATATCTTACCCTGTATCAATACTCATTTCAAATGAGCAAATCCCAAGATGTTTGCGAAAAGTATTCAACGGATGAAATCGACTGAGGTTATTTTTTGTAAATCAATAAGTTTGTGTCAGCATGGAAGGGGATCATTACATTCTTTAAATATATCAATGTTTGTATGGCTGCCTGTACTTTACCGTTGTCATTTCAGTTTCTCTCGATTCCTAGCTATTTTTCAATGAAATTATTTCATTCCTTGAACATTTCAGAATGTTCTTAGCGGGGCTCCAACACAACAAGATGTCTTGTGGAACGTTGCCAAAGATCAGCACACCCCAAAGGTTACACACTTTTCAGGTCCTCAAGCACAAGAAGAGTACTCTAAGGAGATGGAGAAGCAAGTATATGGACCGACAAGTGAAATCCTAGCAAAATCTGTAAGTTCCCTGCCTTTATCAAATGTATTTTCTTGTTTGTTAGTACTTTTTCAAGGCGTATCATGTTGTTGCAAAATCTTGTGAAGAGCTATAATGTCTGCAACAGTCTTAGCATCTACATTATGCTTGACATTGGGATAATAATGTGTTGCTTTGTATCAATCGCAGTAGAGTATTTTTTATATAGTAGCTGGGCTATATTTATAATTTTTATTATTAAAAGTAGGATTTGAGAGGCTGACTTGTCTAAACTTGCATGTAGTCTGCTGAGAGCCAGAAGGGTGTAAACCCATATACTGTAACATATAGTTAACACCCTTCTGGCAATAAACAGACGATATCATGATGATCAAGTAACGGCAAGGCAATTCTTTTTCCTTCCTTCGAACATTATAGGATTTCCCAGAGGCGTCATTCAAGCCTAAAGTGCAGCTACCGTACTTCGTGCCACCAGGCCGCTGCCCCCGCAAGATAGAGATCGAGCGACGGAAGCGGGACTACCAGAGCCAGGACCTGGAACAGCTCCTGGAGCAGGTCGGGGCCGAGACCAGCGAGCTCATGCCCAAGCAGATCCAGGGCAACCTGGCTGTGAAGCTCAATGGGGCCGGGGGCTCTAATCCAGCCCCTTTCCCACCCTTCCTGCCCCTAGATATCTTCACCGATATGGAGTTTGACTGTCGAACCCCAGAGGAGTGGCTGCATCTAGGACAGGAGAACGGCTGCAGGAAACCAATACCAGGGAGAGCCCTCCTTCCTGCCTGGGACTCGCCAGAGGAATGTAAGTCAATCCAGTGTATTTTTCTTTTTCTTTTTTATGTTTTTTGTTAGCTATGTTCTAGATAATAATGCACAAACTTGCCTTGGAACTGCCATTGCCTGAAGCAAGATATTCTGTGTTGAAAAACAATGAAATTAAATGGATACTTGTTATTGCGTTTTTTTGCCAGTGTTCACATAATTCTTTAAAAAATGTACTGCAACTCTGTAATCCAATGCAATTCTACAGATTAATGTTTGAGACAGAGGGATCCTCACAGAAATAATGAGATAAAGTTCTTGTGGTATGAGTGAGGCTCATAACAGTTGTGAAAGATGACTATTATACCTTCTTTCATTTCAGTTCCACTCAATAACATTTTAATAAAGTTGGTACTGTACACCAAACAAAAACTCTTCGAGCTTAATTAAGAAATATGTTAATTCAGTACCAAAATGGTTTGGAGGCTTCACAAATGTAATGTTATATGAATTAATACTCTCAAATTCTGTCAGGATTTTATATGGAGAGTTATATCAAGGTAGCAGTACTGAAGGAGATATTAAAATACAAAATTTCAATGCTTTTGTCATTGCAGTGGACCCCAAAGATCCCAGCATTGAGTATGAATGGTTTGATGTGGGTATGCTGACCTTTGACCCTGAGACTGAACACTACCTGGTCCAGAAGACTGATCTCAACGGCCGTATCCTGGATAAAGCCGGCAAAGTGGTCGTTGATGGCGGCAACAATGGCAAAGGTTGGTCAGAAAAAAATTAAATCACTATTTGTTAACAAAATGGGCACGAGGTCACTTTGCAACTGATTTGGCTTTTTATGATACTTCAAAATGATGAGACCCAATTTATTGCAAAGAATACATTGAGAAAAAAACAATCGGTAGTGGATTTCATGTGTTCTTCAAAGCATGAAGAGTATTTGTCCTGTAGTTTTCTAACTGCCTTTGGTATTTTCTATGTACTATCAAATCCATAAATGATGTATCTTTGTTCCTGTATTCTAGGGCAGTGCTAGGAAGTCACTGTATGTATCCCTCTTGTGTGCATATTGTATTTTTACGATGTAGAAGATAAATGACATGAGTTCTAAATAACAAGAAGGAGAAAAAGTTCAATTTCATAAACTAATATTCAAATTTGTCTTTGCAGTAATGTAACATCTCTATAATTATATAAAGAATTGAATATCTTTCAATTATTTGAAAGAGGTGTATAGTTTTTTGTGTGAGATGGCCAATTTGTTATGTTTATTTTGAAAGTTTGTTATACTTGGATCGAAAATAAAATGTTGAAAAAATAATTAAAAATGGCTTCTTATCTTAATAGTCTATAATTTTTAATTTTTCTATGATCGGTTTTCTTCCATTGATGCCAGTCCTATCTCCTGGTCAGTATTGGGTCCCAAGAATCCGCCTGATGTTTGCTGCTGAGGACCCAACAAGCTTTGCCATGGCAGTGGGCAAGGCATTTCATGTCAGACAACATACAGAAGCACTGCTCAGGTAAAGTGCTATCTATCGTGTCATCTGTACGGGCCTTGTGGTCGGATCTTTCGAACCCTTCAATGGGGATTAAAAGCTCATGGGCTCAAGCCTTGGCAGAGCACTATTGTCCTTTGTTATAGCATTGATCTGCAGATTCTGTTATTTTGATAATGCGCCTTAAATGTACGATGCTCTCCTCATCAGCTGACGGTATAAAAACATAAGTAATCATCAAGCATTAAAAAAACTTTCATTATCAAGGTAAGGAAACACATCATTTCTAATTGGAGATTTTATGACAATTAGCCCTCTTGTTTTTTCTTTCATGTTCATCACATCATTTTTGTCCACTTTGCATTTCCTAATTGTCTCAGGCTTTTGTCTTTTTGCCAGAAAATAAGAATATCTTGGTAATTCCATTTTTTGTATTGCTAATCTCATGAAATTTCTGTGGAATAATGTATAATAGATCTTATAACTATATACCTTTAAACTTCAATATAATGATTATTTCAGGTACAACCTCTATGTTGACTGCATGCCCATGGAAGGTGTAGGTGAGCTGGACCCTGAGAGTCTCAGACGTATGGTAGAGTGGGCCACAGGTGCCCCATCACTTGTAAGGTCAGTATAAAGACAAGTTTCAATGAGGAGAGGAAGGGAAGGAAAAGTATAGTTTAGCACTGCACAGTTTATCCCTATTAATAAAATACTCGCACCCTGTTATTGCCCGCACCATCAAATAAACGGAAGCTGCACAGTACATGATACCCACTGAAGAGGAACAGAAACAGCGCCATCTAATAATCAATGATGAACAACTCAAAAAACAATATTGTCAGGCATAAATAATCTTTGTAGATTGATCAGCCTTAAAAACCAAGAACAACAACAACGATTGGCTTTTTGATAGTTTATGTTCTTCTTTAATGCTATAGAATTGCCAAATTGTCACAAATAAAGATGCTTTCAAACATTTATTTATTTATGATGCAAAATCAATGAAGAAAAAAGAAAAAAGTCATGATCAAAAAGGCCATTGTCAATCATTTCTGAGAACTGGGAGCCTAGATTTTTATTTCACATAGACTCTACATTGTTTATTATTATAATAATTCACACTTTTTTCACTTGTCAAATCAGTCTTGATATATTTCTTCATTATTTATTTTTAAAAGTTTTTTTGTTTATCACTTCATGTATTCATAGATTTATTACTTATTTAGGTACTTATAGATCTGGTTAGTTTGTTTGTCGTTCATTTATTGATTTATATCGTTTTACCATTTTGTTGTGTGAACAGCCTTGATGACTACGTACACACCCTGGAGAAAGAGGTCAACATTGAGTTCTGCAGAACGATGAATAGGATCACCTTCGATAGGATCGTCTCCAAAAGTCCAGACACATATGCTTTCGTCACATTACCTGAACTTGTTACTCCAGAAATTCCGGAGACAGGTAAGAAACTAGATTCTATGACTCCTACTCAGGCAGGTGCGGATCCATGTGGCGATTTCTCAGGCCCGGCCCACCCCCCCAAGCCCCCCAAAATGGTAAAAAAAATTTGATGATAATGTAAATTTAACCTTTTTTAAAACAAAAAACAAAAGGGGACCTCTTGACCCCTCCCCCCCCCCCAAAAAAAGAAGAAAATTATATTTTCACCCCCTCAAAAAATTGTGGTTCTCCTCTCCATCACCTTCCTCCCCACCCCCCCCCCCCCCCGCTTATTCACCGGCTTGATGAATCGCTGCTAAATATTTTCTCACGAATTGGGAACAAAAAAAGTGCTCTTACCCCCCCCCCCCCCCCCCCTGCCTATTCACCGACCACCTAAGTCGGCGCTGAATTTTCCCTCAAAAACTGGACCCCCCCCCCCCCCCCCGCCTATTCACCGGCGCTAATTGCTCTATTGTCAATTTCTTAAAGAAGCCAAATTTCAATCTTCAACCCTGGACCTCACTCTTACCCTAACCTACTGCAAATCCCAGTTGCAGTCCTAACCCTAAATGCTATATCTTATAAATGCAGGGTCACCAGAAAGCCAAATTGCAAAATTTTATCAAATGTGTATTTTTCCATGAAAATAAGAATGTCTACGTGCCATAGGCAATCATTTCAGCTGAGAATTAAAAGAGGGAAAATTGGGGGTGAAAAAGGGATGGATAGAGTAAGTACATTTGGATTAAATATTAATGTATTTATTTACCATGCATTGCATTGGTAACATATGTTAATCTTCCTGCTAGTGTTATTTGATTTGATTCTCATTTACTTTGTTTACTTGGATATAGCTCAACTTATAGACTATTTTTGGATATCTTCAACTAAATGTTGGGTTTTAAAGCATCCCAGGGTAAATAAATACCCCCCAAAAAATCTATTGGATGAAAGTGGGAATCATTAATTGAGCAACAAAATTGAAAAAAAGTATGTGTTCTTTAGAAGTCACTCTCCATAAAAGAGAAGTATATGGGTAACGTCTTTTGGAGGGTGACATCAAAGGTTGGTCCCCAGACGTGAATATTCATATTTGATTGATACACGTCTGTAAAAACCCAATGACACACACACACACACACCTGGTACTAAGGAAATTGAGTGTACAATCATGGTTGTTAGGCTTAAGCCAGTCTAATACTAAGTTTGTAAAGCACCTAGAAACACTACCATTTGATTCTTCATAATCATAATTCAGGTATGTGCCCTGATGTCCCGTCCTACCCGTTCGATGAGCAGTACGACAACTTTGCCTTCAACTCGTTGCTCACCCGGGAGGAGGCTATCTTTGCCGTCAACAAGGTGCGAGCGGAATGCAACAAGGTGTCGGCCATGTCTCTCTTCCACGTCCCAATGACCAAGTACATGAGATTGGAGGAGTTTGAGCAGACCCAGAGTCAACAGAGCTCTCAGGTTAGTCAAGCATTCTCTTCTTTGCGTTTGATGTAATTTCAAAGTTTAATCAAAAGTGTACAGGTGATGAAGATCTTTTACAGGCTTTAAAGCACCACTGTACTACTTGTAGCTACTTGCTCCCTCTGTATAGAAAAAAATGTCTAATTGGTGACCTCTGGTCCCCCAAGATCCTCTTTTTCTTATGTTAAGTGAGAGCTGAGTTGATGAGATAGCCATCTGTCAGTGACCCAGCTCTGTGGTCTAATCCCTCCTGGCCAAACTAGTACATACTGCCTTTAAATGGAAATTGGTCCAAACGCCTTAGGCGTAAGAAAGAGAGTAATGTGTCGGAACAACAACGGAAATGAAATCTGACTAATGGGTTTTATCAACTACGGATCACTGGCGGGCCATCAAATGATATTGACTATGGCAGGCCAAAGGCCATTTGTGATTTAATTTGTAACAAAACCAAAAGATTTGGTAATATAATAATTCCTCAAATCTCCATTTGTATTGATCTGATTTAAAAAAAAAGAATGCAATTGTTTGATATTTTCTGAACAATACCAGGGCCCTGTTTTGTAAAACTTGTTATCAATAAAAAAAAGCTGATTTTCTATGACAAATTTGCTCTCAGCCAATCAAATTCCATGGTTTCAGTAGCTTATAACAGTTATTTATAATAATAATAATAATAGCTCACATTTATAATGCGCCTAATACTACGTTTCTAGGCGCGGAACATATAACTTGTTGATGATGACAAGTTTGATTAAACAGGGCCCTGAATTGTAAGTATTGGCATCATAGTCTCTAGGAACACAGTTTTGATAACCGCCATCACCAGAACATGAATATGGAGAAGTGTCGTTGTCGAGTGGTTTAAGCACTTGACTTGTAATTTGAAGGTCGTGGTTCAATCCCGTACACGGCACTAATATCCTTTGGCAAGGCATTAATCTTCATTTGCCACACTCGACCCAGGTGAGGTAAACTGGTACCTGTCAGGAATTAATTCCTTGAAATGCTGGAGCTCCGTAATGGCAGCTAGGCTAAAGCTGGGGTAATAATAAATGTGCCTCGGAATAGAATTTCTAGATAGACGGCGCTATAGAAATGTCTATTATTATTATTATTATTAAACCATGAATCACGTCTTATGTCCAGGTGCAACTGTTCCTGAAGGACACCTGGATCACCACACTGCGTGCTGCCATCAGGACCAGTCTACGTGATGTGGGGAAAGGATGGTTCAACCTTCATGAGTCCAACTGGGAGGTCTACCAACGATCCAAACTCAAGAAGTTCATGGAGATGGTCAAGTTCTGCATGCAGGTGAGAGATGCTCTCCTTTCCAGACTTCCTGACAATGTCTTTGAATCTCTGGCTGTGCATTTTTATTGTCTGTATAAGGTCTCTGTTTTTCTCTTTCTCTCACTTTGTCTTGGTGTGTCTTTATCCCTTTTGTCTTCTGTGTGTGTATCTGTATCTGTCAGTCTCTGTCTCTCTCTTTGTTCATGTCTTCACTGTCTTTCTGTAGCTCATTGTCTTTCTGTGTGTACATCTTTATTTGTCTGTCTGTCTCTCTTTGTTTCTGTGTGCATTTGTGTTTTGCTGTCTCTTTTATTTCTTTGATCATCTGTGTCTTTATTACTTTTTTCTCAATCATGTGATTAGTTTCTTCTTTTTTTTTTTGGGGGGGGGGGGGGGTCCACGATACTCACTCCATCCCTGAATCCTACAATGATGCAAGTATCCAAATTGACTTTTCTAGCCATATGTGTTTTTTACACATTCTCCTTAATGATTGTATAGTTCTAGATTATTCAATTCCAATGGATGCCCAGTTTTCTCATGTTTTTGTGGGCAAGAAATTGTATCGTATTGATTATGTCACATAATTCTGAATATATAAATGGTTTAAGGTAATAATCAAAGAACTTAGCGATGAATGTTTTGGCTTTCAACTGAAAATTTCAATCCTCCTTTTGCATGCAGGATTCTCTGAGGTACCTGGTTCAAGACTCTCTGGTGAACTTCACCCAGATGATCATCGATTCATCCTTCTCTGTCATGGAGCTACCTGAAGAGGAGATGACCTGGGGTGATGACCTCATCAACAGTCCATACAAGTTAGTTTATCCCAAAGATATTCAAGTGTGAACATGCTGCCATCTATAGAAGGCCATTGAGTGGCCAATGCTGGAAGTGTTCGCATAAAAGCTTAATCCAGTTACAGTTGTTCTGAATGACAACATTGTATTTCTTAAAGATGCATTTACATTTTGTTTCATATATGGGGTTGAGACCGTATCATTAGTCAATTCAAAACAATTTTATCCAAGAGATTTGCATGTGTGAACTTGCTGCCATCTACTTAGCCAATTACATGTTGATACAGAAAGTAATTTGTTTTTATTTTTAATTCAAAGGGAAGTTTATAATCTCATAGTGCATTTTTCCACAGACGTTGTAGCTATAATGCTTGTGGGTAAGACAAATATATTGCTAAATGGTTACTATAATCACCAATCACGGCCCCATCCATTTATGAAATTTGTCGCTGTCTTGCAGCTACATGTATTTAATTGTTTGAACTTTTTTTCCGGATATGTAGGTAAATGATTTATTCCTAATTATTGTATTGTATGACACTTCTTTTCAGGCCTAAGAGAAATAGCTTGTTCCTAGTTGACCTGATTCTGGACAAAGAGGGCAGTCATTTCAGTACGAACCTGACCAACTTTGAGCCGTCTATGGCTGGACTGTTTGACAAAGGCATAGGAGCCACCCAGAACGTTCCCCAGCTTGAAAAGGTAATACCATTGTCCTGAGGAATTTAGCTTAAACTTACACAAATAAACATTTATTATGCGGCAGGAAGTTACTCAACAATTTGATGTAGTCTTCAATTTATTAAAAAGTGTTAGAAAATAAGTGACTGACTTTTCTTTTAGAAATCTCTTACTCTAACAATTTTCTTCTGAGCCTTGATGGTTGATTGATTGATTTATTGCTGCCTACATGTACTTTAAAGGTACACACTGTATAGACCAGTTCTGGTCATGCGATTGCATCGTGAAAGAAACGTGGAATCGATCAGAAAAGGTTAATCATCTAGCATATCAGTATTGGTGTGTACTGCAAGGTTCTGGAATCATCAAAATGATAAGAAATTTGGCCCAGTCTTGGTAAAGTTACAAGCACTGTACACAGAAAGATGTATATCGGACTAAGCGATGTCTATCCCGGCCGGATCGATATGATACGGCAAAATTTGTATCATCACGTATTAGTCAAAACATATTCTTTCACATGATTGGTAATAAGAGCTTCCATTTCGTTTTTTGAGAGGGGGGGCGTTTCTAAAACTGGTCTTTACCTATAATGTGACATGAAGTTCCTTTCATGCTACATCTTTGCAATTCTCTCTCCACCTCCATTCCTAGTATGTCCTAGAGGACATCTCCTGGGCGGACACTCCTCTGTTGGAGTCCGTTGGTGAGCATGAGCCACGTGTAGAGGAGCTGAGAGACACTATCCGAGCTGCCATCCGCAAGTCCCTCTTTCCCCTCAGGGCATACGCTAGAGCGTATGAGCAGTTCCTGGAGGTCAACAACCTGGAACTCAGTGACTACATGAAGTAAGTCTTGCAGGGCTTCTTTGGTGATGGATAATGACAAATGTATATTTGTTTATTCTTGTTTTGATTGTCTGCTATTAAAAATTAATTTAAAAAAAATCAAGTATATGAGGCTCTCTTCATTACTATTGACCACCAACGCATGTTTTACACTATTTTCATCTCCATCTATATATCTTTGGAGTTAGAAGCTTTAAAAAATCTTGCTTAGAGATGTAAGAAATAAATATCACATATTATGCCAAAACATCTAAACCTGGACAACCAGCATAGCATATTACCTCCCAGAAGAATACACCTGAATTTTGCCCTCACAACAACTACCCTCAAACAACTACCCTAAATTTGATAAATAAGTCTGTGTTAGAAAAGAAACAGGGTTCGGTGGTAGTTTCCTGTTGGTAGTTTTCAAGTGTAGATAGTTGTCTTAGGAAGATTGATAATTGTCTGGGGAGATGTAGTTGCATGGAGAAAGGCCATAAGGGGAATAACACATCCAATCCCACAGCATTGGGAAATACTTACATTAAACGATGATGGTTGAATTAAATAATCTGTCTTCTTTTTAAACAGGGAGTAAAATAAAACATCCAATCCCACAGCATTGGGAAATACTGACACTATCATAATGATGGTGGAGTTAAAAATTCTGTCCTCTTGTTAAACAGGGAGTACGATGCTACGGAACACTCTGCTTCCGAGGTCAAGAAGGAGATTGAGATGCACCTGGATCGCAAGGAGTTCCTGGAGAACACCATCCCTTCCAACATCATGATTGGACCCTTCTTCATCAGCACGGAGAACGTCAGACAGGCACTGTCCAAGAAGCGCAAGGCCATGGCTAACGCTCTACTGGAACTCCTGGCCCAGAAACTGCGTACCCAAGCTGAAGATGTAAGTTTTGTCATTCACATTGCCAGAAAATTTTTAGGGACTGAACAATAATAATTTTCAAAAATCTGGAAACTTAATATTTCTTGCAAGAGTTGCGGTAACTGAAAGCCTAGCCAGGAAGTTTTGCTTGGAAGGATGACAAATTATTTGTTCAGGAGTTGGGGTTCACTTGTTTTGGGGCTGAAAATGTGTTTTGTTATCAATTGCACAATATCAATTTAAGACAGCTTTGAATCGGTTTTCTGATGGTGGCTCATTTCTCCTTTTTGTATTTGTTATGATGCTATGAGGAGGGGTCCACAATTTACAAGCTCTGCTTTTCAGTGGACCTCTCCATTTCCTCAAAATATTAATGCAGTTAAAATAATAATTCAATTTTTGTATTCCTCAAATGTATAAATTACTGTCAGATTTGTTTATTACAAATATAACTATGTTTTGCATACATTTTATATTGTATTTGTTATTATGTATTGTATTTTGTTGGAAATTAAAGAATAAAAATTACAAACAAGTTGACAATGCTTTACTTGTGACAGGCATGTGAAGAATTCAAGTATATCTCCAGGAAGCTGTACGAGAAACCCAACTGCATTGAGGACCTGTCAGAGCAGAAGGAGTGGATGAAGTCAATCCCAGAGAAACTCAAGGAGCACCAGGAACTCATTGATAAGGCCATGACGGACTATGAGCTCATCGAAGAGTTCTACTACAGTCTCACCACCGATGACTTCAATCTCAAGTAAGTAGGGGGATGTCTTCTCCTGGGGGGTGTTTCACAAAGATCCTAAGTTGAACTTATCTCTAAGTTGGACTTAACAATTATGGAAAGCCGTTAGCACCGTTGAAAATATTTTGTACCTTGTCCAATAATCAGGGGAGATTTCATGTTCTTGATGTGGAATTTATGAAAAGTCTAAAATACTTGAACATTTGCTTTTGAATATATTTTATTTTAAGGCTTCGAATGGCTCTCCATAATTCTTAAGTCCAACTTAAAGTTAAGGTCGACTTAGAGTCTTTGTGAAACACCCCCCTGTATATTTTCAGTCAAGTTAGTCGTACATTTGACAGTGGGAGCTTGTTCAAGAGACTCCATTACACCAATTCTAAACAAATTCCATTGGTTTCCTGTATACAAAAAAAACTATGTGGTATTCACAATACTTGTTACTTGAAATGGATTGAAGCAATGTTCTTTAGGGGAAAATAGGGAATTGGAGGAAGTTAGAGAAAGAGAAAAATAAAGGGAGATAGAGAGAGAGAGAGAGAGAGAGAGAGAGACAGACAGACAGAGAGAAAGAAAAAGAAACAGATCTGTAGAGCAAGAATTGTAGATGATTACAGCCAAGAGATCATCCTTGTTTTGAATGGTGGAGACTAATAATGATGTAAGATGATTGCATGGGATAGAAAAAGAGGGAATGAGAGATAAATTAGAATGGTATATAAGAGACAGTGATAGGTGGTGTCAAATAATAATAATAAGACAAGATGAAACAAACACTATAAGTTATGTCCATCCTGTTTATGCTTTGTAGCTGAAGTCACTTCCTTCGTTTTAGTTATTATTGAACTACTGTAACAGTATGTCAATGTACATTTTATAACCTTTCTTCATGTTTTCTTGTATTTGACTGTAATTATTTGGCAATATTAGTCTCGGACTTTTGCCTTGCTTTTAAAAAAAAACAATAAAACCAACATTGAATTAAATTGAATTGAATAGATGGAATGCCAGAGGCTGGCCTCATAAGATTGCTGAACAGATGGATAATACGTATGTCCAGCTGGATGAGGACCAGGAACGGTTTGAGAAGATCCAGGTCACAGACCAAAACACATTCCAGGATCGTCTTGATGGTCTCCAGGTACGTGGCTTCTACTCATCACTTCGTCGCCCGGCTGGCAGAAGGTCATTAGCGCGCGAGCGACTTGAAAACTACTTTTCGAATTAAGTTTTATACTGCTTTCTGTCCCGAAAATTGGTTTAAAACTTGAAAGACTAATAGAAATGTTATAGTAGAACTCGGCCACAAATTTTTGTCGGAAATAAGTCAGTTTTATAAAAGTTTGAGGCGATTTAGTGCTAACGCCCTTCTGCTTAGCGCTTCATTTTTTACCTGAAATTTGAGCTAACGCCCTTCTGCCAGCCAGGAGACGTCTTGTTCAAACACTCTTGATCTTACCATGTTGAGAGGCAGGTGAAATAGACCACTTTCGTAATGTAATCAAATTTAATGCGCAATCTTTGTTAAGTGCCTAGTTAAAAATTTGTTCATTCGCCTGTTACGAATAATTGTAATTCAAAAGTCAGAATGCAAATTGCATTACATTAATAATTGCTATGTAGGACAAACATTATGGCCCAAATTCACAAAGGGGTTTGAAGACAAACCTAGGTTTATGTGCGTCATATGACACTTTTTGATGCGTTTCAGACCAAGGTTTGCATTTAATTTCCAAGGCTGAGATCTCCTTCAATTTTATATCTGTTGATTAATAAACGATTGGAATCTGTTCAAAGAATAATTTTCTGAGATCGTCTCTCTCTTGATCCCTAGATGGTCGTGGCTGGATTCGCAGCCCACACTGACATCGGCAAGGCCCATGAGGTGGCCAATGAGGTGCGTCGGGTGAACAAGCAGCTCAAGGAATGCCAACAACTTGCTGCAATGTACAACAACAGAGAACGTCTGTTTGAGATGCCCGTCACCAATGTAAGTCAGTTGACTTAGTGCAAGATAATAATATGGATATTTATATAGCGCCGGTATCCGTCAGGCTCTGATGCTCATGGTGCTTTACACATATGAACTTGAAAGCCAGTGTAGAGTTGGACTCTGCCTTTTTAGAATTTAAATTTGTATTATGATCCTTGCAATTGCTTTTTTTTTCCAGGGGTATCAAAACATCAATTCTAAGTAGGGATATGAGAGGGTCATTTCTCTCCAGAACTTGACACGAAAGGAATATATCCATTTCAGTTGTTTTCATGTGGGAATTCAACGGATTCGTTCTCATATGTATGTATCTATAAGTATTGATAGGCCTACTCATTATATGTCCTCACTATATTTAATGCTTGTAGCCTCCACTCATTCCTGTATGACAACAGATTCTTGTTTCATATCTTTGTTTGTTTATCTGATTTGAATCAATTCAGGAATGTGCCTTAGCTTGTTGGATGTTTTCCCCCTAGGTCTTTGCATTAAAAAAGACATTGCTATAACCAAGATATACCAGATAATTCTATATAATATTCACATTATGAATATGAGTTGTGTTGTGGAGCGCCAGAGCGCTATACGAGAACTCATTATTATGCCTTAGCTCGTTGGATGTTTTCAGCCTTTTTGCATTGAAAAAGACATTGCTATAATAAAGATATACCAATAATTTTATATAATTTTCACATTATGAATATGAGTTGTGTTGTGGAGCTCCAGAGCGCTATACGAGAACTCATTATTATTATTATTATTATTATTATTATCACCATCATCATGATCAATGTTATTATCATTATTATTATTATCATTATATGATGTAATGACTATATCACAAGAGATATTTGACACAGTCATTGTCTTGACTTTCATTGTTTGATTCATGTTCTGCAATTTTGTGTACTAGCTGTTCTATTTAATCTTCATTATTTACAAAGTTCAATTAATCTTCATCACTTCCCTTCAGTATGACAAGCTGAACAGGCTTGTTCGTGACTTTGACCCCTTCAAAAACCTCTGGATCACCATCTCCGACTGGCTCAAGTGGCACGAGAGCTGGATGACCGATCCTCTGACCACCATCGACTCCGAGCAGTGTGACAAGCAGGTCAATGATTCCTTCATGACCATCCACAAGTGTGTCAAGATCTTCAAAGACATTCCAGGTAGGTGTCTGTGGAGGATAGTTGGGTTGAGGAGTAAGACTCTCTCATAATGATGACTTAGTTTCAGGCAGTTTTCATGTCTCCTTTTTCTTTTACTGAAAAAAAGAAAGATGCTCCCAAAGGTAGATGATAAAACAAATAAATGAAGTATTTTCAAACGTGTATTGATAACAGCATTATCTCACACAACTTCAATAAATTCTTGAAAAGTAATTTTTACCTAATTAGCAGTAATTTGCAAAACTCCAGACTTCTTGTCTGGCTGTGCAATAACATTACATATTTTGTTTAAATATGGATATTCATGAATTTAATAACAATGCATGTATGAGCTATCAAGATCAATGGTTCTCTTATTGGATGCCAACATTGAATTTATAATGACCCTTCCTCCAGTGCATACATATACATATCTGCTTCTCGATACCATCTTCGTCAGAAAGTGGAACTTTATGATCATTGACTTTGATCTGTCCATTTCTATCTCCTTTCCGTTGCAGGTGTGCAGATGGTAGCACAGAAGATCAAGGGATGGATCGAAGACTTCAAGCCCTTCATTCCTCTCATCCAAGGCCTACGTAACCCTGGAATGAGGAGCCGTCATTGGGACATCCTGTCCAAAGAGCTGGGCTTCACCCTGGTCCCGAAGGCCTCTCTCACCTTCAGCAAGTGCTTGGAGATGAACCTTGAGGCTCACATTGATAAGATCGCCAAGGTGGCAGAGATTGCTGGCAAGGAATACTCCATTGAACAGGTAGATTAATTACTTCAAGAATAATATTCAACTTGTACTCTATACTTTTCTGTGCCCCTCACTTTCTTTCTCTCACTTTCTATTTATCACTCCTTGATCCTCTGTCACTCTTCATCTCTTTGTTTTTCTGTCATTATGTCTCTTGCAAGTTGACCTCTTGTTAGTCTATATCCCCGCTCTCCTTATCTATGTCTGTCAATTTGTATGTATATGTCACTGTCTGTCTCTCTGCCTTCCTCATTTTCCCTTCATCTCTATATCTATCATTCATATTTAGTCGTATCCTTTGGTTATTTCCTATTACCCTCTGTGTCTGAAAATACTGAAAAATTTATTTTCTCAACATCGGGCAAAGCTTGATAAATCATATGGTACAGCAGTTATCAATAATGTTAACAACTTTACCACGCAACTTGGAATGTTGCCCCCCAAAAAATATAGCAGCAAAGAATTAAATTGTGTTCAATGCTCATTTTAGCATTCAGTGTTTGAATCCCCCTATATCACTCCATCAGAGCTGCCAACCAGTAAGATTTAATCATATTTTGTTCGATTTTTAGAAGTAAATGCGACAGTATGATTTTCTTCAATAAAATATGATTTTCAAAAAAAATTAAAGAAAATGGCAAAATGCCCATTCTGTCCTGTAAAGTATCCTACAAGCATCTCACATCGGCAATTTGGGGATGTTCATTGGTTCATCGAACACACCAGTCATGACGACATCATGCATATTCAACCAATGATCCAAACAGACATTGAGTGATTTCAAGTTTGGTGTTAGTGTTAGTGTTAGTGTTTAGAGCAGTCAAGAGCTCTGAAATCGAGCGGAGAATTTGCTGATGAAATTAAGAGCCCGATACCGATATCAAAATCGATAGCTTAACACCAGCCGTGACGTCACCACATACTTGATTTTACGACGATGATTTAAAAATAGTACATCAAAACTAAGGATATCATGAAAAGTACAGAATAAATTTACACCTATTTCTCTGGTCTTAGAAAATAACTAATTTTACACGAAAGAATATATGAATTACGTGTTTCACATATTTTTATTTGATCGTCAGACAATAAATTGGCGTCGTTCGTGCGTTGACTGTGTGCGGGTACAACACTAACACCGAACTGGAAATCAACATTTGCTTAATCCCTAGGGGCTAGTGTTAGTGAATAGGACATTTGGACGTAAAATATTAACACCAGCCACAAAGGTCGGTTCAGCAGACGACAATTTTGCAAAATTGATAACACTAGCTACCGGAAGTTGACGATATTCAGAGGTCAAAGCCTTAACACCAGCTGATTTCCATTTCGGTGTTTAGACTGGTGTTAGTGTTTATTAAACACTAACACCAGCCTTAAACACCCAACTTGAAATCACTCATTATATCTGCATAAGAAACATATTTAATATATATATACAGTAACGGTAGTATATTATGTTGCACAAGCTCCCTCTATAGCATAACAAAACTACTGCTCCTTTTATACACACGTCTGCGCCACCCCCCCCCCCCCCCCCCCCCCCCCCCCCCCCCCCCCCCCCCCCCCCCCGCTATTAGATTTAATAACATTACTTTTTAGGGGTGTTTGTCAGGTAATTTGATTTATGGCTCTAGTGAGGAAAACAAGTTTATTATTGACAAAAAAAAATATCATTAACATCCAATAATTGATGTCCACTGCCTAATAATGACCAAAAATTAAAATTAAAATAAAAAAAATAAGCATTGCATAGTTATCTTTGTGTATAGCGATTTCAGTTCACAACGAATTCAGATGCTTCTTCCAGTATGTAGGAACTGTAAGAGGCATTGATCTGTGTTTTTTGTTTTAAATACAATTTTTGTCAGTAAAATACAACTTTTGGTATTAAAGAATAGAGTTTTCGAACTCCAGAGGTTGGCAGGTCTGCTCCATTGTTGGCTAACTAGGCTCCAGATAAGACTTTCTTTCCTTTTTTCTCACCATTAATAACTTCAATTCAAAAGCCCATTTTTAACTGGACTCTGATATTTTTGTGAAATTATAGGCTCTGGATAAGATGGAAGGCGAATGGAAGCCGGTGGTGTTTGAGATCATGCCATACAAGGACACAGGAACGTTCATCATGAAGGGATCCGATGAATGCACCCAGCTGCTGGATGATCATATCGTCATGACCCAGAGCATGTCCTTCTCACCCTTCAAGAAACCCTTTGAAGAGAGGATCAATACATGGGAAGGAAAACTCAGGATGACACAGGTGAGTGTGTACCTCAATTCTCATTTATTTCATTCTCGATTAAAAATTACATTCATACAAAATATAAAAAATAATTCATAAACAAATTTAGAAAATGAAATGGGGAACTACATAAATACTGCCCTTTAGGCCTTGTACAAGTGTTGTTCCCAAAGCATTCATAGCATAATGTAAAGCAAAAATAAACAACAACAACACAAATTAATAATAAAAAAATAAAAAAACATAAAACACAAATATACACAAAAGATAAATAAGTATACACATTTGATATAAAGAAACTGCTTCAACTTTTTAAAAAGGAATTAACAGACTTGCATTCATAAACATCTTTGGGGATGGAGTTCCAAATCACAGGGAAATTATGTCGTACTGATTTCATTACCTTATTTGTTTTTACTGGCCATTAAGTGAAAAGTATCCTTAAAACAGGTAATGTGATTATTTATCTGGTAATTAAGAGTGTACGCTGCATGAAGACCTTCTGTAGATGTTTGTTTTTTATTATTGTCTAGATTGTTAGATATGCATCAATCAGGGATTGGCATTCTTGTTAGGGACCACCTATATTCAACTTTGAAAGAGTTTCAGTCTGGAATTTTGAACCAGGGTATTGGGTTTTAGGAGACATGCATGTCCAAACTACGTACTGCCTACTCACTTAGCTATAGACCTAGGTCCCTAAGCTTAAGAACTAGGTCCCTTAGGCATAAACTTGTTGTATAACAGGCATGATCAGGTATTCTAAGATCGTAAGGCCAATGCTTCCTGAGGTTTCAATTTTAATGAAAACGTGTTTTCTGTGTAACCATAAGTAAGTACAAAATCTTGTAGGGGAGTAGTTTCCCCACAGTTGTTAGAACACCTGATCTAATTTTTTTCAAACTTGAAATTAGTTCATGTAGTAAGAAATCTATTTTCAGTGCTAAGTAGTCTACATGTAACACTCTATAAATTAACTAATGCACATTGTGAGGCAACATTGTAACCCTTGCTGTCTCTTCTACATACACAATCAGCAATATATGGGGAATCTTTCACAGACTGCCCACTTACTGTCTGCAGCCAATGATAGCACTGTTTCATTCATTTCCTACTATTCCTCTCTATTCCAGGATGTTTTGGATGAATGGCTTCTCTGCCAGCGCTCCTGGCTTTACCTGGAGCCCATCTTCAGCTCGGATGATATCAACAGACAGCTTCCTGTGGAGGGCAAGCGATACCAGACCATGGATCGTATGTGGAGGCGTATCATGAAGAACGCAAAAGAAAATCCTCAGGTTGGTCTTTGAACCTAACTACTGTATATATACATATATTGTAAAACTTTGGGTAAAGATTTCACTATTTGATCGTTTTTTTTTGCTTTATAATTTCTAGTCTCGTCTCTTGATTTGATACATGTATTTCTTGCTGCCCATTAGGTCATCTCCCTGTGTCCTGATGCCAGGCTCCTGGACAACCTGAAGGAGTGCAACAAGCTCCTTGACCAGGTCCAGAAGGGTCTCAGTGAGTACCTGGAGACCAAGAGGGCCTCCTTTCCCAGGTTCTACTTCCTGTCCGATGATGAGCTGCTTGAGATCCTCTCCCAGACCAAAGATCCCACGGCTGTCCAGCCCCATCTCAGGAAATGCTTTGAGAACATCGCCAGGGTGAGTCCTAGCTGTTTTTGGTTAACTGCGTTAATTGCTGGGCCGTCATTGACCATAACCCAAACCAGGCCCTATGTCTTCTTAAAACAACTTTCGGTTTCAATGTTCTATCCATAATTCAGGCTGATATACTACTATGGAAACAATTGCAATATTGAGATTAAGATATTTTTTTTTTTTTTGGGGGGGGGTTGCTGATCTGTTTTAATTGAAAGAAGTGCTAATTACTATCACTGTAATACTCAAATTTTGAAAGGATTAAGTCTTGCAAACTCAATATTTTGATTTATTTCTATTTTAGTGATCACCCAGTTAACTCCACATATCACTGTGGTTTTTTTAATACAAAATTAGCAAAGTAAAAATACTTTGGAAGAGTATTTGAAAAGGTAAAACATTGTCATGTTGATGTCATTCTTGTCACTTGCTCCTTGCAGCTGCGGTTTGAAGATGATCTTAAGATTACCCAGATGTTCTCCAGTGACGGTGAGATGGTGCCTTTCGAACAGACCCTCTATCCAAAGGGTAACGTGGAGGATTGGCTCCTGGAGGTGGAAAGGGTCATGAGAGAGAGTCTCAGAGAGATCTTGGGCAAATCGCTGGAGCAGTATCCAACGGTAAGTCATTGATCGGGTTGAGGAGGATGAGGGGTGGGGGAGAGGGGAGGGGAGAATAGGAGGAGGAGAAGGATTGGAGCTAGGGGGCGAGGGGTGGTATAACATTGAGGATTAGCTCCTGGAGGTGTGGAAAGGGTCATGAGAGAGAGAGTCTCAGAGAGATCTTGGACAAATCGCTGGAGAAGTATCCAACGGTAAGTCATTGCTGGGATGATAGTCCATGGGAGGTTAAGGTGGGGTCGGAAAGGATGAGGGGTGGGGGGGGGGGGCAGGAGAGGATAGGAGGAGAGGAAGGGTTGGAGGGGGTGAGGGGTGGTATCACATTAAGGATTAGCTCCTGGAGGTGTGGAAAGGTTCAGGAGAAAGAATCTCCAAGAAATTCTGGGCAACTCTCTAGAGCAGTACCCTGAGGTACATGTCACTGCTTGTAATCATTCTAGGGAGATTAAGAGAGTGGGAGACTGAGGAGAAGAAGCTGGGGTGGAAGGGGTGAGTAATGAGTTAGACCAGGGACCTGTTTCACAATGCCTTTTTTCAATGATAAATGACAAAAATCAGTGACAAATCTGTTGATAACCAATCAGAAGCAAGGATTTCAGTAGCTTATAACACAAATTGTCATTTGTCACTGATGACAGGTTTTATGAAATGGCCCCTAGGAGAGGGAGAGAGTAAGGGAGGAGGGGAAGTCTTTGGAGGAGTATCCAGCGGTAGGTCCCTGATGCTGTAGCCTGGGGAGGGGAGGAGGTGCTGGGCTCTCTGAGATGGAAAGGGTCATATATGGGGGAATTCTCTCTAAGATCCTGTAATGTAACTGCTATTGATGGCCCTGCATGGAGGCAAAGGGATATCGGGACGTTGGTGGCTGCATGCATTCGGTATGCATGATTACTCTTCGAACTGGTCAGTCATGTGTTTCATTTTAGCGCATATCACTTGATATAGTCACATGTATATGTCATTGATTTATCTTACGATACTTGCATTAGCAATGTGATATGTACAAGTAATAATAAAGAATACACAATGATTGTAACAGCAGGATCCCAAGTGAAACTTGTAAATGTAACAAGACATGGCATAGCAGTAAATATGCCTCCATCCACAACCACCCCCCCCCCCAAAAAAAAGTGCTACCATGTCCTTGGTTCTACTTCTTCCAATATTTTTTTGTCAACACATATTTCCTTCATGAACTAGGTGGAGAGGACAGATTGGGTGTTGAACTGGCCTGGTCAGGTGGTCATCGCTGGCTGTCAGACGTTCTGGACGACCATGGTAGAAGAGGCGCTAGAGAACAAAGTCTTGCCCGACCTCTCAGAAAAACTGTACCAACAGGTTAGTTACACTCTGGCTTTGCAGACAAACTGAAAAAAATAATAATAATATGCCGTTCTTGTATAGCACATATCACATTATGATATAACGTCTCTATGCACTTCCAAGGGACGTTGAATATCATTAACCCAAGTTTAGCTCCTGCAACTGTAGCGCCCAGTGCATTCAAGGAATAAATTGTTTTGAGGAAAGTTCTAAATTAGAATTGTCTTTCAAATGCCGTTGGAAATGAACCTTTTCATTTTTTGGCCTGCAAATGGGACATAGTACCTTTAAGGAGCTACAATTGTACTACTACTTTGACAACATTCAAAAGTGCCAAAAATTAGCATTGTGAAGATTTCTACCTGAAAAAAAAATCTCCCTTTTTACCCCAATATCTTGCTTCATTCATAACTTGTTTGATTATCATGTGAAAGATGTTTAAAAATGATTATTAAATGAATTGCATTCAGAGGAAAGGAATTCTAATTGAGTTGAATTTCACCATTGACAGATTGCTGACCTTGTAGCCTTGGTTCGAGGTCCACTTCAGAAGATCCAAAGAGCGGTCTTGTCCGCTCTCATTGTTATAGAGGTTCACGCCAGGGACGTCATCGCCAAAATGGTGGAAGAAAAAGTCCAGAACAGCAACGACTTTGAATGGATCAGTCAACTCAGGTATTTTATTTCATGTCTTTTTTACTATGTGTGATTTAAAAAAAAATCAACTCTTTAATTTGTATGGATCAAAACTGTAGAATGGCAAATTGCTTGGTGTATATGCCTGTGCCAAAAGTCCATCATGGCAGTTAATGGTTTCATCGTTATACAACAAAGGCCAGTAAAGAGTTGAAGATAAGCTTGTGTTCTGGTAATGATAAGATTTAGGTTACACTTAACTATGGCAGGCCGTTCATGAAGGAGAAAATATTATCTAAAAATCATAATTGAGAGACCAATGGTAAGAGCAACCAGCTGCAAGAATGGCCTGCTATAGTTAATCCAACTTAATGTCGATCTTAGTCTTTGTGAAACACTCCCCTGTTCTCAGTGATTGCTATTGTAAATTAAATTGTTTTGCATGACAATAGGCCCAGAATATACAAAGCCGAATGTCACTACTGTAAGACAAAAAACTATCCATTCTCATCTTTTAGTCTGTTTAGTTTTCCTTAGTATGATGATCAGGAGATATCAAATTGTCTGTATCGAGGTGTATTTTTTACCATGATTATCATTTACCATTTTATCATGATTCTTCTTCTTCCAGGTACTACTGGGTGGACAATGGCCTGTTTGTACGAGCGGTGAATGCTGAGTTCTCCTACGGCTATGAGTATCTTGGTAACAGTGGACGTCTTGTCATCACGCCCCTGACCGATCGGTGCTACCTGACCCTGACCGGAGCTCTTCATCTCTACTTTGGTGGTGCTCCGGCCGGTCCAGCCGGTACCGGCAAGACTGAGACTACCAAGGTAGGTCTGGTCGTCAATTGAAGAATATTGTACATGAATATGTCACCGGACTGTGGATTACAAGTCCCGCCGCGGCACTATAATGTCCTTAGGCAAGACATTGATCTACATTTGCCACTCTCCACCCAGGTGTTAAATGGGTACCCGGTAGGATGCGAAAGCTCGTGCGCTTGTAAACATGACGCCTGGCTGGAATGCTCCTCAGGGAGTGGAGAACGTACATACATTGTGTGCGGGTAAGCCTGATTTCGATGACCGGGGTAATAATATATATATATCTGTGAGAGGGCCTTCGATCCTGAAATTAGCTATTATTATTATTATTTGAAATAATAGCCAATCATTCATGTTTTCATGGAAATTTTCCTATTTCATGACGTAATGAAGCTGAGATATTACGTCATAATCTATTGATTAAACTCCAGTAAGCTGTCATTGCTAACCTTCATTTTGTTTCTGTTCTCAGGATCTTGGTAAGGCCTTAGCCATCCAGACTGTGGTGTTCAACTGCTCTGACCAGCTGGACTTTATGGCCATGGGCAAGTTCCTCAAGGGATTGGCTAGCTCTGGTGCATGGGCCTGCTTTGATGAGTTCAACAGAATTGACATTGAGGTGTTGTCAGTGGTGGGTCAACAGATCGCCACTATACAGAAAGCTCAGCAACAGAGGGTAAGTGTAGAGGTCAAGGTCGTAGTTCAAAGGTTAGGTCAGATGGTGGATGGTTAGAGGTTATTTGTGGGTCAAATTGGTAGGTCTATTTTGTTGAATTCAACAGAATTGATATTAAAGTGATGTTTGTGGTGGGTAACACAGAAAGCTCAGCAACAGAGGATATAAGTGTAGAGAAATAAGGTCATCGTAGGTCAAAGGTCAGGTCAGATAATGGATGGTTAGAGGTATACTTGTGGGTCAAATTGGTAGCTTTGTTTTGATGCTTTCAACAGAATTTATATTAAAGTGTTGTCTGTGGTGGGTAATACAGAAAGCTCAGCAACAGAGGGTAAGTGTAGAGAAATAAGGTCAACGTAGGTCAAAGGTCAGGTCAGATGGTAGATGGTTAGAGGTATACTTGTGGGTCAAATTGGCAGGTCTGTTTTGATGAATTCAACAGAATTGAGATTAAAGTGTTGTCTGTGGTGAAAGAACAGTCACGTTAGTATGCACAGAAAAGTCTTATATTCATAGAGTTCATCAGATTATCAAATATGATTTCTTTTGTTTTATGGTATTCACATGTGCATTATTTACATGATGTGTAATGTCTCGTAAAATATTTCTCTTTTAATCTGATTGACTTTCTATCGCTTGAATATCAAATATAAGATTTATTTCACCTACATGTAAATCTGACTCTGTTTTGTTGCTGCGGCTGGCTTTATGTATAGTGAACCATTCGTTGCCATTAATTAAAAGATATTTCGTATCAGTCATTTTGTTCTTTCTTCACTTGACTACAGGTTGATCGCTTTGTATTTGAGGGAGCAGAGATTGCTCTGAAGGCATCGTGTGCTGTGTTTATCACCATGAACCCTGGCTATGCTGGTAGGACAGAACTCCCTGATAACCTCAAGGTAAGAGCTTAATTTCTTCAGTCCATATAAATTTATGTTTTCTGGGATTAAAGTGAATGCCATTTTTTCTTCCCACAATTCCACACGTTTAATAATATGAGAAAATTACAACAAATCAGAACAAATAGGGGAAAAAAGGAGAAGAAAATAGAATTATGCAATGGAAAAAAACATAAAGATGGAATTAAAAGGGTTGGTAGCAAAAGAAGCTTGAGGGTTCTGTCAATTAAGGCACCAACCCTGTGCTCATAACAGTTGCATTGATGGTGTAAAGAGGAATGATGGGACATTGATGTGTTATTATTATACGTGTATTTCGTTATTTAACCTATAATGTTGTTGTTGTCTCTTGCAGGCTTTGTTCCGCCCAGTGGCCATGATGGTGCCCGACTATGCTATGATTGCTGAGATCTCCCTATACTCGTTTGGTTTCAACGAGGCCAAGGTGCTCTCCAAGAAGATCACCAGTACCTTCAAACTCTCCTCAGAACAGCTCAGCTCACAGGTATACCATCCTACATTGTGAGAAATTGAATGCATTAATAGAAAGAAAAAGAAAATGAATGAGGAAATTGTAGGCTTACTTTTAAAACATTAATCACTGTACTTCCAAAGTATGATAATTGTTTTCTTCTGTGATATATTTTTATTGGGGGGTTTTAAGTACTGGAAATACATGCATGTACAGGTATGTCAGAACTTCTTTTTTCAAAACAGATATGTGTAGGAAGATTGCATAAATACAAATTTGTAGGATTTTTAAATGCTATTCACTCCTTAAAATCATGTACATAAAGCGCTCTTTACCAAATTTTCAGATGTCACTAATGCTTTTGTGACTTTTTCTTGTTGTTATCTACTATAAAAGTAGAAATATTTGGGGTACATTAATTTTTCGCAGATTTCACGCTAAGATTGGGAAGCGCAAATTTTAGAACTCACTAAAAATAAGCATGATTTCTCATGCGTGGTTTAAATGAGCTGAACTGCGTGCAATGCGAATTTAAGAACCAGCGAATATGTTTTTGGGTCGCTCAGCGCAAAAAAATTAATCACACAAAAATAACAGCGTTTACAGTAGTTGGTATCACCTAATAGTAAGAAGAAAAGATAAGTAGTAGCCTAGTACTTCAGCTTAAGTACTCCGTACAGTTAATACAGATGTATATTGATCCTTTTTTGTTGTTGTTTTGTTGTCTTTCTTGTTTACAGGATCATTATGATTTTGGTATGCGTGCTGTCAAGACTGTCATTTCAGCTGCTGGCAATCTGAAGAGAGAGAACCCCACTATGGCTGAGGTAAATATTCTATGCATCTAACAGTTGAGTTTGAAGACATGTATATCTTGTGTACCATGATGTTGTCTGTCCAGAGCCAGAAGGGCATTTATTGTGTCAAAGTATATAAGTTAACGCCCTTCTGGCTCCAAACAGACAATATGAATCGATTATACAAACGTATTGATAAAACATTACGCATGAAGCTTCTTGTATCTAATGTAACTGAATTATTATCGAGTAGCATTAAGAATAGGCATTTAATTTGCATTTTATTATGGTTCAAAATCAAACAAATTTTCAGTATTTACTTGTCATAAACTCAATTAATCAGCCTCAATTTCTGAATATTCCTCACTTAACAATAATTACAAAAATAATAATAATGACGAATCTATTCTATTTGTATCATCAATGTGTTTGCAAGTATGGAATATGTCATAAGTTGTGATCTATTTTACTGTGTATTATTTGTACTTCTCTATATTAAAGTTTTGTTGAAATGCTTTTTAAAACTGAGCTTGTGAAACTTGCAATGTAATTTAGCTCTCGGGCTACCATATTGCAGCTGTTCTAATAAAACCATTCTACTACTACTATTACTACTTAATGTCTTTTTATTCCTATGCATTGATCAATCCCTTCTTTGTAGGATCTTATCGTTCTGAGAGCTATCCGTGATGTGAACGTGCCCAAGTTCCTCCAGGATGATCTCAAGCTCTTCAACGGTATCGTCTCCGATCTCTTCCCCAAAATCAAGTAAGTTTAATCCATCATCATATGTTTGGGTCGTGGAATCTTGTCAAGTTTTTCCCTCGCACAACATATTCCCAACAGAAGAAACTAGCATGATGATAATCGATTATTATTATTATTATTACTTTGAAACAAATGTGGCCAGCCTGGCTTCTTTCTTTGAATATAGTATTGTAACCACATTTTCATGTGCTTAAAACAGCACGTTTTTCTTAGGTGTATATATTTTGTTTCAATGTTGTTCATACTATTCAATTTCATTGTAAATCAACCATTATGAGTTCTTGAACTTTACGTGTTGTTTTTTACGCTAAATGAATAAATAAATAAATAAAAAAGGAAATTTTCTCATTTAGATGCTTTGAATTTTTACAAGCAATTAAGCCCCTATGTCTATTATTTTCTACAAGCATGGACATTTAACATAATTAATTTTGACCTGTAAATTATAAAACTTTGTTGCTATAGTTGAATTAACAAAAGTGTTTAAAAAACAAACCATCTCACCTTACATTGCAATTGCTGTTCTTTCATGCAAGACAACTCGCAAATTGTGTTTTTACCGTAAAGGTTCCCCAAAATACCTGTAAAATCATAGATGCCAATGACAAGAATAATATTCTTCTCTACGCATTGCAGATATCTTGTATTTTAGTACTTGTGCTATCTTTAGCACTTGTGAGTTAAATAAACATGAATAGATCTATATCAAAGTATCACTCCAAGTATTTCAAACTATTATTTGTAATCAGGGAGGAGCCCATAGACTATGGTGAGTTAGATGCATCCATTCGTAAGCACTGCTCCAAGCTTAGTCTTAAGGACGTGGACGGCTTTGTCACAAAGTGCATTCAACTCTACGAAACCACCGTGGTACGTCATGGTCTCATGATTGTTGGACCTGCTGGCTCAGGAAAAACCATGGTAAGGATTAAGCTTTTTCTGCATCTGATAAATGAACAAATTTAAAAGGTAATGAAAAATCAGGAAACAAAAATAGTGCATTGTATTTATTGGACAGAGGTGGCATTGTAGTTTTACGTATTTGATTGATAGGAAGGTGCATTGCTTGCCACATTGATATCTTTTCCATACAAGTCTTTATTTTTTTATGATTTAATCAATTGTGGGATTAAAAATGTGAGATAGTGATATTATCAATCATCCAGTAAAAAGTGAAGGGAATATCCAGAATGATCTGTAACTGTTCCCTTTTGTTTAGTCTTGATACAATTGTAGTATCTGGTAGCTTCCTGTAGATGTATTAAATCAATCAACTAGCTATTTACATGATTATGAATTTGTATGCATTTTGAGATTAAAGCACTCGACTCCCATTCTGGTGACCCAGGTTTGATTTATTTATTTATTTAATTAATTAGTCTTTTTTTAGTAGGGTGACTCCATCAGCAGTTAAATACTGTTTTCCGTGGAGGCCCTACAACATAAATACAAAATTTACAAACATATTGATGTACATAATCCAAATTGAAACAAAATGATTCCTGGTGGGTCAATTTTTTTTTTTTTTTTTTTTTTTTTTTTTTTTTGCTGTCGTTTTATATTTTATTTGATCACCTTTAAAAACATGTGAGATAGTGATATTATCAAGTTTCGACTTGTATGCTCCCTCTGTAGTGCTATGAGGTGTTACGGCGAGCTCTGACCTTCTTGAAAGGCAAGGAAGCGGTAGGAGGAGGTAACTACGAGACGGTCACCACCTACATCGTCAACCCCAAGTCTATTACCATGGGGCAGCTCTATGGAGAGTTTGATCCTCTCACCCATGAATGGTAGGAATTACAAATTTGATTACTTCATATTTTGGTGTATCGATCAAGAAGAAAAAGTGGCATAAAGGGATGCAGTTTGATTTTGTATTGGAAAAAAATTATTAAGTTTTTTTTTATCACATGGACAATCACACTGGCTTTGGCATGATCTAGCCAAATTTTGGGTGCTCGTAGTAATTTGTATGCCGGCCTACGCAACGAAGTAGCCTTCAGGTTCCTCAATCATTTTTACATATTTTCCTCTTTATAGGACTGACGGCATCCTGTCATCCCTGATCCGAATCGGCTCCTCGTCGATGGACGAAGATGCTCGTTGGTATATCTTTGACGGACCTGTGGATGCTGTCTGGATTGAGAACATGAATACTGTCTTGGACGACAACAAGAAACTCTGTCTCAGCAGTGGAGAAATCATCAAACTCACTGATGTAAAAAGCATATTTAAATTTTTCGATTATAATCATGTGTGTAATTGATTGTTGTAAAACGCATGGGAATTCATTATTATGCGCTATATAAAAATGACTTTATTTTATGAGAGGATCATTTTGATCAAGTTCTTTTGTTTTCTTGGGTGTATTTAGATTTTGTTTGTAGTTTAATTGGTAAAATTTGTTTAACCTGTACTGCGCCAATGTAATTACCAACATACAGTGTACATCACTAAAGCACAATGCAACCCTAGTTTATTTTTATAAAGCAGAAAAATAATTGAAACAGAGTTGCGAAAGTTTGAAATAAGAGATCATTAAAAAAGTATGGATATCAAGTTGGCAATTTGGACCTTGGTGTGACATGGGCAATTCTCCTGTTTGTAGTTCTCCTGAGTGCCTTCTCCCTTTGGGCACTACTCAATATATATTATGGATAGCATATGGATAGCAAATTGGAAAGTTGTCTTGCACCACATCATAGTGGCATTATGATTCAGCCAATTTGAAGTTTCCATACGTATAGTGATTTATTATAATTACTTTTCAAAATGCATAACTTTCTCATTGTTTTTTTCCAATTTTAATAGTCTGCATCTCTCATGTTTTCTTCATTCTTGTAGAGTACTGGGCTACTGTGTTGAATTTCCCTTTAATTAACTTTTTCGTCTCTAATTCTATTCACAGTTCCAGCGTATGATCTTCGAGGTAGCCGATCTGGCTGTTGCCTCTCCCGCTACCGTAAGCCGCTGTGGTATGGTCTACCTGGAGCCCAGTATCCTGGGCCTGAATCCGTTCGTTGAATGCTGGCTCAAGAAGCTTCCTGATGCCATCTACCCTCACAAAGATCAGATGCAGGCTCTCTTTGATGCTTTCCTTGAGGTATGTATGTCTCCACTAATTCAAGTCTTAGAAACGACACAGTAAATCATCTCAAAACAACAGCAACTGCAAAGTAGAGTGTCACAATTTTGTATATTTTCACACACAGATTACAGAAATTGCATGGGGTCTTTTTGTGCTCCCATTTGCTTATTTATACTTACACCGGTATTGATTTTCAATTTGCCAAGGCTCTTTCTGTGAATGAATTTGACATTCAGCTTCTTTGTTCTGTATTGATCCCGTTTTAAGTCCTGCCTCAGCACCAATGTCCTTTGGCAAGACATTAATCTACATTTGCCACTCTCGATCCTCCCAAGTGAAGTAAGTGGGTACCCGGTAGGAAAGAACTCCTTGTATGATTTAGTGACTTTTTATGGCGGCTCAGCTACAGCTGGGGTAACAATGTGATACTTTGCATTAAGGCCCAGTAGAGTATATTCATATAGTAGCTGCGCTATATAAATGGACCTACTATTATTATTATTTGACAGGAATCTCTTGAATTCATGCGAGCCAACTGCAAGGAGATTGTGTCGTCCATCGACAGTAACCTAACCCTGAGTCTGCTCAAGCTTCTAGACTGCTTCTTCACTCCATTCGTACCTAGAGAGGTATGTTCAAACTCACCATCATCCTGTGCTCTGTTTCGATAAGGTTTTAAAGGGGAAGTGCACCCTGATATTATCTTGGTTTTAATACAAGTAGAAAAGTGAGAGAAACAAATTATTGAAAGTTTCAGCAATATCTGATTTAAAATAGAAAAGTTATGAATTGTTAAAGTTGTCATCGGTGTAACACAAAGTGGGGACTCTGTGAGGTATCTTGCGAGCTGCTCTCCAATTTGCTTTGTACAGAAAATGTCATAAACTTTTATTTTCTTAGTTATTGAAGATGGAAAAGACTTGTTTCATACAGAGGTTGTATACAAATATATAAGCAATAATCGTTTTAAGTACAGAGCAATTGATGTAATTTGTATTATTATTATTACATATTTTCACATCTGTTTATCTGGTCATCTAGTGATATATGTAGTCAATCCTTTGTTGATTATATGCAATAGCTGTAGTCATTCCAGTTGTATTGAATTTCCTCATATAATGTCTGGCCTTATTCTTTTGTATTAAATGAGTCTTTATCATGGAATCCCAAGAGGGGTTTTTCATTGTTCACCATCACATGCTCCACTTTGGATCTCAGTATTCATCTTTATCTTATTCAGTTTTGAATTATTTGATATCATAGTCATTCATGTTATTATTCTATCCAGTTTTTTTCAATTTTCCAAATCGCCAGCTTAAAGGCACACTGTCCTACTTGTAGCTACTTACTCCCTCTATATAGAAAACTTCCCCAATCGGTGCCTGTTGGTCCTCCATGATCCTCTTTTTTTAATGTTAAATGAGAGCTGAGTTAATGAGATAGCCACCTGTCACAGTGACCTCGCTGGCTTGCTTGGTGGTCTAATCCCTTCTGGCTGAAGTAGTAAAGCGTGCCTTTAATACTTCCTGCAAACCCCCAGTGTATTAGAAGAATAATCAGTATTTAGTGGCAATTAAACCTGTTTTAAGCTTCTGTTATGCTAGACAAGTAAAACTATTTTTCTCATTGTTTGAATTTATATGTTTTCTTCTTTATTGTCACGTTGAAATCCTTTAAACGGCAAAAATGATCATAACCTATGATTATTACTCTCGGTTTTGCATCAATGATGCAATATTCATCTCTTGCCTTTTTAAAGCAACGTTTATGAATTCCTTATATTGTTCACTCAAATTGCAGTTGTAATAGAGACTGCAATGATCATTGTATTTGAAATGAAATGTGATTTGATCCATCCCCCCTCCCTAAAATGGCAATGCATGTATCTTTAAAAAAGTAATCAATGCTTATATATGTTATGTTATTTTATATATTTCTTTGCAAAAAGAAATAAATAAAATGCATGTTCTTATTACTTTTGTACTCACAAATGAAAGAAAATAATTCCTATGCTAAAAAAAGTTGTATGTACTGACATACCTATAAGAATGAAGAAAAAACAACAACAAGGAATCCCTTTGCTAATTATCTCTCTTCCCTTGCATATTCTGCCTCATGATTTTTTGCTTGTAGGATAAAGATGATGTAAGTTAAAACAAGCTTTTTAGAGCAAGTCAGTGTGATGTGACTTCAATATAAGGAACATGTGGCAACTAATGTGATCGATTAATCTATCAACCTACCACAATAAATCCCTAATTTTAATACATAGAAAACCCAATTACTACTTTGTACCCATTTCAAAGATGATTTTCTAAACTATTTGTATCATTGGTTTGATTAATATCACATCACAACAATTAACATCATATTAATTAAACTTGGACCATAGTTCATGTCCACAATTTCCACATTCATTTTAATGACATTACATTTTTGTTCAATATTTTGTTACCTAACTTAATACATCACCTAAACCAGCATACTAACACCCTAATGCATGCTTGTGGTGTTCAATTTTGCATATTAATAGTGTCCAGCATGTTTGTGCCTCTAATAATTAGAGCAAGCTAAACTTTTATTGCCATTAATAATCTCCCAATTGATAATTCACCCCGGTGTATTAAATACAACAGCAATAGAAACTTGTGTGATGTCAAATACCATTGCACAGCTTGAAATTCACTACTTTTTTTTCCTCAAGTAATATAGTATCCCTTTAGAATGTAGTTACTGATCAAAATATTGTCAATTCCAGAGCAACAATTACGGTATACACAGTCAATATTCTTGTGAACAAGTCTTGTGAACGATTTGCAATCATTTGTATTTCAAGTTATAAAAATAACTCATACTCGGTGATAATCATGTTTCCACAAAATGAGCATTAAACTTATCGTTTAACAATGTTAAATCTGAGACGCACGGCCCTTCGTGTTATCAGTGTCTGTGATATGGTGTAATATTGAAGCCCAAAATTGTTTTAAAATGATTAAGAAGTGCCTCAAAGAGTAAAAATCTTTGAGTGACTGGTTTTACCAGACTCATTTTCCCCAGTAGACTGTAGCGTTATGAAAACCGTTAGGTAAACGCAAAATTTGATTTAGATTTCCAATCATAAATATCTTGATAATCAGACAGGCAATCGGCTTGTAAATTTTATGGGATTTATGTATGCCCCAAAGGTTTATAATTATCATTGCAGCATGAGCTAAATCTAGGATTTTGTTTCAGAATCTGAGACAAATTTGTTACCCGATCCCTTTATTACTATATGCCTTGTATTGTTGGTATTATTAGGGTGATGCACCTCTGCCCCAAGAGAAGTTGGATCGCATCGGTGAGTTGATTGAACCCTGGTTCATCTTCGCTCTCATCTGGACTGTGGGAGGAGCCGTTGATATGGACGGAAGGACAAAGTTCAATGGCTTCATGAGGGAGAAAATGAAGAAGGAAAACGTAAGTTCGTACATAGTATATGTTTTGAGTGGTTTATGATGATGATGAAGGTGATGATAATGATGATGAAGACGATGAAGATGATGACAACGATGATGATGATAGTGATGATGATGATTATGATGATAATGGTGATGATGATGATGATGATGATGATTATGATGATGATGATGATGGTGATGATGATGATGATGATGATGATGATGATAATGGTGATGATGGTGATGATGATGATGATTATGATGATGATTATGATGATGATGATGAAAGTGATAATGATTATGATGACGATTATGATGATGATGGTGATGATGGTGATGATGAAGGTGGCAATGACGATGACGATGATGATGATGCAGATACCAATGATTGCAGGTAAAATGAAAGTTTATAAACAACGACACAACAAATTCCTTTAATTAATACATTGTCTGTCATCAATGCTCCTTTTTTTTTCTTCTTCAATCCAGATCCAGTTACTGATGCCAGAAGAAGGTTTGGTCTTTGACTACAAACTTGATGATGGAGGAATAAGCAAGCGTCCCTCGAGGGATGACGATGAAGAGGAGGAGGAGGGAGCAAATAAGCAGGTAAGAATAAAAAAAGTCTTCCATATCATCCAAATGACTTGTTTCACGTTAAAGTTAATTATTGAACATACATATAGTATTTCTAGTGTACATGATCCTGATATTATAGAATTTCTCTCTTTCAAATTCGAACGTGCATTTAAAAAAAAAATCTAGATATACATTTCTATGATACATATGAATATCTATTCCATAGCATGTGTTTTAGTGTTTTCAGACTGATTACTATTTTCATCTAGTTTATCAAAGAAATTAACAGTCATAATGTAAATCTGATCGTTTGTAATGTCCATCTAATTTAACCTTTCCTTTCTTTGCAATGATTTCCAGTAATCTTGATTCCCAGCAAATATCATGTAATCAATATTTTCTGTAGGTATTTCTCTCAGTGTCTATTGTGTAACAAACTTGAATACTTCATGAACTGTAAAAATATGAGTTAACCAATTTCTTTTATCAATTTCCCTCTCATATTGGTTGTATATAGTATGTGGGATTGTTTTATTGTCGAAAAGTAAAGTACTCTCTTTCATAACCTCAAACTTTCTTTTTAGAGCATAGATGTAAAGAAAAATCTGATTTTCAGTTCCTTGTATTTTGTTCTTTTTACATTGATTGTTGTAAAATACTGTAGGCAGTGTGTAAAGATGTGCAAAAGAGACGATCTGAAAATGTTATTTCCCTATCGTCTAAACCTGAAATGACTTGAGTTTACTATTTTTCATTAAATAATGCGATGTTTCTATTCTAATACTAACATTTTCTCTTCATCCTCCTCCTTGTGAAATGACATTCTAAATCTAAGGGATTTGCCTTCTATCTTTTGGATGACGAACAATGTTCTACAGACCCGGTAATCAGAATGTAGACCAGCACAGACCCCTACAGAGCATGATGTAGTTGAGGTCCCAAAACCAAGACCAAGACCCAAATCATTGTGTCATAGATCCAGGACCTGCTAGTATAGGTCAAAGAGCGAGCCCATGGACATAGCTCTAAAGAACAGTTCCCACATCCCCAGGACAAAGACAAAACCCAGAAAAAAATTGTAGTCCCCAAATCCTTTACCAAGACAGATAGGAGACTGTATCCCTGACAAATTAGTCCTATATGTAGACAAAGAACTATTAAGCAAATAATATACATATAAGCCACTTGCCAAATTTGTTTGAATATCAAGACCTTATATTCATGAAACCAATAGATTCTGGTCCTGAAACCCAAGACCAAGTCCAAAATGTTAAAAATTAGTCCCCCAATCTTGTCCAAGGCATGTAGTCATGAAATCCTGACAAATGGGTCTCAAATTCTATTCCAAGACCTATTAAACCATTTAGACAAACTTCTTGATGCATTGATTTGTCCCAAACCAAGACCTTGTATGTTGAGGCCAAAGCCTTGACAGATTGGACCCGAAACATAAACCAAAGACTTTGTTTGATGTAATAGACTTGGACCTAACCAGTTAAGACAATGAACGAAGTGCTGTCACACATTGAACTTAGATCCCAAACTTTTACCATTATTAAAGACCAAGACTTGAACATGCACAGGTTGTTAAGTTTCTAAGACCTGACAAAGTCCTCACTGCTCTAATTAAGTCTTAAGACCTGAGCATGATTATCGCTATCCACATCACCCTCACTATTTGCACTGCATGTCAACAGTCATTTCATTCCATCACTTACGGTAATGGGCTATTGAAACCTTCAAAGGCATGCTAATTGGTATATTTTATCAGTACAACCTAAGTACAATTACATCAGCAGCTTCCTCAGTACACATTGCTTAGCATTTTCAGAAGCACTAGCTATATAGCAGGGTGGTCCTCAAGGTGTTTTACCAAGTAACGGTGACACGTTTAATGGTTTGAAAAATCAGCAACCGCCGATTAATATTCTTTCTCAACCAAAATTATCTATGAAATATGGGTCATTTCATTTGTGTGAAAATGGCTCAGATAGCACTAGAGAGCAGCAAAGAACCCTTTATAATCAATTAAGCTAGCCCTGGGCCCCTGCCACAGTGGTCTTCACTCTTTGCATGCATCATTTCATTTCAAGTTCCAATTTTACATTTTCTTTACTTTTGTTTGTGGACCGTGCACTCTGGCTATAGCTAGGCCAACAGGAGCCAATTTTTTGCTTATTTGCATGATTGGTACGTTGCAACTTGTCACAGAAGTTTCATAATTACAGCAGTACATTAAAGAGATAACTATGTTAGCTTATCTTGATACATGTATTAAACAGGTTGAGAAACACACTTCTGATCAGGAAATGATCTTCACAGAGGTTTGTAATATGAAGTATTAGACTTGAGGTTTAGTTGAAGTTGTTTTGGAATTGATTCAAAGTTTTCTCAAAGTTGAGGGTTTATTTGTGTAATCATTTTTCTGAATTTATAAAGAAAGATTGTTGTCTTCTATTTTCTATTGGGACAAGGGTTTGAATTGTTTTACAAATTTCTCAGGTTCGTTGTTTTTGTGCTGTCATGTCAATACAATAATTATCTTTCAGACTTTGTTTTGTTGTTTTTCTTATCTTGTTTGTTATTGTTGGAATAAGTCTTACATTAGAGTTAGGATGATATTTATTGAATGAAACTGTTTTCGAGATTCACTCAAGAGGCAAATATCAGTCAACTTAGGCGAGATCAATTTAAATCCTGATGAAATGAGCATTGTCCTGTTGCAAACCCTTTTGCACTTGTATTTTGTCATTTTTCCCCATTAAAAATGCATAATTTAAAAAGATATTCCCATTACTGCCTGAACATCATCGTAATATATACATATTTTGTTTCTTATTAGTGTATTAGTGTTGCATTTCATATTTGCACCATGGATTGCATGTACAGTAGACACAAAACTCAGCCTTTTTACTTCTATTCAGATCCTACGGGTAAAAATAATGACGTCATGAAATGAATGAAAAATAACAAAGTTTTGCATATCACAATCATTGAATTGAGTTTAGGTGTTTTCCTTTCTTTTCATTTATTACAAATCAATGACTTTCGGTTTAAGTTCATTTTCTTCATATATAAGTACATTAATTTGATGTTTGGACTTTCATGAGTATCCAGAGATATCGAATATTGGATAGCAACATTGGCAGTTTACTGGAACTTTTTAATTCAAGAAATAAGATCACACTTTAACAGGAACAAAGATGGTAAAAGATAGGTGATCATGAGGCAGGTCATGTTCTTCTTGTTATTAAAGTGAAATCTGTAGTATATGTACATGGCAATTTGCATGCTTATGTAAAATAACATTATTGAGAGTCGTACATGTTGATTTTGAAGGTGTTGTGGTTGGGGGTATCACATCGGTGTTATTGCATGCTTTCAAGTTTGGTTCTCATAAAGTTATCACTTTACTTGTGTAAAGTCCACTTTTCCTATTTCATATATGCACTCTCTGCACTAACATTTTGGGGGGTTATTTTTTGTACACATTACACAGTTTTCAACTTTTAAAACTTTCTTTTTTGAGAACAATCACATAAATTCTCCTTTATTTGAATTCTTGTTTCGATTTTTTCTGTTGTTTTTCTCATTTTAGGGGGTCAATGTAGCAGTAAGACATTCTAAAGAAATTTTCCCATAGCAAAGGAAGGGTAGTTGTTATAATTACTTCCACTGTAATTGCTATAAAATATGTAGATTAGCTGCCTTTCAGAGGCAAAGTGATTTATTAACTCAACTTTCAGTCATAAAGTACAGGGTTCAAATCCTTGCCATGTGCTTATATTTATAGACAGGGTATTTCATTGATAGCCGATTCTTTCTACCCAGGGGTAGCACATGGGTATGAGGGAGTTTTTGTTGTTGCTATGCGTTATATGTTGGCGATACAATACACAATTATGTACTATTTTTCCAAAATGCACAAAAAACACATTACTTTGTATGAAATACCGGTCATTCAAAATTGGAATATTATTATAATTAATTTTGACAATAATGATTTTTGGTTTGGTTTGGTGATAGATCTGCTGGAAGAACTGGATGAGTGGTATTGCTCAGGTTGAAATATCGCATGAGATGCAGTACTCTGACATCATCGTACCAACCAGTGACAGCATCAGGGGATCGTATCTTCTGGATATGCTGCTCACCAATAGAAAACAGGTCAGTATATTATTTAAAATGCATTGCAGAGCAGCTACAGTAGTAATTTGTCAGTGCATGTTTGTAACGTGGGATGGGAGAAGGTTGAAGAGAAAGGCATAGAAAGAAGGAATTGCTCTCTTACAGAATTTGATAGGGAAGAGAAGGGAACCCAAAGAGAAAGAGAGGGAGAGAGAGGGGGAGAGAGTGAGAGAAAAAGAGGGAGGAATAGAGAGTAAAGTAGAGAGAGAGAGAGATAGAGGAGGGGGTGGAGAGGAGTGTGTGTGTGAGAGAGAGAGGGGAAAATGGAGAGTAAGGGAGAGAAAAAGAGGGAGGGATGTAGAGTAATGGAGAGGAAGAGAGAGGTGGGGATGGAGAGGAGTGGAGAGAGAGGAATGTGAGAGAGACAGAGAGAGAAGGGGGTGAAAGAAAAGAAGATAGAATAAAGTGAAGTGTTAGATAGTGGTAAGAGAGAAAAAGGTAAAAAAAAAAAACAATTGGGTGATTTTTTTTTCATCTGTAAGTTCGTAAAGTAAGAGGTTGAATCTTACCAATCATATTTCATTACTTTCAATCTGTACTCTGAACAATATCTCTGTGCTTTCCCCACCCCCCTTTCATTGACCTTAGGTCATCTGTGTAGGTGACACGGGTACAGGCAAGACAATGACCATCTCTGACAAGCTCCTCAAGTCTATGCCTGCCAAGTACATCAGTAACTTCATCTCCTTCTCTGCTCGCACCAGTGCCAATCAAACACAGGATCTCATTGACAGCAAGCTTGACAAAAGGTAAAGATAAAGTAATCTTGAAGAATTCATAAAGAATTCATAGTACTTCTATTTTTAGACAATTAAGATAATTTGGCTTACAAACTATGTATGGCTTTAAGTGATGTAAAACAAAAAAGGAATTACCTAGCAATGATGGGATTCTCAAGGTAGTTGTGTTTGTGATATAAAATACAGGTTGTATGTACTTGTATTATGTTGAATATATGCCTATTGGCTGATTCTTGTTGTACAAGTGAGAAGTGTTTTTACTCATATGTCATTGACTAAACATTTAAGCATTGGATATTTTGTGAGTCCGCTGATGAAAACTCTGCACAGATTTTGAAGCTGTTTATGATCTAACGTTTAGTCTTGATTTTTAAAAGAAAAATTTCTTCATCTTTTTGTGAAGGCGCAAAGGAGTGTTTGGTCCACCTCTTGGCAAGCATTTCATCCTGTTTGTGGATGACCTGAACATGCCTGGTCTGGAGGTGTATGGAGCCCAGCCTCCCATTGAGCTGGTCAGACAGTGGATGGATCACAAGGGCTGGTATGACAGAAAACAGATTGGTAAGTTGATGATGATTATGATGACGATAATGGTGATGGTGGTGACGATGATGGTGGTGGTGATGGTGGTGATGATGTTGATGTTGATGTTGTTCGTGGATGACCTGAACATGCCTGGTCTGGAGGTGTATGGAGCTCAGCCTCCCATTGAGCTGGTCAGACAGTGGATGGACCACAAGGGCTGGTATGACAGAAAACAGATTGGTAAGTTGATGATGATTATGATGATGATAATGGTGATGATGTTGATAATGATGATGTTGATGTTGTTCGTGGATGACCTGGACATGCCTGGTCTGGAGGTGTATGGAGCTCAGCCTCCCATTGAGCTGGTCAGGCAGTGGATGGACCACAAGGGCTGGTATGACAGAAAACAGATTGGTCAGTTGATGATGGTTATGATGACGGTGATGTTGATGATGGTGGTGATGATGGTGATGGTGGTGGTGGTGGTGGTGGTGGTGGTGGTGGGGGTAGTGGTGATGATGATGATAATGATGATGTTGGTTTTGATTTGATGATACATAGAAGGATGATGTGATGGTGATGATGATGATGGTGATGATGATGATGATGGTGATGATGATGGTGATGATGATGATGATGGTGGTGATGATGGTGATGATGATGGTGATGATGATGATGATGATGGTGATGATGATGATGATGATGGTGATGATGATGATGATGATGGTGATGATGATGATGATGATGATGGTGATGATGATGATGATGATGATGGTGATGATGATGATGATGATGGTGATGGTGATGATGCTCATGATGGTGGTGATGATGATCATGATGATGTAGGTTTTGATTATGATGATGGTGATGTTGGTTTTGATTTGATGATACATAGAAGGATGATGATGTGATGGTGATGATGATGATGATGGTGATGATGATGATGATGATGGTGATGATGATGATGATGATGGTGATGATGATGATGATGATGGTGATGATGATGATGATGATGGTGATGATGATGGTGATGATGATGGTGATGATGATGATGATGGTGATGATGATGATGATGATGGTGATGATGATGATGATGATGATGGTGATGATGATGATGATGATGGTGATGGTGATGATGCTCATGATGGTGGTGATGATGATCATGATGATGTAGGTTCTGATTATGATGATGGTGATGTTGGTATTGATGATAATGACGAAAAGGATGGTAATGATAATGAAATACTACTGATGACAAACACCTTTTCAAAACACTTCATCTTTCTTTCCTCTTGTAAATAGGTGCCTTCAGGGAGCTTGTGGATATCGGATTCTGTTGCGCCATGGGCCCACCTGGTGGAGGTCGTAACCCTGTGACAGCCCGTCTGATGCGTCACTTTAACTACATCTCCTTCCTCGAGATGCAAAGGGAGAGCAAGATCCGCATCTTTTCCACCATTCTCAACAGTTGGCTTGGTGAGTAGTGACTGCTTTCATCTTTTGAATGAAACATATAATACCAGTAAAGGATGTAGAACTCTGTTGTATAGAGACAGAACATTGAACAGAAACCTTTGAAATGTGGTGCTTACAAAGAATGCAGAGAATTATAGCTAGGTTATGAACATCAGCAATATAGAAATGCTACAAAGAGCAAGCAGAGAAAGGGAGCTGATGAAGACGGTTACAAAAAAAAAAGGAAGCTTGTATAAGCCAGACATTTAAAAAGAGAAGGAGGACTACAGAAGATAAAATGGAAACGTGGTTTAATTGACACAATCAAGCAGTTGACTGGACTTTGTTATTAAAAGGTCAGAGCAAGCTCTCATGATCGATGACAATGGATGTGCATATAATGCCGCCGACCCTGACCTGGGACGGCACCAGATGAATACAATTATGCAATGTAGATAGTTGCATTGTAGCTCTACCTATTCGTCTATGAGAACCCCAAAATATATGAGAGAGATGTAAGGTTTATCAGCATGAAACTGTGTAGACATTTTGTGCCAATTTCTGGGCCCTGTCTTACAAAGATTTGTGATTGATCCAAATCAATCTTAAGGCCTTCAATCAATCGCAGTCTCCATCTCTTATATAGTTGCGATTGACTATTTGGGGTATTTCGTTAACAACAAGTCAAACATGGGTGAGGAAATGGAGAGCGTTTGATATTTCATTGATATTGATGATAACAAGGGTAGTTGATCTGTATATGGCTTTTACATGTTTGCAAAAGTATATTTAATTTTGATGATTATGATGCTGATGATGATGAAGATGACAGCATTTGATCTCTCATTTGCAAAAGCATAATAGGAGGCAGTGTAAAATGATTCAGCTATGATTTGTAACCTTGATCTCTCATTTGTTAAAGCATAATAGGAGGCAGTGTAAAATTATTCATCTATGATTTGTAACCTGGATCTCTTACTAATGCAGCAAGTAACCCCTCCTTGAAAGAGCATGCCCTCCAGGTGGTGAATGCAGCCATTGATGTGTATGAGACCATCATCACCCAGCTTCTACCAACCCCTGCTAAGAGTCACTACACATTCAACTTGAGAGATCTCTCCAAGGTCTTCCAAGGTAATTAAAAAGATCAATAGACTTGCCGTAATAGGAATTTCGAAATTTAAATTGGCAACATTGAGATTTTTTTTTAAAACTATGGAATTAGAGTCTTCAAAAAAAGAAAGAAAGAGAATAAAAGATCAAACATTTAGAATGAAACCGTCACCTTCATCTTCAGGCCTACAAGGTCATGATGAATTGGATACACTCGGTCGCAAAAGGATTTTTTGAATGGCTGAAGGAATTTGAATTGAAATTTGCCAACATTGATATCTTAATAAGCCAGCTTACGGTTGCAGTCTGAGCATGAGCAGATAAAGGTCATTTGTACCAAAAAGGTAAAACCCACAGAGATAAATACTGGATATGCGCTCATGAAAGTTATACATTATTCATTTATGCACGAACGGTACATTCTAAGATACGCAGGTGGAAGTATTCTTTTCAAGAGGGCAAAGGTATTCATGAAGCACATCTAGGACTTTGGCAGTTATTATTCTAAGATGCTCAAAGTGGAACTTCTCCATGTGTAAAAGATCTGTGGATATTTGGGGTCATTTGTACCATGTGCTATCTGTAAACTCCCTTATTGTTCTACCATTATGGTCTGTAGAAAAAGTACTAATCTTGCTTCCAGAATAATCTACGTGAATAAATATTGCACATCGTAGCAATATTTGACAGTTTGATAAGGGAGGTAGTGTATTTGCATCAGAAGAAAGAAATCTGTAGTTATCATAGATGGTGGCCAAACCTAGACTTACCTATCAGTCTCTGTATTCCTCATTAATCACGATGATTTTTAAACTAATCGAATCAACGCAAGATTGAGTCTTGAATATTTTTAATGATCTTTAATAAGTTTATTACACTTTCCAATTCAGGTATGCTGATGGCTGACAGTTCTAAGATTGAGGACGTGAGCCAGCTCCTGCGGCTGTGGCATCACGAGAACTGCCGCGTCTTCCAGGATCGTCTGGTCAATAGCCAGGACAGGGAGTGGTTCTCTGGCTACCTTGAGGAGAAGATCACCAAGGACTTTGGCTGCAAGATGGACGAGGTCAACCCCCGACAGCCCATGCTCTACGGTGACTTCATGATCGCCAATGTTGACAATAAGGTCTATGCAGAGGTCACTGATCAAGAAAAGGTAATTTGATTGTTTGTGCCTGTCTCACAGAGAAAGAATTAAGCAAGTCGGAGTCCTTTTGTGTTTTTTAATCTCACACTTCACTAAGAATTTAGGCGAGGCGTCAAAAATATCGATACCAGCAGGCTGCCGCCTCACGTATTGGCGCATCGAGGCTGCAATTACGGCCGAAGCCTGGCTGGGGCAATTATTTTTCACTTATTAACCCAGCCGGCTTGCGCCAGGCTGGGATCTGAGGCTCGGTTTCCATTCGAAAGGCGGCAGCCGGCGCATGCTTTTGAATGCCATTTCCTACCGCCAGTGGTAGCCGGCTGAGCTAATTTAAAAAATGCAGCCAGGACGCACAAGTGCAGTTAGCTGCCGCTGGCTGGTATATTTATTTTTGACGCCTCGCCTTACAAGTATATATATCTCATGGTTTTTGAATGAGTACAAGTTCAAAAGCTTGAGGGCAAAGATGTCAGATAGGCAATGAAGGAGTTAGATTGAATATGAAATCCATGCCATTTTCCTGTAATTAGTTGAAGGTTCCTGCACTAAGGAAATATAAAGTATTAATGATATGGCATATTTATTATCAAAGTGCTTCCCTAATATGGGCAGGGTGTTTCATAAAGCTGTGCGTAAAGTTACGAATGACTTTACAAATGATTTGAATATGAAGAGCCAAATGGGATGCCTAAAGTTTTTCCGTACATTTTAACAAAGTGTGACTGTATTTCCCATAATCTGAATTAAATTGTAGCCAAAAATACACTTTGCATTAAAATGTTTTGTTAATAATGATAAGGTTAATATACATCTGCATATTTCAACCTAAGCTTATGCAATGAAAAGGATTTGAGAATCTCATTTAGCTCTTCATATTCAAGTCATTCGTAAAGTCATGCGTAACCTTACGCACAGCTTTATGAAACACCCCCCAGGAAGGGCAAATGCAAAATGCTACCCCATGAGTAACCCCCTGATCTCTTTGTTACCCGCAGATGGTGAACGTGATGGAAGAGTACCTAGAGGACTATAACCAAGTCAATACCGCTGTCATGAGGCTCGTCCTGTTTGAGGATGCAACCAAGCATGTCTGCCGTATCACTCGTGTCATCCGTCAGCCCCTTGGCAACGCTCTGCTGCTCGGAGTGGGTGGTAGCGGGAGACAGAGTCTCACAAGACTCGCTGCTCACATGTAAGTCTTAAAGCTCCACTGTCCGTCTTGTAGCTACTTGCTTCCTCTATATAGAAAACAATGCCTAATTGGTGACCATTGGTCCCCCATGATCCTCTTTTTCTTATGTTAATTGAGAGCTGAGTTGATAAGATAGCCACCTGTCATTGACCACGCTGTGTGGTCTAATCCCTCCCGGCCAAACTAGTACAGCCGGCCTTTAATCCTCATTGTTTTTTGTTGTTGTTGTTGTCATTTTATTTCATTTAAGCATAATTCTTCTGGACCTTGTAGAAGCAGATTTTGCCATTTTATTAATTTGATGTTGGTGATATTCATATGTAAAAAGACTGATTAGAAATCTTTCTCATGAGTCTATAATGAGCATAATTTTCCAGGCAATATGAGTGTTATTTGAATTTCAGTCTGCATGTAAGCTAATGTAGTTTTCAACCTGCCTCCGTAATGGGGTAGGATAGAGATTTCAGTTCGTTTTAGAACTTTAGAATGAGAAATTTGTCTATGTGCTTTGAGATGCATATTTGTTTTTAAACATGTTATAGCCAGTTCTTTTGGAATAATGAATAAACTTGAGTAAAGAGCCCCTTATCAATACGTTATGTTCAGGTAACTAAAAAAACTTGTAGTCTCGTTTTTAAAAAATACAAAAAAACTTGTTCCTCATTCTGATATTCTTCATGTTCTGCAGTTAGTCATGGGGGGCGTCTCACAAAGCCTTTTTTCAATGACAAATAACAAAAATCAGTGACAAATCTGCTGATATCCAATCAGAGGCAAGGATTTCAGTAGCTTATAACACAACTTGTCATTTGTCACTGATGACAAGTTTTGTGAAACGCCCCCCTGGTCTATCACTGTTATCATTCTGTCCTCTTTCTCTCTATTTCCTTAGCGCTGAGTACGATCTCTTCCAGATTGAGCTGTCTAAGAACTACGGTGTGAATGAATGGAGGGAAGATCTGAAGACAATCCTTCTCAAGGCTGGTCTGGAGAACAAGGCCATTGTTTTCCTCTTCAGTGATACCCAGGTGTGTAAATCATTTTATAAGATGAGGACGTGGATCCTAATCAAATGATTGGTTGAAAGCGTACACATGACCAGGCATTTATTTTGCCTAATTTGGTTAATGACTGGTCATTATCCAATGATAATTAATGACCGGTCATTATCAAAATTATGTTATAAAACATCATTTTATAAAACAAATAAAACATAACTTTATAAAACAAATAATACACATCATTTTGTTTGGGCATTAGTAAAATTACTTACTAATGCCCTCACTGCTGTGTATTATTTGTATACCTTTTGTTGTCGTCCCTGTCTATTTGTCTAGCTGGCAACCCGACATATTCATGCATGAATGTCATTGCCTTCTATTTCTGGCTATGATGATGTCCATCTTTGGGATGAAGTAAATTTGTTTAAAGGGTATTTCCTCGAATCCACTACGGAAAATCAAATAGAAAATTCAAAGACATGATAACAACAACAATAACAAAATATACAGTAGGCTTGCGGTTGCACCATGTGAGAGAGAGGGGATTGGGGAGTCCTGAAAAGGACTAAGGACTCTCGGTAATCTTTCTTAACAAAAAAGTTAGGATTACAGCTAGGACTACAAATTGCTTATGCGTCTCATTTCTTTTAATCCCTGCTTGAAAGAAAAAAGAAAAAATTAAAGGAAAAATCTAAAATTTGTATTTTTATATCTACTAATAAAAGTAACACAAACCAACATAAATCTATGAACTATTTTGGGCTTGAAATTGTTTGCTTGCTTGCTTGCCTGGTGCCTTTTTCTGTTTCAGACATTGGTGATCATGGCTCTCCAGGCATCTACTAGCTGTGGTCATTTGTAATGTGGTGATACTAATGTTTCCAGTCAGCCTATTGAATGGATCAAAATATTCAATAAGTTTTTTCTCTACTTATCTCTTTTTCTCTCCCTTAATTTTGTCCAGTCAATATCCTGTAGGATTGTACTGTCAAACCTGCTTTAGTGACCACCTGTCTGCAACAAGCACATTTTTTTTTGTTTCCCTTGAAAATGGTTTTTCATTGAAACATGTACTAAAGGAACCTGTTTACAAAGACCACCTGTCTACAACACACTTTTTGTTTCCCTTGGGCGGTCGCTGTAGACAGGTTTGACTGTACATCGGGTGCCAAAATGACTTTGAGTTCCCTTTAGTCAAGGATGATGGTGTACTCGTTATTGTATGACTTGTAAACATGATTAGTTTTGGTCCTTGGACCTTAGAATCATGTATATTTATATGTCTTTTTAAACCGAAATAAATAAATAAAAAAATTTAAAAAGTATTACAAACTTCATATCTCTTTTTGTTTACAAACAAAACAGATCAAGAATGAGTCTTTCCTAGAAGACATCAACAACATTCTGAACTCTGGGGATGTCCCCAACCTCTACGGTTTTGATGAGCTGGACTCCATCTACAATGCTATGAAACCTGTTGTCCTGGATTCAGGCATGCAGGCAACCAAGGCTAATCTCTTCTCGGCCTATACCAAGAGAGTCAAGTCCAACATCCATACTGTGCTCTGTATGAGGTAAAGATGATAAAGCTTTATTTTTAAAGAATTGGTAATTAATAATAATAAATAAATAATAATAATAATATGGTTATTTATATAGCGCCGGTATCCGCCAGGTTCTGACGCTCATGGCGCTTTACACATATTTCCCTGGTCAGAGCCGAGCTGCCAAAGTAACTAGCGCTCAAGCATATCAAGTACCCATTTACATCTGGGTGGAGAGTGACAAATGTAGATTAATGTCTTGCCAAAGGACATTAGTGCTGAGGCGGGACTTGAACATTGTACCTTGTGATCTGCAGCCGGGTGACTTATCCACTAGTCCACAACACAAAGTCTGTCGATTCCTGTTCCTTTTATCAATATGGAGTTATCAATGTAGAGGTGTCGTGGTCTAGCGGATATGTCCCTGGACTGTTGATCACATGGTTCATGGTTTAAGTCCTGCTGCGGCACTGATGTCCTTTGAAAAAGACATCAATCTACGTTTGCCACTTTTCACCAAGGTGAAGTAAATGGGTACCAGGCAGGAAGTGATTCCTTGAATGCTTTAGTGCCTTTATTATGGTGATCAGCTACAACCATGGTTATAATATATAATGTACTTGAGTACATGTACATGTAGGAATTACACTGTCACATCATCAAAGGAGATGTAACACACTCTGTTCATAAAACTGTTCCTTGATGTTGTCCTTAATCTAAAGCACATTTAGTGGGTATCATACTCAGTGCTGTTATTTAGGACACATTTACAGTGATAAATTCATTTGAAGTACCAGTTTCATTTCGTAATTGCCATGTAGGGTGTAAAGGTCAGTTTTTACTAGCCAATAATAAAAAAGAAATGAGTTTAATTGTGAATATCATTTTGAAATAATTTAAAAAAATTGTTTTAACATCAAATGCAAACGCCTAAACTCCACATACTATACAATTCATTTGGACGAAAGTACAGTAGTTAAATGAATCTGAAGAGGACTTGCATAATGTATAAAGACTGAGACTCACTAATCACAGAACTGATATCACTAAGAATATAATTGTGTAATGCAACCCTATTTGTTCTCTCTAGTCCCATTGGTGAGGTCTTCCGAGCCCGTCTGCGTCAGTTCCCATCCTTGGTCAACTGCTGTACCATAGATTGGTTCAGTGAATGGCCAGATGAAGCCCTGCTCTCTGTAGCCAGGAACTTCCTCAATGACATCCCGGATCTAGATGAAGGTCCAGAGATTGTAGATGGTCTGGTAGGTTTTTTAATTGTTGTTCCATACTGCATTATGATATATTGGTAAAAGTTCTTGGCTTTCATATGAGAGGTCCCAGGTTCAAACCTTGCTTGGTGCCTACCAAAAAACAAAGGAATTAAATTAAATTAAATTAAATTATTTGTATGCGCCTTGAGCATCTCTAGAGATGGATATGTTGCGCTTTATAAATATTGTTATTATTATTATTATTATTATTATTACATGTACATACTTCAAGGAGGTGTTTTGCCCATATTTGATATTATATGTAAAGGGGTGTTGGATAGATGTAATTCTTCCTTTTAATGCTGCTATATTTGATTTGATTTTTACCTTACATTGTTCATTAGCTTAAAGTAGGAAGCTTTGCCTCATCTAAAAAACACCATTGAACTATACTTTTATGCTATCTCATGCCTCTTATTCTGTTATGAAATTCAATGGAAAGTGTTTTTCTTCCGGTTTACATTATGATTTGCATCTGAATTCTGAAGTCCTACTCAGAGCCATCTGTACACCAAGTTTGGCCAAGTTGGTTTCTCTTGGTCCAAACAAAGCAGCATTTTGTCATATTGTGGTCACTCAACTCGAAACAGGTTGGCCAAACTCTCCCTATATATTAATGGCTTTGGTCTTACTTAAGCTTTCAAATTCTCTTGATCTATTCCATACTGTTTACTACAGGTCAGAATGTGTGTGGTGGTCCATCAGTCTGTTGCTACCAAGTCCATTCAGTTCCTGGCTGAGCTTTCCCGTCATAACTATGTGACGCCCACCAGCTATCTGGAGCTGCTGGGTATCTACGGCAAGCTGCTGGGGCTCAAGAAGAACGAACTGAAGACGGCCAGGAACCGCACCAAGACTGGTTTGGATAAGGTAAGATGTCATTGTTGACACAAGAAACGTTTGCATGTTCATAGCTATATAAGTTATATTTTTGTGATAGTAATATGTACAGCGCCATGAGCATCAAAGCTAAATATCCATATTATTATTATAGCTGGCAGTATATTAATGTAGGAAACCACGCATTTAATATTCTTCCGAGTCCTTTCATAGTTTCCAAAGCCAATTAGTTGCTTATACATTGAAAACTGTCAATGAAATAGATTTACATGAAATCAAAATTTCAAGTAGTTGACAAAACCTTAAAGAGCTCACGCAGTAGTGAAAGTAGATTTATCTGCTTTTATCGGTTTTAGTTGATGATCATCAAGATACTCCCAGATAAAGTAATTCTTGAATTTCCATCTCTTCTGATAGCTCCTGAGGACAAGATAATTATCATTGTAACTTCTGTTTTATTTTTGTAGAGTAGCTCCAGTTATTTTCTTATGCAAGATATTTCAGAATATGATTTTGAGTTGTAAGTATTCTTGAATGTCCATCTCATCTGGTAGCTTCTGAGGACAAAATACTTATCATTGTAAGGTCTGTTTTATTCTTGTAGAGTAGCTCCAGTTAATTTCTTAGATGTTGGTGATGGTGGTTATTTTACCTGACTGCTAAGAATGCATAAATGCTTGTAAGTAAGCAATCAGACGGCCGACAGATTTAGGTCCTCTCCGAGGGACCCGGTAATGAGGATTATCGGTAATGCCTTACCAAAGGGCACTAGCGCATCGACTTGGTCTCGAACCCGGGTCACCGGAATACGAGACCACTGCTCTACCAACTGAGCTATCGCGCCTCCTATTTCAGAATTTGAATTTGAGTTGTAACTATTCTTGAACTTCCATCTCTCCTGGTAGCTCCTGAGGACAGCGGATGACGTAGCAGCCATGCAGGAGGAGCTGGAGACCATGCAGCCTATGCTAGAGGAGGCATCCAAGGAGACCTTGGTCACCATGGAGAGAATCAAAGTGGATACCGTAAGTCATGTGACCAAGTTAAAGCCCCACTACACTCCTTATAGCTACTTGCGCCCTCTATATAGCAAATAATGCCTGATCGGTGCCTGTTGGTCCCCCATGATCCTCTTTTTCTTATGTTAATTGAGAGCTGATTTGATGAGATAAACACCTGTCAGTGACCTTGTTGGGTGGTCTAATCCCCCTTGTGAAGCTAGTACAGACAGGCTTTAATGGAAAATATTCTCTCTATTTTTAATGGACCTGAATTTCTCACCCTTTCAACCAACTAGATGCATGTAGTTATTGTTTCTATTTTGACCATAGATTGAAACCCTTGACTGCACACATTGATTAGAATATATTTTACATGGGTAAAATATGTGTGACATTGGGTGACTTAGGCAGTCCCTTTTTTTCCATTGGTGAACTATCGCAAAAGCCTGTAAAAAGTCTGCTATTTTCAACATCACTTTGATAACAAAATTATAATTGGACTGATGAAAGCACATTTTGCTATTAAAGATGATTGCTTTTTATCAGTTATCTTGTATTTTTTTTGTAGCCATATACTGCTCATGGATTCCAGGAATATCTTTATGTCAGGCATTTTGACATTAACTGTAATTCAATATTCAGCTTCTCTTCAAGTATATTATCTTCTCACGTGAATCAAGTCTCCAACTTTTTAATAACTGAAAGTCAAAGGGAGAGACATTTATTCTCACCGTTAATTCTTCCTTTGGCTATATATCACTGAAAAATCACTTTGAATTTGAAATTGACAATCCCTACAACTTTTGCTGGAGAGAGACAAGTGTAATTCAATATTCAGTTCCTCTTCAAGGAAATAAGCTTTTCACATGAATCCAGTCTTCAACTTTTGAATTACTAAAAGTTGAATGGAGAGACATTTATTCTCATCGCAATTTTCTATTCCTTTGTCTATATATCACTGAATAATCACTTTAAAGTTGAATTGACAATCCCTCTGAATTTTTATTTGCAGGTGAAAGCTAACGAGACGATGGAGCTTGTCCAGAAGGAGGAGCAGCAGGCCATGGCCAAGGCTAAGGACACCCAGGAGATTGCAGCCGATGCCCAGAGAGATCTGGATGAAGCTCTCCCTGCTCTAGATGCTGCCTTGGCCTCACTCAAATCGCTCAACCGTAACGACGTTGTAGAGGTTAGTGTGTATTACATGACTTTTACTTGGCTTTCTGGTGTACTTCAGGCCTGATAAAAACCTGATTTAAATCGGTTTCCCAATTTTTTTATTTTTTTTTCCTGATTTTTTCCTGTCTACAAAGGCCACTTTTGGTGTTTCCCTTGGGTGGTCACTAAAGACAGGTCTGACTGTACTTTTGAAGCGGGTCTTTATGTCTAGATAATTTCCTTCCGTCTCTTCCCTCTCAATGACAGGTCCGTGCTCTTCAGCGTCCACCCAATGGTGTGCGTATGGTGATCGACGCCGTCTGCATCATGAGAGGGGTCAAACCTAAGAAGGTGGCTGGAGAGAAGCCAGGTTCCAAGATCGATGACTACTGGGATGCAGGCAAGGGTCTCCTGCAGGACCCGGGCAAGTTTCTCGAGAGTCTCTTCGGATATGACAAGGTCAGTATCTTCAGCTGTAGCAATTCCCTGTTATGTTCGATATTTTGAAGTTACTGGGGGATGTTTCACAAAGATCCTAAGTTGAACTTATCTCTAAGTTGGACTTAAAAATTATGGAGAGCCATTTGTAGCCTTATACAGAGTTAAGCCTTTTGTCAACTCTGTATGTTACTAAGGCAGGCAGCCAGTGAAAATGAACTTGTTTAATGAAATTATGGAAATGCAAGCATTACTTTAAACTAACAGAACTTTGTTAGTCCTGGCTCAATTTTTCTGATTGAGGTGTCATATGAAAGGGCAGAAATTGAACTTTCTAGAAATGTGATTTTCTCTTTGAAATTCAGATACCGCCCGCCAAAAGACTTTTTGGTTTCCTCTCTTCAAATTGTTCTTAATCACTCATGCGTGAAATATGCATCAAATGAAAGAAGAGGATCTAAGCTTTACAAATATGTGTCATTTATTAATTATAATTGCAATTAAGTTATGATAAACATCGATAGTTCTCGGTCTTGTTTTTTGTGGGACGCACTGAATATTCTCCTGTAATGACACTAACAATGTAAGTTATAACACATACAAGACCCAGATATTTTAACAACAAAAATCTGTAAGAGGGGTATGGAAATTAGATTTTTGGTCTCTTATGTACATGTATGACTCTCCATTTAAACTGTACAATTGGAAGTGATATAATAATAGAATTTTGATGTACTTTTAATACATTTTTCACATTTTGTTTCCCCCTTTGATTGATTCTGTAGGATAACATTCCTGACTCAGTCATCACCAAGATCCAGCCATTCATTGACAACGAAGAGTTCACTCCTGCAGTCATTGCTAAGGTCTCCAAGGCCTGTACCTCCCTCTGCCAGTGGACCAGGGCCATGCACAAGTACCACTTTGTGGCCAAGAACGTGGCACCAAAGAGGGTAAGTAGTAGTGTATACCCTTGCTTCCTTTTGCTAAAACTCTTGTTTGTGTTTACTGATCCTCCTATTTCCGCTCCCCTTAATTCTCTCCGTCTGTCACCTCTGACTGATTATCTGATTGTCTGATTGTCTGTCTGTCTCTCTCTCTCTTTTATACACACTCTGAATATGTACATTTCCCTCTCTCTTCCTCTCTCATCATCTTTATCCTCACCTTTGTCCCCTTTTCCTGTCTCTCCATTACCCCTTTTTCTTATCTGACAGTGAATGCTTCATAGGAGATATATGCTGTAGAAATATGGTTTACTATGGTTTACTGCAACTGCAACTGCAAGGAAAAGGCGCTATATCAAATATCTTTTGGATTGGATTGGATTGGATTACCTTCTCGTTCTTCTTCTTCTTCTTCATCTTCTTCTTCTTCTGCTTTTTCTTCTTCTTGTTCTTCATCTTTTTGTTCTTCATCTTTTTGTTCTTCATCTTCTTCTTCTTCATCTTCTCATTCATTTTCTTCTCCTACTTCTTCTTCTTTTTCTTCTTTTTCTCCTTCTTCTTCTTCATCTTCTTCATCTTCTTCATCTTCTTCTTCTCCTTCTTCTTTTTCTCCTCCTTAATCTTATTATTACTATTATTGTTGTTGTTATTATTATCACTTTTGTTGTTATGATCAATACTTATCAATAATAAATAATCTTATTACTGCTTATCTTAATTCCCACAGGAAAGTCTGCGTCTGGCTCGAGAGGACCTTGAGAAGACCCAGCGCATCCTGGATGCCGCCAAGGCTAACCTGAGAGAGGTAGAGGAGGGCATCGCTACCCTCAAGGCCAAGTATGAGGACACCGTGGCCAAGAAGGAGGAGCTCGAGAACAAGTGTGATCTCTGCAAGGCCAGGCTTGTCAGGGCTGACAAGGTAGATACTAGCTGTCCTCCTCTTCCAGGGGGTGTTTCACAAAGATCCGAAGTCGAACTTATCTCTAAGTTGGACTTAACAATTATGGAAAGCTGCTAGCATCTATGAAAATATTTCATGAAAGTTATCTTAAAAAGGCATAAAATGTTAATACAAATCAATCATTTTTTCTATTATCAAGAAGATTTCATGTTCTTAATGTGGAATTTATTAAAAGTCTATAATACTTAAATTTTTGCTTTTAAATATATTTTATGTTAAGGCTACAAATGGCTCTTTATAATGTTTAAGTCCAACAAGTTTGACTTAGGATCTTTGTGAAACACCCCTCAGATCTGTCAAATATTATTTATACAAAAAAAAAAAAAAATATGGATGTGATAAAATGTCTAAATTTAAGTATACAACTCATGATATATATATATAAGAGGTCATTTTAAAATTATAACAAAAGTGGCCATGCTCTGTCAATGAAAGGAATCAGAAATGTGCCTGCCATTCTGAACTCTAAAAAGTTGCTTGCTCTTGGAGCAATGACTATTTCAGGATTAATTCCTGATAGTTTTTAGATGTGAATTTCAATTTCTCTGTGTTCTTTTCACAGCTCATCGGTGGTCTAGCTGATGAGAAGGGTCGATGGCAAGAGTCTGTTGACTTCTTGGAGAAGGTCATTAACCAGATCACAGGAGATGTGCTGATATCGGCTGGCTATATAGCATACCTGGGACCGTTCACAGTAGGTGTCATTCTTCATTATCTCTTTCCTCTAGCTCTCACAGCAGTGTTTGTATGGAAGAGTGTGCGTATAGTCAATATATTATGGATTATTTTCATGTAGATTGTGGACCTACATGTTAAATAAAATAAATAAAAAGTACATTTGAAAATTGTTATCCTTGATAGTTTTCAGATAGAATCAAGCTGGTAAAACAAGATCTTTCACTTAGAATTTTGAATGGTAATGTTTCTTTCTGTTATATTTAGATTTGGCAAATTATGTGATGCACTTTTACCCAAAGTTCTATGTAGTTCCAAATTTAAATAACAACATCTGGGCATGCAAAATAGTTATTTGTACCAAATTATGAAAAAGATTTGATGTCTTGTTTACTTTTTATTCCAAACTTTGAATTGATTATTATACCTCAATGAGATAATAATAGTCTTTACGCTATATAACTCATCAGTAGTAATGTACATGTATGAAAATTAACCATGGAGTATTAAACAATTTCTTGCCATACACCGTACATCTCTCTCTCCTCTCTCCTCTCTCTCGTCTCTCTTTCCTTCCCGCTTTCCCTCTCTCTTTCCCTCATTCCCCTCTTTCCGTCACTCCCCTCTTTCCGTCACTCCCCTGTCTTCCTCTCTCGTTCATTATCTTGCACTCTCCCCCCTCTCTCTCACAGGGTGAATACCGAGCATCCCTCTCAGAGGAGTGGCAGTCTAAGTGCGGTGAATACCAGGTGCCTTGTACGTCCGACCCTGGCTTCATCCAGGCCTTTGGGGACCCTGTCAAGATCAGGACGTGGCAGATTGCTGGTCTCCCCCGTGACAATCTCTCCATAGAGAATGGTGTCATCATGCAGTTCTCACGTCGCTGGCCGCTCTTCATTGACCCCCAAGGTCAAGCCAACAAATGGATCAAAGCAATGGTAAGAATTAGATAGTGGGTCTGTCCTCATCAGCTCTAGATTACCAAATAGCCCGCTATTTCTGATTTGGGAAATAATCCAGAAGTTACAAATCGCATCTTCATCAGCTCGAGACTCAACCTCGAAACTTGAAACTCGAGCTTGAGATATTTTGCTCAGCATTCGCGCATAGTGCGAGTCTTCAGGCTGGTAAAGACACAACGTACAAATACCGGGATATTTTGCAAACTAGCCCAAGATATCTTGGGGTGATTTTCTCCACCAAATATCCTACTAATTGCAACTTCCAGCTGATGAAGACGCAAATTAACTGGATAATTTGCGATCGGGATAGTTGAAATAGCGGGATATTTAACAATCTCGAGCTGATGAGGACAGGCCTAGTGATGATTTTTTTCTTCTTCACTCTACCTACTTCTGCTTTGGCCTCAAAGATAGGCACAGAGAGGACCCATGATTGGTAGTCCCATAATTTCTTTTGTATACACTTGGTAACTGAAGATTTTGCATCATACCAAAGGGAAGTAGCTCATCAATTTGATTTTGAACCTAGGACCTCCTGGTTATGTCTCCATTTTTCTACCACTAAGCCATCATGCCTTGCTATGACAAAACCGTCAAATGTCACCTTGAATTTTTTTTGGTATACTGATACATAATGTACTACTCATTGAAAGTGACACATACCAAAACCTTTTCTGCCTAAAAGCTAGATATACTATCCCCAACTTTTTACATTCTTCTTTTCTGGGCTTTAATGACTTTGTCCAGACTGATAAGAGAGTATTACATAGTGATCAAGCCTTATAAGTTCTCAGTAAACGTGCTACAAATTTTTGTTAGTGTAGATTTGACTTTCAACTCTGAGCCTTTGAAGCTACTAATATTCTTGCTTGTGAATTCATTCAGTACTAATTTTTTATGGTTCCTTTGTAACTTCAACCGATAAAATGTGGAAAGGAAAAACAGTGTTTAAAAGCATTGTTTAACAATGTTAAATCTGAGGTGCACGGCCCTACGTGTTATCAGCGTCTGTGATATGGTGTAATATTGAAGCCCTAAAAAAATATGGCCCTTCAAAATCATCAAGAAGTGCCCCCAAAAATTTAAAATCTTTGAGTGACCGGTTTTACCATACTTGTTTTCCCATTAGACTGTAGTGTTATGAATACCATTAGGAAAACGCAAAATTTGGTTTCTATTTCCAATCATAAATATCTTAATAATCAGACAGGCGATCAGCTTGTAAAATACATGGGGTTCCTGACTGACTTAAAGGTTTATAATTATCATTGCAGCATGAGCTAAATCCCGGATTTTGTTACAGAATCTGAGACAAAGTTACTGGATCCCTTTAATGACAATCTCTCTGTTTTGTTTGCAGGAAAAAGACAATGGCATTGATATCATCAAGCTGTCTGATCGTGACTTCCTGCGCAGTCTGGAGAATGCTGTCCGCTTTGGCAAACCTTGTCTCCTGGAGAATGTTGCGGAGGAGTTGGACCCTGCCTTGGAGCCTATCCTCTTGAGACAGGTATATACCGAGAGATCTTTTCAGTAATTTTATGAACAGGGGGGTGTTTCACAAAGATCCTAAGTCAAACTTAACTCTAAGTTGGACTTAAACATCATGGAGAGTCACTTGTAGCCTTAGAATAAAATATATTCAAAAGCAAAAATTGAAGTATTTTAGATTTTTTTTAAATTCCACCTAAAGAACATAAAATCTCCTTGATAATACACAATATGAATGATTTCATCAACATTTTATGCCTTTTAAAATAACTTTTACAAAATATTTTCAAAGATGCTCACGGCTTTCCATAATTCTTAAGTCCAACTTAGAGATATGTTCAACTTTGGTTCTTTGTGAAACACCCCCCCCCCCCAGACCTTCTTCACCAATTTGCTCTTGACTAAATATAGTGAAAGAAACTTGTTAATACAGTGAAACCTGCCTATAAGGACTATCCAAGGGACACAAGAAAAGTGTCTCGGTTTATAGGCAGGTGATCTTTATGTACAGGTTCCTTTAGTTCATGTTCCAATAAGAAATCATTTTCAAAGGAAAGAAAAATGTGGTCTCTGTAGACAGGTGGTCTTTCTATACAGGTGGTCACTAAAGCAGGTTGACTGTAGTTGGAGTGCTTTCAGATGAATCTTACTTTGAAAGTCTCTTACAGGTTCAGGATTCTTTCTATATTCATGTTTAGCCTTGAAATAAGTCTATAATTGTTTCATTTCCTTATATGGTTGATGTCTTTAATATTGTACAGAAGGGATGATTGTAAAATGTTTCAAAAAAGTATCAGAGCATTGCATCTTTTTGAGGCTTAATAGATTTTTGCTTGTGTCACTTGATTTTTATGATGATTTGTTTATTATATTTTATTGAGATTGCATCAAAAATATTTATTTAACATCAATTTGCCAACATTTGTTGGCTGGTTCTTTGTTGAATAAAAACTGTTTTTCTCTTTAATGAGGATGGAAACTTGATTCTGGTAAATGTTACTTGACCTACATGATGATTTTGATGAATCATTGTGACTTCTATCTGAATGTCCTTTACTGAATCCAACCTTTCATCTTTGCCTCGATCCATACAGACCTTTAAGCAGCAAGGAAGCACCGTTATCAAGCTAGGAGATGCTGTCATCCCTTACCATGAAGACTTCAAGTTCTACATCACCACCAAGCTTCCCAATCCTCACTACACTCCTGAGGTCTCTACCAAGGTCACACTGGTCAACTTCACCCTGTCACCAAGGTAAGATCCTGGCCAGAGCTGCCGACCATTACGTTTTTCCTGAAATTATTCCATTTTTTTCTCCCAATTATGGTAGAAGGGGTACGTTCTTTCTTCATAATTTTTTTTTTTTTTTTTTTTTGCACGTAAATATTTAGCATTTGTTAGTTGTATGGAAGAGGGCCAAGATCTAGTACAGTGGTGCAGATGCTTGGATAAGTATCGGTGCAGCTAAATCCAAGATACCAAGTCTGATAGTCCAATTATATTTCAATTTAACCCTGTGCAGTGGTCTTGAAGATCAGCTCCTGGCCCGTGTGGTAGCTGAAGAGAGGCCTGATCTTGAAGAGGCCAAGAACCAGCTCATTGTGAGTAATGCCAAAATGAAGAGCGAACTGAAGGAGATTGAGGACAAGATCCTTGAGCGGCTGAGCTCGTCTGAGGGGAACCCAGTGGACGATGTGGATCTCATCCAGGTGTTGGAGGCATCCAAGGTCAAGGCCCAGGAGATCAAGGTCGGTAGCAATAAGATGTACTACGTAACTTGGGGTGTTTCAAAAAGATCCTAACTTGAACTTTGTAGCCTTAGAATAAAATATATTCAAAAGCAAAAATTCAAGTATTTTAGACTTTTTATAAATTCCACATCAAGAACATAAAATCTCCTTGATAATAGAAAATATGAATGATTTGAATCAACATTCTATGCCTTTTAAAATCACTTTTACAAAATATTTTCATAGATGCTAATGGCTTTCCATAAATGTTAAGTCCAACTTAGAGATAAGTTCACCTAAGGATCTTTGTGAACACCCCCCTGAGAGTGTATTCATTCATTGAACTCACACTGTAACTGCATAGTGGAACTTGTATATATTTTAACTCGAGCACCGACTCATGGATGGAATCTCAAATTAATTTTTAACCGGGGGGAAAAGGCGGTATATATAAATTGCAACTATTATTATTATTATTACTATAATTTCATCTATCTTTCAGGCTAAAGTGGTTGTTGCTGAGCAGACCGAGCGTGAGATTGACGAGACCCGATCTCAGTACATCCCTGTAGCTGTGAGGACCCAGCTTCTCTTCTTCTGTACCACAGACCTGGCCAGTGTGGATCCCATGTACCAGTACTCACTCGGCTGGTTCATCGGTATCTTCTTAGCTGGCATTGCCAATTCAGAGAGGGCTGGTAAGACTGCATATTACAATAATATTTATTTGTAAATTCTTTACAATTCAAAACCTTGAAAATTGTGAAGCAAGGTGAATTGGAATTAAAAATAGATGAGTGCTTTGACATTCTTCTTTTTAGAATCCAGGGCCTCGTTTTATAAAGAGATTGGATCAATCGCAACTTTTGTCCAATTGATTTCAATGGCAACAGTGTACGTAAGAGATAGAAGACTGCAAACTTGTGATTGGTTGGAGGACTTGCAATTGATTTGAATCAATCCCAACTCTTTATAAGACGGGGCCCAGGAGTTGTTATTTCTTTATTTATCATGTTATTTATCATAAATAAAGACGGGGAAAAGTGAAACGGTGAAAACAGTGAAAAGTGAAAACAGTGCACAGTGAAATACAGATCTTAACCATTTCAGGATGTGAAAATGATGTCAAAATACTAACGTTAAATCTGTTCCTATTTAACCTACTATTAATACTTCGCATATTCATTAGAGCCCTACTGCACTGAATATACTCTTTTGCACTTCTTGTATGTTTAGTATTGTCATGGGTAAGAAAATTTTTCTTTGATAAAATTTAAATCGTATAGTTTCCTTTATTTTCTTTTATGCACAGACAACCTGCCACAGCGTATCATCAACATCAATGAATATTTCACCTTCAGTCTCTACTCCAACGTGTGTCGTAGCTTGTTTGAGAAGCACAAGCTCATGTTTGCTTTCCTGCTCTGTGTCAGGATTCTACAGAATGAGGGAAAGATTAACATGGTAAGTAAAAAGAAGATACAAATGAGAAAAGAAGAAAAAAATCTTGAAGCAGTAGCAATTGTTTAAAAATCAATGTAGATAATTTATGTACATCAGAATGTGAAGTATATTAATGTTTAAATATGATAATAATGATGAGACTAATAATAATAATAATGATAATGACAATGACAATGATATTGAGAATGACAATGATAATGACAATAATAATGATAATGATAGTGATAATGATAATAATAACGATAATGATGATGATATTGATGGTAATAAGAATAATAATGATAAAATAGTCTTTATAGTGCTCTTCTTTGGCACGTTGCCACTCCTGGTGCTCCATTAAAATAAGTAATTTTACATTATGTGTTACAAAAAAGTAAATATGACATGCAGTAGTGCCATGGAGTAGTTGGGGAGTGTGTATTATATGGTATTGTAAGATTGATGAGATTTGGGAGAATATACCATCCATTAGGGGAAAGATGTAGGAGAGAGTCATACAACCTTCTTTTCATGTTCTTCCTTTTCCTTCTTTCTCTCTCTCTCTCTCTCTCCCTCTCATGTTGTCATCGTGGGAAGGGGGAGAGGGAATGTGCCTCCTCATGTCCCCAGCTACATCACAGCTTAGGTTATGTTTATTGTAATACACAGCTTTATTTTCTTTATAGGATGCCCTCAGCTGTGCCAATGTTCACATGTATTTAAGTGTTTAGATTTGTTGTGTTAATTTTTTTTGTATGCTGTTTTGTTTTGTATAGGATGAGTGGAGGTACCTGTTATCTGGTGGCCCAATCAAAGTAGAGCTTCCCAACCCAACACCAGATTGGCTGTCGGAGAGAGCTTGGATGGAGATTCTCTCGCTTAGTGCCCTGGTAAGATATGTTGGAGAGATAGAAGTAGAAGGACAAAGATGGATCGAAATATGGAGGGAAACACTTCTTTAAAGAAAACTTGACCATAATACAGTACATGCACATACTGTATGCAGGCCTGATAATTACCCAATTTAAATGGGTTTCCTGATTTTTTGGATTTTTTTTTCCCCCCAAATTTTTTTCTTCCCCCTATTTTTTTTTCCTTCTGATTTTACCCTGATTTTCCCCAATTTTTGCACTCTAATATGTTGTTAGATGCCATTTTTTCACTCAAGGGGGGGGGGGGGGTTAGTGCTCACATCCCTAATGTGATATAATTCCTATTCATAGAAAACAGATTATCAGTTATCTGTAGTCAGGGAGAGAACATAGTGTGTGTATATTTGAAAAAAGAGATATAGAGAGACAGAGAGAAAGAGAGAGATATAGAGAGGCAGACAGAGAAAGGATATTTTGTCCAAGGGATTGTATGTGAGATCATCATAATTTTACCTCCGTTATACAATAGATCTGATATTATTCACTTTTAATCACGTACTCCAATCTTCTTTCAGGATACATTTGTAGAGTTTGCCAAAGACTTTGGAAACCATTCTGCAGCTTACAAAGCCATCTTTGACAGTACTGAACCACACAGGTAAAAAAATAAGCTGCAATTTTATCTAATGCTTGAAGATTTTAATGAGTTTTGTGTAATGGTTGTTCAATTTGTCGGATTCGTCTGTTCTCTGAAAACATGAGGGTAAAGTGATGCACTGCAAAAATGCCTTAAAAAAGGCAAGTCAATGGATCTACGGCTTTTATAGGTAATTGGGGACGAGTATCTCATCAAAGGGCATTAACAATTTGCCTTTGTTTTTATGCCTCCGCCACCGAAGGTGGTGCCGGAGGCATCATGTTTTCGGGTTGTCCGTCCGTACGTCCATACGTCCGTCCCGTTTGACCGTTAGCGCGATATCTCAAGAACCATTTGAGATTTAAACTTCAAACTTAAGGATAGTATGTATCACCATAGGAAGACGATCTGATTAGATTTTGGAGCACGTATGTCAAAGGTCAAGGGTCACAGAGGTCAACTTATGAAATTCCATACATTGAGATTGTTATCATGATATCTCAAGAACCACTGGAGATTTAAACTTCAAACTTAGTGATAGTGTGTATCACTATAGGAAAACAATCTGATTACATTTTGGAGCACGTAGGTCAAAGGTCAAGGGTCATAGAGGTCAACTTATGAAATTCCATACATTGAGATTGTTATCATGATATCTCAAGAACCACTGGAGATGTAAAAACTTCAAACTTAAGGATAGTATATATCACCATAGGAAGACGATCTGATTAGATTTTGGAGCACGTAGGTCAAAGGTCAAGGGTCACAGAGGTCAACTTATGAAATTCCATACATTGAGATTGTTATCGCGATATCTCAAGAACCACTGGAGAATTTTCACTTCAAACTTAATGATAGTATGTATCACCATATCATAATATCTCAAGAACCACTGGAGATTTAAACTTCAAACTTAATGATAGTGTGTATCACCATAGGAAGACAATCTGATTAGATTTTGGAGCACGTGGGTCACAGGTCAAGGGTCACAGAGGTCAACTTATGAAATTCCATACATTGAGATTGTTATCATGATATCTCAAGAACCACTGGAGATTTAAACTCCAAACTTGTTTAAATTGCTCTATGGCGGAGGCATCATTTTCGACTGCGCGCAGTCAAAATTCCATCTAGTTTAATTCACTGTTCTGCCACTGAGCCATCTCAATACAGGTTACATTCAGTGTAATTTTAGAGACTCTAAGAGTATACTTAAATATACAAAATATTGCACATTTTTCTTCTTGTAGGGAGCCTTTACCAGGAAATTGGAACACGGACCTGGACGACTTCCAGAAGATCCTGGTCCTGAAGTGCATCCGGGCGGACCGTGTCACCAACGCTATGCAGGACTACGTGGCCACCAACCTCGGTCAACGCTTCATCGAGCCGCAGACCGCCGATCTGGGCGTGGCGTACAAGGAGTCGTCTCCAACCACGCCCCTGGTCTTTGTCCTGTCCGTGGGAACTGACCCGGCTGCCGACCTCTACAAGTTTGCTGAGGAGATGAGGTTCTCTAAGAAGCTGACCTCTATCTCTCTGGGTCAAGGACAGGTCAGAGTTTAAATTATAATGTATTCTGTCTTTTAATGTGGATTTGGTGTGAATATATATCTGCTGTATTCAAACATTGCTAACACCTATGTTGCATACACATCAGTTTGTACCAAGATATCGTGAAACAAATTCTCATGGTAAATTCCTAACATTTTGACTGTGTTGAAGCCCAAATTACTGTATCTAACTTGGCTCCATTTTTCAATGTTCTGAAGAAGAAAAACTCTTCAACTGTGAGGTTTTCTTATCTTGCTAAGCAAACAGTTTTATGAATGTGGAAGCAGGTCTGCATAGGAGGTAGACACAGAAGGTCTGGCTTCATCAGCTGAGTTGGTTATTTGGCCAACTCTGGCTGATGAGGACAGACCTAGAGGACCAAATATGAGTAAACCACCTTCAGAGTTATTTCAAACACGTTCCCATTTGTATGTGAATTTCTGTCAGTAAAGAAGTGAAATGGATTACCCGGATCACAAATACCAATGAAAGAGAGAGAGAGAGAGAGTGAATGAGTATGGAGGAAAATCATTCTTGTGCAGTATCACTCAACCTCTACTTCGTACACTCTTTATACTGTACAGGGACCAAGAGCTGAGGCTCTTGCAAGGAGTGCCATGGATCGTGGAAAATGGGTGTTCTTCCAGAACTGCCATCTGTCACCCTCCTGGATGCCTGCCCTTGAGAGACTCATTGAGAACATTGATTCTGACAAGGTATGTGCCTGCCAACTCTTTCGAATAATCCAGAATATTCTGATTTTCTGGATTCGTAGGACCTAATTGAGAGTTCACGTATTGCGTCCTTTAAATGGCTACATGATCGAGCAGTGAATTAGTATTTGTTGTTTTTTGTACAGATTTACCGCGTATTGCCAGTTACATGTACACTGTGGCTGCATGTGCGAACGCCTGTTAAAGGTACAGATTTCTTATTTTCGAAGGCATTACCGGGCTAGAAATTCCTAATTCTTATTTTCAAATGTTGGCAGGTATGGGGTATGTGACCCTGCAGAGTATGTGAGTTACATCACAAGTGGTTTAGCTTTCAAACTTTGCAGGGCTTCTAGGTGATTCCTCTAAGCCACATTTGCCACGTGCAGCTCATCAGGGTTTTTTTTTTGGGGGGGGGGGGGGAGCATTGCCATTATAGTTGTCATATTTTAGAAAAAGCCACCCTGGCAGGAACTTGTCACTGTGCTCCATATTAAAGGTAATACAAAGTTTTGGGAAATTTTGAAAATTGGGTTGATATTGATTCTTTACAATTTGGATATATTTGGATGCCCCTGTGGATGTATTATAAGCACTAGAAAATTTAGCCCCTAATACACTTCTGCTTTTGAGAAAAATTGAATATACAAAATTACCGGTTCTCCCGGTAAATTTTGATGAATTTCAAATAGCGCCTACGGCCGTACAATGGTAGCTGCGAGAATGAAAATCTCAGAATATGTAGTTGTGATATAGCTAATCGGTTGATTTTAGTCAAGAAACATTGTTTTATAGCTTAATTAAAATCTTGACCTTAAGAGGGAGCTATACAACATAAATAGTATATTATTTACAATATCATAACTCTAAACTCGATTTCAACCGCGACAATGATCACTGATTATTGCAGGATCGCATGTGCATCCAATATGTTCATTTGAACCAAATTCATGACCCCATACCAAAACTTTGTATTACCAGGAATGAGTGATAAGCAAAAGGTTCCTCAACAGGTCTTTTCTATTGCTTTGAACACCATGATTCTTGTATTAACACTTTGTATCCAATGCCTTTCAGCCTTTGGACTTTGAGAATAATATTAGATCAATCAAATCTTTGTAGTCAATCACAATCATGAATAATCTGATATGTCAGGGTTTTTTTATCAAAAAGAAATCTTTTAAAAAATTCTTACATTTGTATTGTTCGGTTTAGATTTAAAAACTGTAGGTGAGACTCGAAAATCTGTCATATTTCATTTCAATTAAACAAATCTTTTCCTCTTGTGATTATTGCTAGGTCCATCGTGACTTCCGTCTGTGGCTGACCAGTATGCCCAGCCCCAAGTTTCCAGTAGCCATCCTTCAGAACAGCTCTAAGATGACCATTGAACCTCCTAGAGGTCTCAAGGCTAACCTCCTACAGAGTTACACTAGTCTGAACGATGACTTCCTCAACTCATGCATTGGCAAGGTGAGTAGTGTGGCTTGTTAACATTGAAGATATCATAATACGCCTGACTGTCTGAAGGAAAACTGTGCAAGTATTATTGCTTCTTTTTCCGTTGGAGTACATCCCTCTTACAGAGTATTGTCGTACTTTGTGCAGAAAAAGTGCACTGTCGCAGGAACAAGTGCAAGGGAAGTGCGGTGACAAAAAATAAGAAAAACTCAAAGCTAATGTGCAAGTAAAAACAGCATCTTTCACTTAGCGAAGAGTGACTGAAGAGAGGCGCTATTGGAGACCTCAATAGATTGGACCGACACCGCTGTAGATGGGAGAACATTCCAGAGACAGACCACGATTGCATAATAATTTATATTGTTAACTTGATCAGTACCCTGCAGTTGTTAATTTATGGATGATACTATCATACCATAATATTGAGCATTTAATTAAAATGGATAATGGCGCTATATAAATCTCATGTATTATTATTATTAATATCATCAAAAGGTTATTAGTTTGTATCTAGAATTCATAAGTGCTAATAAATTATGTAAACTAGCTTTACTCAACTGTTTACTAGTGAAAAATGGACAGATAGTGTCGGAAGAGTTTCACAGTTCTGATATGTGGTTTAAACAAAAAGTTCTCTGTTAATCAAAGCTGTCAGGACTTTTGCTTTCTTTTTTGGCTGTTTTGTATTGAAAGTTTTGTTTATTGGAAAGAAAAGACAATCTTATTGTGTGACTGATAGAACAATATCTGTCAATCCTGTTCTGATCTATTTCTCTCATCTTTACAGACACATGAGTTCAAGAGTCTACTGCTGTCCCTTTCCCTCTTCCATGCCATCGCCCTAGAGAGGCGCAAGTTTGGCCCCCTCGGTTTCAACATCCCTTATGAGTTCACCACCGGAGACTTGAGGATCTGCATCAGTCAGCTCAAGATGTTCCTCATGGAGTACGAGGACCATGTGCCTTTCAAGGTAAAACTCAGTCCTACATCAAAATGGGATATTGCTACAGAAAAACCTGTCTACAGCGACGGCCCAAGGGAAACACAAAAAGTGGTCTTTGTAGACAGGTTCCTTTGGTACATGTTTCAATGATAAACCATTTTCAAGGGAAACAAAAAGTGTGGTCCTTTTAGACAGGTGGTCACTAAAGCAGGTTTGACTGCATTACCTTAATTTTCGTTACCACAACTATGGTATTTGGCCTTAGAGGGCAGCAACGGCCATGGGTATATTTGGCAAAGGCACTTCCGGTTCCCATACAAATACAACGAGTCGAGAATGGGAAAAATGACAACTGAAGAACATTGAATTGTTCAACAGGGGGGTGTTTCACAAAGATTTTAAGTCAAACTTGACTCTAAGTTGGACTTAAATATTATGGAGAGCCATTTGTATTTTGTAGCCTTGTAATGAAATATTTCAAAAGTGCAAATTCAAGTATTTTAGACTTATCATAAATTCCACATCAAGAACATGAAATCTCCCATGATAATAGAAAATATAAATGATTTGAATCAACATTTTATGCCTTTTAAAATAACTTTTACAAAATATTTTCAAGGATGCTAACGGCTTTCCATAATTGTTAAGTCCAACTTAGAGATAAGTTCAACTTAGGATCTTTGTGAAACACCCCCCAGGAGTTTATACCAGTCAGTTGACATGCAGTGAGACGAGTGACAAGATTATGCACTCTTACTTATCTTTACACTTCAATTTTCAACCCCTCTATGTGTAGGTATTGAAGTACACCGCTGGTCATATCAACTACGGTGGTCGTGTGACAGACGATCGAGACAGACGTTGCATCATGAACATCTTGGCTGATTACTACTGTGATGATGTTCTGGAGGAAGGCCACAAGTACTCTGAGTCAGGCATCTACAATCAAATCCCAACTAACCACGATCACAACGTGAGTCACTATAGTCAAGACGTTTATTATTTAACCCTTAAAGTGCTGTGGAGCAGCAGAATCTGTCCCCTGTATGCTTTACATGATACGTCAGTGAATTGAATACAATATATAATTTGAGCTTTCATGTCTGTAGTCATGAACATCTTTTGATACCAAATTTACATAATTCAAATCATCAGGTACTGTGCACTCAAAAGCTGCAGCACTGCAAGCAATCTAGCGAAATATTTTCTATGCAGATTTGTAAAAATATGGTAAATATGTACACGTATGTATGTATTAAAGTAAGTGATTAAGACTGATCCTATCAAACTGCATGGAATATAGATATGAAACTTAATGGGCTCTATCTACATGCCATATTCAAAAATTTTGTTTTTCCAGTCATATCGCTGAATTATTCATTTTATTCTCTATGATTGCAATGTTTAACCTTCAAACCATGAGAAACAAATATATTTATTCTGTATTATATTACCTTTACCTTTCTTTTTGTTATTGACTTTTTGAACTTCAAAGCAAAGCTTTCCAGATAAGATTGATGTATTAAAGACCGTCTGCACTAGTTTGGCCATGGGGATTAGACTTCCCTGCAAGGTCACTGACAGGTGCTTATCTCATCAAATCAGCTCTCAATTAACATAAGAAAAAGGGGATCATGGGGGACCAACAGGCACCGATTAGGCATTATTTGATATATAGAGGGTGCAAGTAGCTTTAAGCAGTGCAGTGGGGCTTTAAAACAAAAATGTTAACCTATCTTTGTATAATATCTGTGTGACTGTTTCACTTGACAGGGTTACATGGCCTTCATCCGAAGCCTCCCCATCAACGATACCCCGGAGATCTTCTCTCTCCATGACAACGCCAACATCACCTTCGCTCAGAACGAGACCTTCACCACCCTCACTAACATCATGAAGCTCCAGCCCAAGACAGCATCGGGAGGCGGGAAGTCACGGGAAGAGGTAGGTTAGAGATTCCTTAGATGCGATGTAGGGACACACAGTCTTCTTCTTTCATATAACATGTTGCTGTTAAAGCCCGTCTGCATTAGTTTGGCCAGGGGATTAGACCTCCCTGCAAGGTCACTGACATGTAGTTATCTCATCAAATCAGCTCTGTATTAACATAAGAAAAAGGGATATGAGTGCAATATGATCTCCCAGTCCAGGGTCCCGTTGCATAAAACTTACCATTGATGGTAACAAAATCACCATGATGATAAAAATTACCATTTTAATAATGTGATAAAATTGATACTTAAGTGCCTCGATACAAATTATTTCATGAATCATTGTATTGTATATGTTACATGTTGTTAGGTAGGGCAAGCCATACTGTTTGTCCTACCTAGCAACAAATTGTGACTATTGAGATACATTTATTCGTGAACAGGTGAATGAAATAATTTGTATCAAGGAGTTTCACAAAGGCATATGCATGAATTAGCTTACATTTAAAAAATTGCCTATGATCACATTGCATAGATACTGTGACAACATGGTTTTGAGAACTTTGTGTTTTGTAATGTATCCTTTTAACCCTAGGTTATTGAGGAGTCAGCTATCAGTATCCTAGCCAAGGTTCCCCAGCCCATCGACGATGCCATGGTGTCCAAGAAACATCCTGTGATGTATGAGGAATCCATGAACACTGTACTTATTCAAGAAGTAATCAGGTAAATGAATCACTGACACTCCCCCTCCATCACTCCCTCCTCCTTGTCTATCCCCCTCCTTGAGCACCCTCTACTATCCCACCTCCCTCCTCCACCCCTCCCGCTTAGCCAATGTTTCCCAGTCCATCGATGCTGTCATGGTGTCCAAGAAGGAATCCATGGACACTGTACTCAATAAAGAAGTTATCAAATAAATCAATCACTCACACTCCCCCCTCCCTCCTCCCTGTCTACCCCCTCCTTGAGCATCCTCTACTATCCCACTTCCCTCATCCATCCCTCCTCCTCTTCCCCTTCTATCTCTCCTTCTGCCTCTTAGGCAAGATTTCCTAGCCCATCGGCTCTGTTATCTGTTAAGGTAACAAGAAACATCTTGTAATGTATGAGGAATCCATGGACACTGTACTTCTTCAAAATAGGAGATATCAACTTGTACATCGTACCTTCATGTAGAGGTGTCGTGGTTGAATGGATATGTTATCGGACTGTTGAGGCCCGCGGTTCGAGTCCCGCCATTGATCTACATTTGCCACACTCAACCCAGGTGATGTAAATGGGTACCTGGCAGGAATTAATTCCTGGAAATGCTAGAGTGCCGTAATGGCAGCCGGGCTAAAGCGAGGGTAATAATCGGGAGCGCCAGTAGTGTCAAGTCTGACAGACATGAGAGCTATACAAGAACCCACTTTTATTATTATTATTTATATTCATTCAGGTACAACCGGTTGCTGACAACCATCCATAGCACCGTGAAGAACCTTCTGAAGGCTCTCAAGGGTCTGGTGGTTCTCTCTCTGGAGCTGGAGACCATGTCTAACAGTATCTTTAACAACACTGTCCCAGAAATGTGGGCTGGCAAGGTAGGTGTCAGAAACACATTGATTACTTGACTAACTAACTGATTAAAAGTAATACAAAGTTTTGGTATGGGGTCATGAATTTGGTTTAAATGAACATATATTATGTGATCCTACAATATTAAGTGATCGTTGTCGCGGTTGTAATCGAGTCTAAAGTTATGAAATTTTAAATAATAAACTCTTTATGTTGTATAGGTCCCTCTCAAGGTCAAGACATTAATTAAGCCTTAAAACAATATTCTTTGGCTAAAATCGACCGATTGGCTATTTCTGTTTGGAAATTATATATCACAACTACATATTCTGAGATTTTCATGGTCGCAGCCACAATTTTATGGCTGTAAGCGCTATTAGAAATTTATCAAAATTTACCGGGAGCACCAGTAAATTTTGATATTAAATTGTAGGGGCTAAATTTTCTAGTGCTTATAATAGATCCACAGGGGCATCCAAATATATCAAAATTGTTAAGAATCACTATCCAGCCAATTTTCAAAATTTCCCAAAACTTTGTATTACCATTAACTTTTTTTGTATTTACTGTGCAATTGCAAAAAATAGCCACTTCAGGTATCAACATATAAATGTTTCCTGCTGGTCACACCAGCAGTCCCTGTATGGGGATTCCCAAACGGGCCAATCAAATTGCTTTGCTGTAGCTCAGTATTTTCATTAGCTGTTTCAGTCTTAATTATTGTCTTAATTATTGTCTTAATTCACAATTGATTGTTGATGGTACATGAATATTTTCTGAGATAGCAAGTATAGGTTTGTAAGTAAACTCTACATGACCCGCCACAGTTTGAGATTCTACATGTGTAAGAGATACTACGTTATGTAGAGCTGTTGCCTTAAGACACTGGCACATTAACTTGTTCTCTAAGTCAGACTCGGATTCAGACTTATCCCGACAAGGTTAGCGTAAGGGATAGGGTTTGTTCATCTGACTAAATATGCATAAAGATAGTTTATAGTTAAAATTCTACTAAAAAACGTTCATCAATATTATTTATATGCTGCTTATAAGTATCGGCTTGCGTGATGATGTAGATATACAGTAGGCTTATGGTTGCAACATGTGAGAGGGGGGGGGGGGGATTGGGGAGTCCTAAAAAGGGCTGGTGGTAGTCTTGAAAAAGAATTTTGGTAACATTTTTTGTTACTTCACAGCACCGGTTGGAGAGGATGGGTAGTAGGAGTGGTTCAACGTTTCAAATAGGCTGACTATCCGTCGTCGGGAGTGGGAATAGCTGGATTGTGTGGGCTTAAATCACCGGGTTGCTTAGAACTATAAGCTCAAGAAAGATTACCAACAGTCTTTTCTCTCTATCTTCCTTGCTTAGGCGTACCCATCCCTGAAGCCACTGTCCTCCTGGGTAACCGATCTGGTGGAGAGGATGAAGTTTGTCGAGTCCTGGATCTACGAAGGCATCCCCAGCGTCTTCTGGATCTCTGGTTTCTTCTTCCCTCAAGCCTTCCTGACTGGAACCCTGCAGAACTACGCCCGTCGTGCCATCATCTCCATCGATACCATTGGATTTGACTTCCAGGTAGGACACCCGCTGACTCATAAAACATTCTGATAAAAAACAAATGCCAACATTCTGTAAGGAATTTGCTCTCAGCTTTTGTAGTGTATGTAGTGGTGGTTATTTTACTTGACTGCCAGATCCCTGTTTCATAAACTTGCAAACGAGAATGGCTTAATCCTTTCATCTTTATTACCTCTTTGATATCCATAAATCAGGAATCCAAAAATATTGATGTGTGTATCAATTATTTGTGTGTTATAAGATACATACATTTGAAGCGCATTAGGCCTATATGGCATTGTACTTTGCTGTGTTGTTTTCCTACAGCTATATGTGTACAAAGCTTTAGACAGTTTTAAATCTAGGGCTATTTTGTAAGTTGCTGTTAAGTCAATCTGTATCCTCTTGATTCATTGATGAAATCTATAGGTCAGGAAAGAACCGGCTGAGCAGCTGACCGAACGTCCTGAGAGTGGTTGTTTCATCCGAGGCCTGTATCTTGAAGGAGCTCGCTGGGAGTATGATTCTCACATCCTGGCAGAGTCCCGGCCCAAGGAACTCTACACCGACATGCCTGTCATGCAGCTCATCCCGGCAGCCAACCGCAAGGAACCTGAGAGTGGGATCTATGTCTGTCCAGTCTACAAGACTCTCACAAGAGCAGGTGTGTATATAGTCATTCAGCCAGGGGGGTGTTTCATAAAGCTGTTCGTAAAGTTACGACGTGAATATGAAGTGCCAGATAGGATGCCCAAAGTTTTTTCTGATGTTTTAACAAAGTGTGACTACATTTCCAATAACCTCAATTAAATTATGACCAAAAATATACTTTGCATTAAACATGTTTGTTATAATTAGAATGTATCCACATCTGCACAGTTCAATTTTAGTTGATGCAGTTAAAAATGATTGAGCATCCCATTTGGCTTTCATATTTAAGTCATTCGTAAAGTCATGCGTAACTTTACAACAGTTTTATGAAGCACCCCCCTGGACTATAATCATCATCTGGTGATACATTTGAAAATGCTCCATCATTTGGATATATTTATATTAATATTGGAAACTTAAATGATGGACATACAGAAAGAAATATTCAAAAGAAGAAAAAAAATTACATTTTCCAGCGCTTGGCCATCCTAAAATCTGTTACAGTTCCACCTGAAGACATTACCCTTGTGTTGCTAAGCTAAATAGCCATTGCTTGACATACGCCCTGGCACAAGCTTAGAACCCTTGATGTAATCATGGCTGCAGGGTTTTGATGTAATAATGCTTTTTAAATTAAAGTGTGTAATATATATAATTGCTTTATTCTAAAAATCTATTATTTTCATAAAATTATCATAAAAATACGTGACAGCATGTTGATGGCTGCATAATTTGGTGTACAGTGAAGTATTGTTTTAATCCTGAATTTTCTTTCTTTTGATTAATCTTTCTATTGCTTATGCTATTATATTTTTTTCTTTTTGCCCTACAGGTACCCTCTCAACCACTGGTCATTCAACCAACTATGTCATCGCCGTGGAGGTGCCTACAGACAGGAAACAGAACCACTGGATTAAGAGGGGTGTGGCTTTAATCTGTGCTTTGGATTACTAAGCCAATATTATGAATACCGTCATAAAGGACCCTTGAATACATCACATTCAAATATGTAGTACTAAGACTCATATGCAGAGGAAATGAAAGTACAGATGAAACATAACTACTGGATTAAGAGGAGTGGGCTTTAATTTGCACCTAGATTACTAAGCCAACACTATCCAGATTATCACATGGGAACTTCAAGCAAACATTTCATTTTAAACGACTGATATTTAAAAAAATAGGGCCCATATTCAGTTCAATATGGGGATTAAGTCATTATTTCAGTTAGCACTTTCCTTGGCTAAGTAATGTATCTTGACTCATATTCAGATTACATTTGAGAATTTTACTTAAAGCCTCGGTCACAAATGCCATTACGAACTGCTACGAACGCCGTACGAACGATTTTCAGACAATGGAAATTCGGAAGACAATGGAAAAACATGGAGATTCGTACAAAATTATTGTTCGTACGAACGTTTGTGACCGTAGCATAAGCTAGCCAACTTTAAGGCAAAATACTTACTGATTAGCTTTGTGACCTCACATGGTCAATCAAAAATAATATGCAACTAATGCACGCTAATACAATTGTGCGCAGCTTATAATGACTGTGTATGAAAATCACAGAACTGTCAATCAAGGCATCCAAAATTGATGGCTTAAGACAGCTGGGGAGCTGTCTTAAACTCAGGGTAAAATACTTAGCCAAAAGCTTCAACTGAATACCAAAGTTGGCTAAACATTTTACCGAAGCCGGAAAGTGAGTTAAATACTAATATTTTCTGAGATAAGTATTGAATTAAATACCTGGTCAGGTTTTTACAAGAATATAAATGGAACAACACCTAAGAGATAGTCGTAAGGATTCTGACTTCTTCATGCTTGAGCCCAAACTATCAAGTTTGACACTTTTTAAAGGAATTGGAATTCATTACACTGAGATTGTAGACGAGGGACCGAATTTCCAGAGAAAATATTCATGCCAGGTTTACTGCTAAAGCTGTGCTGAGGTGTCTTATTGATAAATCACATGCATTTGAATATTCAAAGAATTCCCAATTTGTTATGGTTTATAAGTTGAGTGTAGATAAGAACTTGATGTGCTTGCTCAGACATTTTTTGCATTGTTTTATCTTGGGATTTGTGTGTAATGCTTGATTGTAAATATGATGTTTCATTGAGCCCCACACTCACCAAGAAGTGTACCTTATAGAGGTGTTGTGGTCTAGCGGATACGTCACTGCATTTGTGCATCACATGGTTCGCAGTTCAAGTCCTGCCACAGCACTAATGTCCTTAGGCAAGACATTTCCCTACATTTTCCACTCTCCACCCAGGTGTAGTAAATGGGTACCTGGTAGGAATGTATTCCTTGAATGCTAAAGCCAGGGTGATAATACTACTTTGTAGTTTGAAGGTGCCTTGAGCATCCCCTGGGATGGTGCAGAAAATAAATGTAGCTATTACTATTATTGTTATAATATGTTTGTATTTCCCTTTATCACCTTGTGTCCAATACTCTGGGAATACAATGAATTTTTTGACCAAAGAGAGAAATATTATTGATGTATATTTAATTTCCACTCTTATTGTTAGTCAACTGAATATCACTACTTCCGTTTAACCATGCAAACTGTTTACATGTAACTCGCTGTGTATGACAATTGACAATGCACTGAAGTGGTACCGACTTTTTCGATTTTTAACCATTCAACTGCCTAGTATTGAGGCTAAATCAAATAATTAGTTTAAGCATTTCAGACATGTATTCACCATACCTGAATTAATGTATGTAAATATCAATCTATATTTGTATGTATATATATTGTAAGTAAATAAACAAAAGATGAAAGTTTTATTATGTAAATAATACTATGTTTTGTATTTATATGCATTATTCTATCAAAAATAAATATCTATGGGGATTTCAGGTTGTCCAGAAAATGCTAAAGGAGTTAGTTCACAAGAAACATTTCCGTCCACATAAAAACATAAACATTATTATAGCACATCTGTTTGTATGATGTGTGTGGCTGTTTTCCCCTGTTAAAATTATTAAAACAAAAGTATGCTTTTTCATGAATTTGTATGTGAAATGAATAAATAAATGATTAAATTCATTCCTCGAAACAAACATCTAAATTTGAATTTGTGTTTTGATGTGCATTCTTAAAAGTAACTCCATTTATTATATAGTTCAGGTCTAACTTGTAGGTAGATTGAAATTGTTATTTCAACACTACATGACATGTAATATATTCTTCAGACTGGGACCACTTATATGCATTTGATCATAAAGAAGATTTTTTTTTTGTAGAATTTTTTTTTGATTTTCCTGAACAAATTGTGTTTGAAAACAAGTGTCGACTCTTTAATATAATGCAAAAACATAATTTTTCTTCACACAATACATATACATATACAATACAATATGCTTACAAATGTATTATTTCATCCAGCCCCCCCCCCCCCAAAAAAAACAAAAAACAAAACAAAACAAAACAAATTACCAACAGAAGCATCGAACTGAAATGACATTTATAATAAATATACTTTTAGGATCATTTATATTATAAATGTAAATCTGCTCTCAATACTGACAGACGCATTGCTAGTTTTCAAAGCTATTAAAAGTAACTCATGTATACAACGTTACTCGATATAGTTGAATTTCCTTACTTAAATAATCTGAATTAAAAGAAGAAAGTTGTTCATGAATTGCTAAATAATGGGAATATAAACAAATTTTAAACTAGATTAAATTCAAACCTAAGGAAATATTTGGCTTTTAACGATCAAGCACGTTATCCCGTATTTAGTATTTTCTTATCTACGAATGGTTAGGTTATTTGACTCAATATTTCGTTGAAATACTATTATAAAACACAAATAGCGATTGTACTTATAATTAACGTAGATATTAACAAAATAAATGTAAATTGTTCCTGCGAAGAGAGTAACGCAAACGGATCATGCATGATTCTCCGACCATGATTTCGGCCGCCTTCATAAAGGTCAACTCTATCTGAAGTTTGTGGCCTGATTCCCCCTCCCTCTTTTGGGGGAAAGGGGAAGGGGGGGGGGGGGTCCGGTTAAAGTTCCTCCCCACCAGGGCTCAAATTAAATTTTTGTCCACGGGGGCTCTTCCAAAAAAAATAGCCCCCGTGAACCTTCTCACGGGGGCTCTTATTTTAATACAAATTTCCATTGGATTGGTACCTATGAAACTCCTAAATTCCTTGGTATTTTATCATTATCATTTATTTAAGTCGGCATTCTCCCTCTTAGAAATTTACTTGTTACATAGCTGTATATTTTTATCCCCGTAATCAGTGGCGGATCCAGGGGGTGGGGGGGGGGCGGGGGCCGCCCCGCCCCCCCCCCCCCTGGGCCCCGTCCCCCCTGGCCCCCGCCCCCCCCCCCCTCCTGGGAAAAAAGAAGGGGGAAAAAAGGGGAATTTTCTTCTTTCTTTTTTTGGAAAAAAGAAGTGTTCCTTTCCCACTTGTATCACAGAGAAACAACAGTTTAAGTTAAGTCTAACGTTAACGTTAATTTGTTATTAAAATGTAGAGTACAGCCCTTGGCCTTTTAGGTCGTAACTGTTACTGTTTGAAAATCTAAAATAAAATTAGACGGTTTTCATGGTTAGACCAAATAATTGAGAAAAAAAGTTTAACCGTCACTGAGACCAGGTTAATCAATCTTCTAGATCCATTATTATTAGGTATTAGATATAAGGTAGATGCAGGCGCGGATCCAGCGGGGGTGAGCGGGCCTTGCCCCCCCCCCCCCCCTTCCGCAAAAGAGAGAGAGAGAGAGAGGGAGAAGGAAAAGAGGGAAAGGGGAAGAGGAGAGAAAGGGAAAGAAAGAAGAAGAAGAAGAAAAGAAAATGGAGAAGTAGGAGATCGGGGGGGGGGGGGCGAAAGGGCCTTGCCTCCCAGGCTGTTGCCTCCCCCAATAAACAAAGTAAGAGAGAAGGAAGGAAGAAAATGGAAAGAAAAAAGGAAAAGAGGAGATAAAGGGAAGGAAAATTGACGAAGAAGTAAAGAAAAGAAGGGGGATATCATGCAGTTGTAATTTTCCCACCAACAAGTTGCGGATGGGAGTGGGGCAAAAGACCTTTGCCTCCCCCCGCCCCCGCTAAAAAAATGAGAGAGAAGGAAGGAAAAGGAAAAAAAGGAGAGCTAAAAGGGACCAAAAAAGAGGAAGAAGAAAAAAGAAGGGTGAAAAGAATTTGGATGCGGTGTTCGAGTAGAATTCTGTGAGATGATGATATACTTTCTCGTAGTTTGATGTGACGAAGTGTCTCTATCCAGATATCTCTTGATAGTTTTATAGAATATAGAAGCCTGATATGACCTTGAGCTCGTAACCGACAAGTCACCGCATTAAAATTAAATTGCAAATAGTGTTCAACAACACGATGGTGGATGAAACTTTCTAATATTCGAAGATATATGACCCTCAGACCATATCGTTTCATTATTTTTTATTGAATCAATCAACGTCAAAGAATTGATTCATCATCGCACTTCAATTTATTATTTCACCTTTTAATGTACTTTCATTCTTATGCATCACGGAAGAACACTGAATTGGATTCTTCAATGTTTGTTTTGATTAATTTCCTCCCCTTTCCTTCTCCCTGTTTAATACTGACAAAATTTTCAATTTTTCTTAATCAAGGCAAAATATTATTTTCATATTTTCTTTATGCAAGACAGGGAGAGAGAGAGAGAGAGAGAGAGAGAGAGAGAATATGTTAAGTGAGAATTATCGAGTACAACTATGAATTGCATCCTTTTCAATATTATTTAATTCGCTGAAAATATTCAGAATATGAATATGATAAATCCATATAATACACCAACGCTGTTCAACGCATCCAACGCTCCAACCATAGCCTATATGCCAATGTACCGTATTTATCAAATATGAAAAGATTTTTAAATTAAATTTGAAGAAAAATCAAATTTACAATGCACTGACAGGCATCAGTTGAAATCATGATTTCTCTGTGACTGGATTAGCACTAGTTTCTGAGGGACCACTCACTGAAGAGGAGATAAAGGGAAGGAAAATTGATGAAGAAGTAAAGAAAAGAAGGGGGATATCATGCAGTTGCAATTTTCCCGCCAACAAGTTGTGGATGGGGGTGGGGCAAAAGGCCTTTGCCTCCCCCCGCCCCCGCTAAAAAAATGAGAGAGAAAGAAGGAAAAGGAAAAAAGGAGAGCTAAAAGGGACCAAAAAAGAGGAAGAAGAAAAAAAGAAGGGTGAAAAGAATTTGGATGCCGTGTTCGAGTAGAATTCTGTGAGATGATGATATACTTTCTCGTAGCTTAATGTGACGAAGTGTCTCTATCCAGATATCTCTTGATAGTATTATAGAATATAGAAGCCTGATATGACCTTGAGCTCGTAACCGACAAGTCACCGCATTAAAATTGAATTGCAAATAGTGTTCAACAACACGATGGTGGATGAAACTTTCTAATATTCGAAGATATGTGACCCTCAGACCATATTGTTTCATTATTTTTTATTCAATCAATCAACGTCAAAGAATTGATTCATCATCGCACTTCAATTTATTATTTCACCTTTAAATGTACTTTCATTCTTATGTATCACGAAAGAACACTGAATTGGATTCTTCAATGTTTGTTTTGATTAATTTCCTCCCCTTTCCTTCTTCCTGTTTAATACTGATAAATTTTTCAATTTTTCTTAATCAAGTCAAAATATTATTTTCATATTTTCTTTATGCAAGACAGGGAGAGAGAGAGAGAGAGAGAGAGAGAATATGTTAAGTAAGAATTATCGAGTACAACTATGAATTGCATCCTTTTCAATATTATTTAATTCGCTGAAAATATTCAGAATATGAATATGATAAATCCATATAATACACCAACGCTGTTCAACGCATCCAACGCTCCAACCATAGCCTATATGCCAATGGACCGTATTTATCAAATATGAAAAGATTTTTAAATGAAATTTGAAGAAAAATCAAATTTACAATGCACTGACAGGCATCAGTTGAAATCATGATTTCTCTGTGACTGGATTAGCACTAGTTTCTGAGGGACCAGTCACTGAAGAGGAGATAAAGGGAAGGAAAATTGAGGAAGAAATAAAGAAAAGAAGGGGGATATCATGCAGTTGCAATTTTCCCGCCAACAAGTTGCGGATGGGGGTGGGGCAAAAGGCCTTTGCCTCCCCCGCCCCCGCTAAAAAGAGAGAGAGAGAGAAGGAAGGAAAAGGAAAAAAGAAGAGCTAAAAGGGACCAAAAAAGAGGAAGAAGAAAAAAAGAAGGGTGAAAAGAATTTGGATGCGGTGTTCGAGTAGAATTCTGTGAGATGATGATATACTTTCTCGTAGCTTGATGTGACGAAGTGTCTCTATCCAGATATCTCTTGATAGTATTATAGAATATAGAAGCCTGATATGACCTTGAGCTCGTAACCGACAAGTCACCGCATTAAAATTAAATTGCAAATAGTGTTCAACAACACGATGGTGGATGAAACTTTCTAATATTCGAAGATATATGACCCTCAGACCATATTGTTCCATTATTTTTTATTCAATCAATCAACGTCAAAGAATTGATTCATCATCGCACTTCAATTTATTATTTCACCTTTTAATGTACTTTCATTCTTATTCATCACGAAAGAACACTGAATTGGATTTTTCAATGATTGTTATGATTAATTTCCTACCCTTTCCTTCTTTCTGTTTAATACTGATAAAATTTTCAATTTTTCTTAATCAAGGCAAAATATTATTTTCATATTTTCTTTATGCAAGACAGGGAGAGAGAGAGAGAGAGAGAGAGAGAGAGAATATGTTAAGTGAGAATTATCGAGTACAACTATGAATTGCATCCTTTTCAATATTGTTCAATTCGCTGATAATCTTTATTTTATAATTCCACGGGGGTGATTTTTAATTTTGCAATCGCACCCGTGGACAACCTGATGGGGGCGATTATGGAGCTCACGGGGGCGAATCGCCCATCGCCCCCGTGTATTTTGAGCGCTGCTCCACACCAACCAAAGGAGCTGACGATAACCGAGAGTACATCTAAAGTAAAACAAAAAGATTAAATGCATAATATTATATACGTCATGAAT